TACTCTCTGAAAAGAGATGGATATTTCTTTCCACAAAGGCTAAGAACTAACAGAAAATCTTAGGTTTGGCTTAAGAACCTGTTCATTTAATGATAGATTGTGCCCTAAAGCTGTTCTCTGCTATGGCCTTCCTCTTCAGCTCCCTGGTTTCACAGGCAATCTCACTTTCCTGGCAGGTCCTGCTGAGCTGGAGTTTGAGACTGTTCTTGGCACAGGCGATGTGGAGAGGATAAATTAAAACTAGACTGCGATACTGTATACATCCCAACGGAGGTGATGGCTCACCAGCTGTTGGCAAGCATGTTACCCTAGCTAATATTGCTCTGAATCGACTAACACATGCTGAAAAAAATACAATATGAAGAATAAATTCTTGTTGAAAAGGTAATGCAGTAGACAAGAATAAAGAAAAAGTTTAATTAATGCACTTTGTTTTATGAGATGGGCAAGGACCTGGAAATTGAGAACTGAACAGACTATACCAGCATTTCTGAAATGGCCTCAGTGTCACCTTGTAGCCACATCAGACAATTTTGCCTGCTCACACGTACTAAGATATTTTTAATCAACAGAAGAAAAGATACAAATGAGGGGGCGTTTAACCCACGTAGCCCCTTTGGTGATTAGAAGCTAATTGATCCAAAGATCTCATCCAGCTGTTTCTTGAGGGAAGACGGGATATCGGCTTCAACAGCATGACAGCATGACAGGAGTTTGTTCCAGACTCCTTCAATCATATGTGTAAAAAAAGTGTCTCCTTTTCTGTTATATGAGCATTAACACACAGTTTCCACTCTGGTTTTTGTTCCATTATTGATTTGGATGAAATCCATTGGGTAGACTGTGTCAGAGCCTTAGCAGACTTTGAAAGCTCTCTACATTAGCAATGTTCCAGTCAGTGGGTCTCAAGAGTGTGCTGGAAGGGCTTGCTCATGGCCTGCGAATAACATCTTTTTTTTCCTTATGCAGCAATGCTAGAATATTATTAGGCTTTTTACATTTGTATGTCTTTGCAATTTCTACATTAAAAAAAAAATAATACTTAACTTAGACGTATGTCTTGATTCAGTCTGACAGAAGACCGTCCCAGGGTTCTGCAATCCATGATTTTATTAGTGGGCCCTTCAGCTAACAAAAGCAGAATCACCCCCTCAAAGAAATGGAAATCACACATATTTCTGTGGACATGGTTTTATAAGCACATTGAATGAAATTAACTTCACACAATGCAGTGTTATTATTAGTAGTACTGTAGAATGGATATTGGGTTAGTGACTTCCATTCTGAACACTGTAAATAGTAAAATTACCCCAAGACAGCAGACCTGCTAATTGACTTTTTTCTCAATCAGTTTTCAAAGCTTGCTGATTTTATTATATAGAAATGGAGTAGCCTATATATGGTGCATATCTTAGTAATTCCAGAAACATTGGCAATGTGGCCACCAGCAAGAGTTGGTGGCAGCAATCTGTGGCCACCCAGATAATGGGCCTGATGACTTCTAAGCTATACTTTATTCTTAATCAGCACAAACACCATGGATGAACAAAGACCTTGTTTTTAAATATTTGGGCCACACGCTGTTCATGAAAAGTATGTTGGCCGGCTGAGTGAAGCTCTTCAGTTGAGCTGGCAGTCGACAGTGTAGCTTAACTGTACGACCCTGGCTGAGATTACAGAAAGGGGGCCTGTTATTATTTTTGGGCAGAGGAGGATGAGGGGGACCTACAATGGGTGACTGTGTTTGTTTCCTCAGGGATAGGAGACAACGATCTCTCACAGGGAGCAGTGGAAGCTCCGATGATTCATCAGCACAGATAATGTTTTAAAGAGGATGAGCTAACTTGTTGTATAAGCGGGGAGACTGAAGTTTTAAAAAACGGTCCTCCTTCGGTTAGTTTGATTTTAATTCCACATTGAATGGAAGCTTCCTCTGCTTTAGTTGAATCTTTGCTTGGTATGTGTATATAATAATAGGATATCCTGCTGAGTTTGGAATATAACATATTCTAAATAATACTTTCATGGCGTGTGAACAGGATATTAACAATACCTCCGGTGGAATTCTCGATGCCAGCGATCTCGATCCCAAATATGTAAAGTTAAATATTACCCCTGCATTCAGGTTACAGCTGGATACATCTTATGTGGATTACCTATTTAGGCTGAACTTTAATCTGTCAGGCTTTCCTGCTGAAACATGTGTTGGCAAACAGAAAAACAAGGAAGCCATTTTCCAGCACGCAGCAATGCTGCCATAATACTGTATATGAGTTCTGCATTCTTCTAAATGTGTTAATGTCACAGAAACAGGACACAGCTGGATTACTGTGGAACTGCTGTAAGAGTTGAGCTGTGTAAAACAGAAACGTATTCAAGCAGTTTTAATATGCCTGCAGGAGCATCTTTGCTCTTCGCCACCACTGCAAACTGTGTTTCTCTGTTTTACTCTTGCACACTCTTGCTGTTTATGTACTGCATTTTGAAAGAAATATTGTGTGAATGTAACAGAGCATTCAAACCAGATCGCAGTTCTGTGAAGACAGAAAAGAGAATTGGAACAGAAAAACTGGAGATAGCCCTAACTCTAAAATGCAGAATATGTTTGGAATTGGTACCCTGTTCTATACAAAGGTTTACAGGCCACTTTTTCCAAATAACCTGCCTGCTCTGCATGTAAGAGTAGTGAGAGATTCTAAATACCTGTATTCTGTCTGTTAGTAGGATTTGTATTGCTGAGTGTTTTGAAAACAAATAGACTCTGGCCATTCAGAGAGCAAAGAGATGATCATGCTTTTGTGAGTTCTTATAGAATCAGATTGGTCTTCTGATGTTTTTGTTCAGTGTAATTCTTATTAAAGACCACAAGGAGGAGTTTCAGTTCAGTGGAGAGCTGGGGTGTCCTTTTCTGAGTGCTGTTCTGTGTACATGCTGGGCTGAATTCCAGAAACCAATAACAAAAGCACTGAAAGACAGATTATCATTGCAGGATACTTTCTCTTTCATCAGTACATAATGTATTCTTTAAAACATTAAAGGAAGTTTAATTGTATCAGTCTACGGCTGTACTTATCAGTGTCGTGTGTTTTTCTTAGTACTTCATTCTCTTCCAATTAACTAGGACAAAGAGGGTGAAGAATTAAAAATAAAACATAAAATCATTACTTGATTAGAAAGTCGTATCTAATGCACCAAAAATCTTTAAAGCTGTAACTAACAAAGGAATTCAATAACGTCTTCAGTGTATACTGCTAATGAAAATTAATGTGATCATTCTTTTGTGGGGCATCAACTAAATGTATTAAGAACAACCTTACATATTCTTTAACTGTTACGCAAATGATAAATCTCCCTTGAAAAGGTTTATTACTGGTGCTGACAACACCCCCTTAAGCCTGCAGTCAATGTCAGATTCGTCCTCCAGAGGGCACTGTTTACTGTTGGATGCTGTGATCTGGGGAATTTCCTGAATCATGCTGTACCAGAGAGTGGTGTAACTACTGTAGAAGTCCACCTACCAACGGGTCCAGATAGCCCATCACATTTTGAAATTTCGTATATTATTTTGTAAATCCGTTTTTTTAACTGGAATGGAGTTTATATGTTAAAAGCCTCTGTTTCAGACCAATCCAGTCTATTTTCCACCCACGGTGCGCCGATTAGTTTCCCCCAGTTCTTAAGACCTGGCCGGTACTGCTTTATAAGAGTCGGTTTTAGCTGTAGCCTAACTGTGCCTGGGCTGCTCGCTGCTGCGATCCCTCGGGGAGCTGCACACGACTCCGGTCCTTGGTGTGCTTGCGGTCCGCGGTCGGAGATGGCATGGCTGACCAGGATCCTGGCGCAGGGCGGGGAAGAGCTGCCCCAGCACCGACACGGCTCGTGTGCCGCATGTGAACATCACCCTCTGCACTCACTGGTGTTAGTGTGTTTCCATTTGTTAACACCAGCTGCTACAGAGAGCCCCCGCATGGCAGCCCTGCTCTTAAGCCAAAAAGATGCTTCTTGGTACACTGTCATTTAATACATTTGCTCATCTTTCATTTATTACGGTATTTTTATCTTATCAGTCAGTAATATTTAGTATTTTATGATTTCGTGTCCTAAGTGGGTTTCTCCTGAACTGTGAATAGTTTGACGCTAAAAATCTGTGTTACTCAATATACATTACTTGGACTGACATATGGATTTCTGTGGCTATAGTCTTAGCGAACCCTTCAAAGTGCACCCAGACTGTCAGCTAAGTTTTCCCTGCTCTGTTATTTTTAGATGATCTAAATGGAACGCCAGTGCAGATTTAATAGTGACAGGACAGCTGGAGAGATGGTGTTATACCAAATTAATGGATACATTTAACTCAGTTGTTTTAATTATGGGAAAACAAATAATGACCTTTAAAGGTTATTATAGAAATATATTTTTTATGTTCTTTTGTGTATAGCTATGAGTGATAAATAATAATTTCAATTTTCCATCTTTTATAAGATTACAAAATTCTTGACATGTAATCATCTGTTAGTATCTATTTTTATATATTATTTCCTTTATCTAGACGTACGTGGGGGTTATAATACTAGTCAGGTTTCACTGTTTAGAAGTTGGTACAAAAGCTTGCGTTTGGCCTTTTTGGAAGTGAACGAGAAATGTTTTTTTTTCAGACCTGTAACAGACGAAGACTTGAACTTTTCTCATAACTCACAATGTTATAAAATGGTCCCAAGGCTCATGCTGTGAAGTGAAGAAAGATAACAAAAGGCGACCTCATAGAAGGTTAACAGCTTGACATGCTGTACGTTGAAGTGTCTGTTGGTTTTAATTCTGCTCAATTAACACATCACCTTCAATATATAATATAGAATATATAAATGTATTGTGGATGGCATGGTGACACAGTGGTTAGCACTTGGACCCAGGGTTCAAGTCCTCATGTGCTGTCTGCTTGGAGTTTGCATGTTCTCCCCGTGTTTGCGTAGGTTTCCTCTGGGCGTTCTGGTTTCCTTCCACAGTCCACAGGCATGCTGGGAGGTTAATTGGTTTCTGGGAAAACTGGCCTTGGGGTGAGTGTGTGTGCATGTGCTGTGATAGACTGGCTGCCTGTCCTGGATGAATCCAGCCTTGTGGGCATTGCTTGCCAGGATAGGTTCCGGTTCCTCTGTGACCCTGTATTGGATAAAGCCGTTAGAAAGTGGTTGCTTTACAGCATCTCTTGACTAATTTTCATGAATAACGTATTTTTGCCTGAATGAATGATGTATTTTTGCCTGTGCCTTTTATGACAATAGGTGCTTGCTAACTAGGCCAAGTCTGCCAAAAAAAAATGGCTTCTGCAAGGACTCATCATAGCTTAGCTCTGTAAAGGCATGAACCAAATGCAGAAACGTAGTCCCCTGTCCAGGAGAGTGCTGGCTGAGGGGACAGTTCGTGTGCCCAACCTCCAGCAGACAAGCTGCCGTGTTTTTGAGTCTGATGAGTTCCTACAGCCGAGCTGTGTTCCAGAGGTCCTCTCCACTGCTCCACTCACTGTTTGTCTTTTACAGACCAGCACAGTCTGCTTTAACGGCAAGTCGTGCAAGTCACTGTCCCTAAACTCACACCACATCACCCTCAATAGCCGCTTGTTCCATGCAGCCTGTCCTGGGATACACCCTGGACAGGGTGCCGGTCCATTGCAGGGCAATGAACTTACATCAAATGAGCACATTTACTTTCTTCTTTTAATCCTCATCTGCTGTAATTGGTGTTGTTTCCCAGAACCCCCAAAATCCATTCCTTTAGCTCCAGTGGAGTTGCCCTGCAAAAGGCTGTCAAAAAAGTAGAATAAAAAAGGAGAACATGTTGATTTAACATATTACTAAGAACTAAGAATATATTACTGGCTTTATGTCTTTCTATCAAGCTTATTATACCTGAAATACCAACTATTGCTGTACCGAATACCTGACCTCTTTCTTGGGTTATTTCCTCTCTAATGTTTAATTTTAGAAATCAGGATCTTGACTCCTTAGGCAAACCAGGATGGTGTTGGTGAGGAGTAAGAAGCAGGAGTATGAAAGGTACCAGGCTTGATATTTGTCATTCTGTGTGGACAGCCTCCTGCACACAAACCGCTGCTGCTGTATGTCTTCTTGTCCAAAGGGCTGGAGTTTCCTATATGGATAGTCGGAGTGCATGACATGGCTTTGGAAAATACTGTGCCAACATGGGATGGAGTTATAATGCTGTTATTCAGCAAAAAGGAAACTGTTCTCTTGGAATGGGAACACTAGTTCATTTCAGTCTGTGACAGTGGCGTCTGATGGCGAATAACTGGATTTTTTTGTTTTGTGGCCTGAAATAAAATATAGCATTCAGTGATTTGTATATTATTTAGTTTTTCATGACAATTCCCAATTGTCCTAAAAAATTCATTGTATTCGGAAGATCTGCAGCTGTTCATAGTATATATGTGAATATACAGTATATCCCATTAAAGTAATGTCAAGTTAAAATGAACTGCAGCAGAAATCATATTTCAAAAATCTTAAAAATCATAAATGACTATAGATGACTATGACTATTTCAACATTTGTTATTATCCATATAATTATAATATTGTAATATTTTGTTTTGAAGAATGTACATTGTAAAACAAATTTAATCAAGATATGGAATGAAATTAGAATTAATGAGCATTACAGACACTGAAATACTCATGTTTTGGGCAATTAAAGCATTCAGCAATCACCAATGATAATTTTTTTGTCAAATAGCCAGTGATTTGCCAGAGGACAGATAGGGATATATTATTTCTGATGTACTATAAGTCATGTTGACATCAGAGTTTCTGAAATGCGCTTCTCGATTTGATTTATAAATTGGTTTATACGCTAATGCACAGCAACGTGCTTCAGTTCTTTCACTCGCTTTGTGGTCTATCCAGAAGCCGTATCATGTGTTACAATCAGCTAAGAAGTGATTTTAAATTGTCTTTTAAATTGGAAACTTTCTGATGAATGAAACGCTGATGCTTAGAATTGTGATGTTCCCATCTGGCAGTTAGTTAATTGCATGCTAACATAAGCGAAAAGGAAAGAACAAAGAGTTTGTCATACAATTTTGTCAAAAAGAAACCATGGTATTATCATGTCTGGTAATGTATGTACAGTAATCCCTCGTTATACGCTAATTAACTTCACGCGAAATGGAGTATCCGCTCTTAATGTTTGTTCGCTCTTTTCACGTTGAAGGAGAGCAATCGTGACGTGTCCTCAGTTTCTCACAGTCTTAAAGTGTCCTGCGCGCATTGCTGTACATTATCGCATCGGGCTTGGATGGTTCTTGATATTGATTGTGCAAGTGTTAGTGATAGTGATTTCCTACATAAAAGTGACAGTTATTAGTTAAATTAGAAATAAATTAAAGTAGCTCCTACGCTGTACGAGAGAGGGAAAAGCATGAATCTGAAATCGACAAGTGTGCGTGATCAGTGCTGCCAGTTCTACTTACTGTACTCTGTCTTCTCTTGAAGATTTGTACTTTGACCAGTACAACGAAAACATTGAAAAACATTGCCCCTGAGTACAAATAAAAATCTGTAATCTGTAATAAAGATAAAAGAATTTACAAGAATCATATGGAAAGTCCAGGACAGGGAAACGGAAAAGCTTTTTGCCAGCGAAGTTCGATAACCTTTAAAAAAGGGCTCCGGTCTTTGAATTGTGAAGTTTGCAGGAGATTGGCAGCCGGTATCCAGGTTTCCTGACGAACTGATGATGAAAATGGCTGTTTACCTGATCAGGTCTTCAGTGCTGACTAAACTGGGCTATTTGGATAAGACATTTTTTAAGTCATTTTTCTATCATTCTTTGTACAGTATATGGCGTTAATAGAATGCTGTTTTTGAGATCTATTTTATTTTTGTATTTTACTTTAGTGGTCCATGTGATCATTTATTGGAGCTGAAAAGAAGAATATTTAAGGACTTTCATGGGTTCATTCACAACTTCAGTTCCCCTAAACCCTGTTTCTCCACGAAGTCCTCATCGCAAATTTACCTACCGAGAGGGTTTTCGGGATCTTAACCCTCGCGTCCGGAAAGGGATTACTGTAAAGCATTTACAGTTGTAAGACAATTTCAAAGGAGAAAGAACAAGAACAATATCTAACAGTTCACATGGTATTTATCTTTATTCATTCTTGTAAGGCAAATGTCTATACATTCTGGATAGCCAGTGTGTCAGTTTCTTTTTTAAACACACGCATATGTAAAACGAGGAAGCTTCTTCCTTAAGTAAACAGAGTAAATGGAATCAGCCTCTTACCCAGCCTTAGGACTGGAAAACCTGACAAGACTTGTTCTGGATGATGTAAGGGGGAGTATCAGTCTTTCTGCAGCAGGCTGCAGTCTTCAAGCTTCGCTCATGCCTGCCCAAAGTGAAATGATGTACTTTTTTCGAAAAGCACCCTGAGGACCTTACGGGAGGGATGTGGCATCTTCTGTGCAGTGAGCAGGAGCAGAATGCTCAGCTGGTGAAGCTGATGTGTTGTATGGGTCAGTATGCCTCCTCTCCTACGCTGTCACTTCTGTGTTTTGTCTCTGCCTTCTTCAGGATCGGCCGTTTACTGAATGCGTTCAGCACTGCAGTGCACTGTGTGCCAGAGCTTTTGCAATGAAATGCAAGTTTTCTGGAAACTGATAAATCCTGTTTTGCAACACTGTTTTATGTACTCTAATCACAGCCTTGGACTCAGGCACTCAGCATTCATGTTAGAAAGGCCTGCGTTATTGCTTAAATAATTATGATTGAAAAAAGATGACAAGAGTATTTTATCTAATGAATTCCTTTAATAATATTTGACTTAGGGAGGTTGTTTATTTGGACAGCTGTACTTGCTGGAGTTGGGCGATATTAATTACTTTTTAATGATGTTCGGGTTTCTTTTGTCTCAGTGTTGTCCAGCTCAGGATAACTGCATCAAACAAACCCCATCTCTCACTGCCCTGTGGACTGCAGTGGTTACTGTATTCAGCTGGCCTGTTTTGGATACCTGACATTTACTGATGAAACACACAGAACAAATTGTATGCAAATAAGACCGAAAACAAAATGGGGATTGTGAGGATGAGAATAATTAAGCTGTTTCTTAACTGTGTGCTTTCTGCCTTTGCTAGTGATTTGAGGTATTGTAACATTTTTAATTTTGAGTAGGGAATTTGACTTATAAAGAATCAATGCATGTGGAATGTTTGATTACCTCTGCAATCAAACCATTTGGTGTTCTTTCAATGAGCATTCTGTATCAGTAGTGATATTGGCCTGTTAGCAATCTGCTTTCATGCAGTGTCTTTAAGTTTAGATTCAGTCCAACTGATGTATTTTACCACAGTGGTTTATATTACCACCACAACCAACATCGCCTGTTGTGGTCTTCTGTTCTGATGATGTGTAAGATGTAAGGAGAAGTAATGTCTGTTCTTCAGACTAGATCTAAAAGTGACTGGTCACACTGATGTTTAAATGTATATCAAGTATGATATCTAAACTTCATGAACATTAACATTAATAGTAAAATATAACAATTCTCAAAAATGCATAACAAAAAGCAAAAGTGCTTTTCAAAAACCCATAGAAAAAGAAGTGCATCAGTTGTTTGAAAACAGTGTGCAGAGCAGAAAATACAGCAATGTTTTAAAACAGAACACTCTGTGCCAGTGGCTTTGTTTGAAATGTAATATCTCCAGTTATTTTGTGTTAATTCACATGGTGTGTCTATCACGTCTCAGTGCACGGCTCTGAACCCCGCACACAGGGGAGATGAGGAAGTGAGGGCGGATTCCTCTGTCCCCCCATCATGTCACAAGCAGACCAGTGCAGGAGATGCATGGTCCTCACATGGTCCTCACCTACTGTACCGCAGATTTGCAGGATCCCAGAAGTGCTCAGGGGTCACTGGATTAGCTCAGATCCTACCAACAAATCCCACTCTTGCCTCTTCCAGTTGTGTGCTGCTACTGAGGGAGTCCTGATCACAGTCCACTAGTGACATGACAGAGATCAGCCAGTGTTCAACTGCAGTTCTGGGGTCCCTTATGCAATGTTTGGATATTTTTATTCATTTGTTCAGCATCATTTGTAAATTTAATAACATTAATAACATTTCAAAATATCATTTTTTTTCTTAGTTCAGCAGGTTATCTTTAATAATAGTGTAAAAACAGTGCAATGAATAGGAGAAGTTAAAGAGTGCAGTTATCTTCCATGTAGAAGGATAAATCACAAGTTATAGACTGGCAGACTCCATTTAATCTTAGTGATGGTTATACTACAAAGGATAGATAGTTAAGGGTTCCAAAATCTGTGGCACACCTTCTAGAAACGTGTATATACTTGTGTATCTGCTTTATAGTTTTAAAGGAAATTTTGTTCATGCTTTTAGGGTTGATAAGGACAGATTTGTACCTCTTGTTCATGCACAGTGCTGTGCTTTGCTTTTGCTGTATGCAGTTTTTCCATATTTTTATGCTCAGTAATGAATTGCACCAGTTTGTGCGTTGTAAGGGTTGCCACACCCAGTGGGCACTGTGGTTGCCACGGAAGCAATACACAAATCAAATACTGTGGTTGGCTGGAGCTTCAGCAGTCAGTGATGAGTAATGGAGCCAGTGAGCTGTGTAGGGTTGAAATTACTGCCATTTGCCACAGTGTAGGAAAATATTTCCACAAAGTTACACCTATCAACGTCTGTTCATCTTTCTTTATGAAGTACATTTTAAAATGGAAACCAAAACATAAAAGTGCAACAAACAACTAATGTACTTTTGTTACTACATCTCAAATGCCTTTGCAGAAATGCAGCTAATCTGTCTCTCAAAATCCATCCAAAGTCATAAGAAGTATCATGTTAACAAACCCTGAGAGTGAGTGAGAACTGTGTATTTAAAAAAAAACACTTTATTGCTGAAGCTGCATTTCAGTCCTGAATGTTCTATAGAGAAATTATATGTTTAGTTTCAGGAGAGAAAAAATGTAATGTTGTAAAATCTTGTTTTTCACTGTTGTCCTGATGTAGAGGATGTAAAACATAAGACAGCATTTCTGAAATGTTACTCCCCCATTTAACTTATATTTGTCTCTGTATTCCACATGATAATGTCTGTTTGCATTACTAAACGCCTGAAAGTCTTATCTGAACATTTATATAATACAGAGGACACACGGTCGTGCTGACTAGTCAAGGTCATACAAGTAGAACAGTCCCTTTGATCTTGTTTTCTAAGTTATACAAATACTTGGAGTCCGATGAACAGTTGAGGACTACAACAAGGTGCTTTTTACCCTTTCAGTAGTCTTGTGCTCCACTCTGCACAGCTTAATAGATTCTTGCTCATTTAAGTGCTGGAATCTGTTTGATCTGTGGATCTCACCTAGCTGTGAAGCGATAATACTGGCCTCAAGAACTGGACAGGGCAGCTTGGTCTGTTCTGCCACAATCCTTTGTGTAGATATACTGTAGATGCCCCCTCTTCATTTCTGGTTTTGTCCCAGTATAGTAAATAAAACCAACTTTAATGCCAATGATGACATGATATCCACCTATAAATAAGTTCTAATACAAATATTTTATGCAGTCCTTCTGTGTGCTAGAATGATTTTTAGTGTTCCTTTCTTTTCCTGCTCTGTGCCCTTCGCATTTGAAATAAAGCAACCTGCCTCTAGTTTCCAGGTCTTGTTTGGTGTAAAAATGCTGTTATAATAAAACTAATTAATTCATCATTTCTTTGTTCCAGATGAAAGAGACAGAGTACAGAAAAAGACGTTCACAAAATGGATAAATCAGCATCTCATGAAGGTAAGATGCCTGCTGTTTTCAGTGTTTTACAAACATTAATGTGAAGTAATTTAGTGTCTGTTTACAGTGTTAAAGACAGTTATCCTATTTTCAAGAAAACATTTATGATAGTTATTTGTCAAAATCACTATAATTGAACACCTGTGCACTGGCCAAAACAATTGCACTAGTCTACATAATCTGTTTGAGTTCAGGGTAGTCGTTGGACAACATTGCTCAACGAGAAGGAATCTCCTGCTGCATTTCAAGAGCTGTTGACAGGTGATAAAGGCAAGAATGGGTGGAGTGGACAAACCAGATTTCTTTCAGATGTATACAGCTTTTAAATATGTAAGATAACTCAGTATTTTAAAAAGAACTACATTAATACTGAGATCTTTGCTTATGCTAGCTGTTTCAAATAAAAAAAGGGTAATTCTGAAAGGGTTAGCAGGACCTAAAAGTCCAGTTGAAATACTTTCCTTTCCTAAAGAGTATGTGTATAGCTAAGAACATTAATTTTCACGGAACAACTGAAATAATGATGGTACCTAAAAGTATTAATTAATACTTAAAAAAAAATGTTATCTAGAGAAGCCTACTGAAATTGCTGCTTTCTCCTTTGTTTAGGTCCTTGTTACACTAGACAATCATCTGGCCTCTTTTATCCTCTGCTTTCATATCTCACATAGATCGCCTAGTTTAACACCCCTGGCAGCTCTCCAGCAGCACTGTGAGTCCTAGTGCTGTCAGTAGACCGCAGTGCTGCTCCCCGTGACAGATTCCAGTGTGTTGATATGTGTCACATGTCACTCTGGAGTATAGCTGGTTAAAAATGGACACTAAAAGATTTAAAAAGTTTAGCAGACAACTACCCATTTCCATTTTGGTAGTTCTGTATATTCTAGTGGTGATAATCGAAGGGAGAATAACTTTTAAAAACAAATTCCTGCTCCAACTACTTTTATGTATGCATTTACAGTATGTAAATGCATACTGTAAATGCATAAAGGCAAGAATGGGTGGAGTGGACTTGACAAGTTCCTGATAGACAAGTCCACTTGTCTATCAGGAATTTGTCTTGTCCTTGCTTTTCCTCCTCCATCTCAGAAGCAATTTGAGATTGCTTGATATAAAAGTGAGAATCTGTGAGACAGAATGCAGGTGTATCTGGAGTTGTAATGGATTGGCTTAACTGGCACATTGTTTGCATGTGAGAAAATCATCACAGAAAAAGGTCCTGACCGTTTAATATGAGTTACAAAATAGAGGCAGCATCATTTAGCTTAGCAACTGCAGCGCAGAAATCAGCTCTTATTTTGTTCATGCTTTCACATCCTCTCGTCAAATCCCTTTACCATAAGTCCAACATACATAATGAATAATGAAACGGGGAAACAATTCAAAAGACCCAGAAACTGCACCGAGCTGCTATTTTTGCTCTGCAGCTGTGATGGTGTCTGAGCCTGTGTGCAGGGATTAAGTTGTGGCTGGGCAGGGGTGAGAGCCGGCCAGGCTCAGGCTGGGCAGTATTTAGCATGAGGCTGCTTCAGGGGAAGCAGCTTGAAATGGGAAACTGTGTTAGCGCACAGGCAGCTCTGCTGAACCGAGCTGAGCGGTTCTCTGGATGGTACACCTTGCTGATTAAACAGCCCAAGACAAGTTGCCTTTCACCTGGCAAACGCCAGATCAGCTGGTTTGTGTTTTGCCTTTTTTAGAGGTGGTGTTGATTGAGCATTTTGACTCTGACTTCTTCTTTGCATTAAAAAATCATCACTCAGGTAATGGTCCAAGATGTGTGCGTGGCCCTGTAATTACAATGCCGGTAGGTGATGTTTTTAGACCACAGGGGTTTTCATCAGGTGTCTCATGGGAACTGAATGAGTCTGAGCAGGTTGTAGGAAGGGATGGGTTACCATTGTGCTCGCCAGCTACAAAGTAAATTCCTTCTGGAAAAAAGCAAATGAAAAGAAGGCTTTAAAGGTGGGCAGGGCAGATATTTGGATGCTGCCCTTTAAGGTGTGGCTGTTCCAAACTGAACACAAAGGAATTATTGCTGTAGGCAATTAAGTCAATTAGAGATCAATAAAAATGTTTTGTAGAAACTAGAGAAAACTATAGGGTTGAATTAAATCTGATTCAATACTGTACATCCAATATAAGATACATCAAATTTGATTTGATTTGTCCTTCAGATGTAAGGTGTGCTGTAGCACTGCTATACTTGGGCTGTCTTAAATAAGCAATTCATGAGTAAATCTCAATAATTAAGGGGAAACCATGAGTCACTCTTTAAAATTGAAAATATTATATTTTCATGCTATATATGCTGAGATATTTGTCTAATTTCAAGGCCCCAGTCATTTTTAACTGTTTCACAATATGAAATTATACTACTTTCGAAGCACCTTTCTTTAAACTTTGCATGATAACAGTTTTTCTTGTATTTTTGTTGCATAAAACTAATGTTTCTGTTAGGTGAGAAATAATGGCCCAGGCTTCCAAACTGTAATCATTTCATGAAATATAAAGAGTGCAGACATACGGAGCCTCAGACTGTCCAAACTTGTGCTGTAAGGGAATTTCCTATAAATGACTCCCTGCTTACTTTGTTGAAGCGAATGATGATCAAATAAGTAATTAAGATGGGTGAGCAGTGCTACATTCTGCTGTGGAGTAGATGGGTGGGTTGCAAGCAAATAGTGCCTTACAGTAATATGAAAGTGCCTTACAGTAAATTACTTGCTGGCAGAATATTATCTCTTGAGTTGCTCTGTGCTGAGCTGTTAAAAGGGGTCAGGTTGTTACCGGAAGAGAAGGGCATTTCTTGGAATCTGTCAGCTGAGTGTGAAGGCTGATGCAAGCCTGAATGGCTTATTAAGGTGTGTGTTCAGAGGTCATGTGGAAACTGCTAAGTAAAAAAAAAAAGAGGTTCATTCTAGGTCAAGAGAAGAGCATTTATTTTAGGTCTTACTTTTCTTGTATAAAAAAAAAAGATCCAGGCAGTCAGACTGATAGCAGTGGAAGGGGCTGATCTGTTTTAACCTGTGAACAAAGTCTGGACTGTCATGTGTATAGAGTCAGGCTGAGCGAAAGGTAGTCCTTTTCTTCTCACCGCTTGTGGTTTAACTAGAAAGCAATCTGTCCTACAGTTCAGACATCTCTTATTGGAGCCTGAACTGTGTATTTAGCTGCCCTTGGCCAACATTCACAAGCACTTGTGCACAACTGCTGCCAATAATAATAACAACAGTAATATTTAAATAATATCAATAACAGTTCCAGTTCACCCTGTTATTGAGTCAGTTCATGGCTGAATTGCTCAACGGAGAGCTTGACTGGAACGAGAGCTGGCCGATGTGTGTGGTCTTCCAGGACCAGGATTGGGAACCCCTGGGCTCCGCTTGCTTGACAACAGGTCCCCTGAAAAAGATGTCTCTGCTGCCCTGAGGACCTGGGTGTCTCCTTCACCGGGCGGTGAAAGAGATCCCCGTCACAGAAGCGTTTTTCATAGGCCTGCTCTGTCTCCTCTGCAGGTACGGAAGCATGTGAATGACCTGTATGAAGATCTTAGAGATGGACATAACCTGATCTCCTTGCTGGAAGTCTTGTCTGGGGAGTCACTGGTGAGTTTGGCGCCCCCCACCCTCCACTCCAGATCACCTCTCCTCGCTTTGCTGCTCTCTTCTTCATCTGCAATGCGCTGTTTTGCTCTCCCACCTCTTCTGTTGTATTTTATTTAAAAGTTGTATTTAAAATTGTTTGAATACAACGATCCCATATGGAGATTATTTTTTTCATATTATTTCACATTCCTGTTTTATTATATAAATCTTATGTTATGGAGCTGGATCTGGTTATTGACCTATTTTTTAAATTCAGTTTTTCTTGTGCCTAGACAGTTTAAGCTGTACAGCTGTGGCCATAAATCTTTTCAGAACAAAGATTTAAATCCTACTCATTTGTTTGCCTTGAAGCCTATGAACCACAATATAAAGTGATTACATTTTCAGAAAAGCTGCGATATGGAAAAATCAGAGGTCATGGACTTCACAGAGCTCAAAGTTAATATGAAAGTAGTCTGTCCATTACTTTTTTAATACTCTTAAAAAAGCTGCTTGAATATATTTTTTTTCATATTTTGTGTTGCTGTATTAAGGAAAAGAATGTTAGTGTCAGTTCCTCTCTTGGAAGTGCATAGAGTCCCAAAACTTAACACCCCACTTTGCCATTAATTGTAGTGGGGAAAACTGACTGTTTGTCTGTTGATGTGTTATACAGTGCACTTCTCTAGAAAGCACCCTCAGCGTATACCAGGGTACGGCTGTGCCTTATTCATATCACAGAGCTGATACCCATGATCTCAGTGTTCTGTCATTCAGAGTGTCGAACAGCCAAGAGAGTATTCAGTCACCCTTGTGTACTTCATACATCTCCTGCGGTTTGTTTTCCAGAAAACTAATTAATGCAGCACATCAGCCTTTACCTTTTGGAAGTAGATGGAAAACTAACATAGTTAAGTAGTGAAAGAGGTTAGAAATTACTGTTAGAAATAAAGGATGGTTTTACGTTTGTTCTTAGTAAAGAGGAGGACACTTTCACAATTGCCTCTACAGTTACATTATGCTGCTAACAGGACATTTGGCATTCTAATTAACCGCCTGAAGTAATACATCTCTAGAGAGTGTAAAAATAGCCCGTTGCTAATGAATTATGCACAGAATGTCAGTTAACTGTTTTTAAGCTAATGTTTTTAATTACAATACTCACAGACTGGGCTGTCCTGGAGTGAAAATGAACATCTGAATCCCTGTTCCTACGTAGTTGTTACAGTGTAGGAGTTGTAACAGTTTGAGTCTAGTGTGAGGTTAAAGGATGTCAGGAATGTTTAACATAGGATTCAAGATTCATGGCCACTGCTGTTGCAGTTTGGAGAAGGAATAAAGTCAGGTCAGCATGGAGACCACCTGTTTGAAGAGCAAACAGCACGCGACGACATTCCACAGAAATGTGTCCCAGCAAATCCGATGGGCTTGTTCTGCTCCTTCATTTTTTTCTTCTTTTCCATGCTTTCCTTTTCATTTGTTGTCTGTCTTGTGTCTTCCCTGTGTCCTCTTGCGTCTCTGCTCTGTGGGTAAGCCAAGGGAGCGTGATTTTCTGAAGACGCTGCGGCTGGTGAGTGCAGCTGAAGCATGCGCGTTTGAGCAGCATGGCGATGAGCAGGATGAGGACAAGGGGGTAGGTGTGGACCCCCTGTAACAGCACTAATGCAGAGTATGCCGTGGCGGTTGACCGGAGAGTGAAAACCACAGCGTTTCTCATGGGGATCGGACACCGATCGGACACGGATCTGGGGACACCAGCACACAGAAACTCTCCTGTTGCTTAGCTGCCGGCTGACTTGGGGAGGGACGTCAGTGTCCTGTGTAACAATGTAGATTGTTACAGATACCAGGGCTGTGACTTAAAACAATGCTGAGGGAAGTGGAGTTCAAAATATTGTGTACTCGGTTTGTAGACATAGAACTGAGGCTTTCTATACAATTGCATTCACGCTGAGTGCCTGCACCATGAGCCAGAGGCTTAGAGGCTTGTTGCATAAAAACCCTTACCTTAATTATTAAATATTGTACAATATATGACTATTTTTCCTCACCACTTAAGCATGGTATTGTTTTCAAATTGTTTTGCCCTTAACCTCAAGAAACACCTGAGGCAAAATTCAAATTAACATTTAATAAGCGGTGTGTTATGCAACAACCCACAGGTTCAAATCTTCACCAAATGTGTTTTGGAAAGTTCTTAATCCTTGCAAGACTTGTTCAGAGCAACGACTCTCTCTATTCACAAAACAGCTGCAGATGAAATCAAAGCAACGGAAATGGCTGTAAGATTAAAATTGGCTTACAAGATGTACAGTCTTTTTAAATTTTATGTACTTGAATACTGTACTGTGAAGGAAAATTGGGCATATTACGCTTATCAGAACTATTATTTAATTATGAACCCTCTTAAATTTAAGCTTTAGCACATCACAGTTGTGGGATTAAAGCTACTTATTTGAGTTGACTTTTTGCTGAATTTGCATGACAAGTGTGGGGATTTGAACCTAGATTAGTATGGCAAATCAGAATAGCCATCCGCCTCATTACATCACAAAAGAAAACCCATATAAAATACATCATTAGAACATCAAACTTTTTAAATTGTTTTGACTGAAATACATTAACAAGCCCCATGGTATGTTTTGTCTTGAGGCATGAATGCCAAACACTCAGAGAGACCCTAGTTAATTCTGCCCTAGAGTGTGCAATTCCCCCCCATTCCTTTACGCCGTGGCCAGGCCTGCCTCTGTTGGTAACCCTACCAAATTTTCAGAGCTCACGTGGCTCTGCCTGCTCCATGCTGGAGGTGCAGTAGATGTGTGTAAAGGCCCCGTCACCTGAAACATCTGTCCAAGGGTGTCCAAGCAGTTCAGCCTCCTGCGTGAGAAACATCCATACTGTGCTGTTCTGAGCGTCTGCTGTTGAAGCACGAGTGGGGCTCCTCTCTACACTTCACATGCTCTCACAAACCAAGCAAGGTTCCCCTTTATTTAGTCTCATCCGTGACACATACTACGTCAGGAGGTGGTTTTCATTGTTTCCATTCAACGTATTTCTAGAAAAAGATCGTTCTTGCCTTTCAGTCACTCTCTGTAAATCTGTGATCAGCATTCTGGCTCCACTCACTGCATACTGTACCCATCCCCTTGAGATGCAATCTGTTTGCCTCTTTCAGCAGATCAGGGAAAAGAGCCTGGAAGCGCTATATCCAGGCGCTCGTGGAGTGAGTCACTGGGTCTCTTCCAAACGGGTCAGAATCTGGGTTGCTTTGTATGATAGTAACACTTGACTTCCTTGTTCCCTCATCACAGCCTCGGGAGAAAGGCAGAATGCGTTTCCACAGACTGCAGAATGTGCAGATCGCGCTGGACTTTTTAAAAAAGCGACAGGTAAGAGGAGGATTTAAACCTGAAGAGAGGATACACTTCTGTACACAAAAGGTTGTGGGGGTCTGGAGCAAGGTGTCTAATCATGCTATTGAAGTTGATACCCTGGCTTTTTTTAAGACTGGATGAGATCCTCAGATGTTAGCTACTGCCTACCAAACAGGCTAGGCAGACCCCTGTTTGTTTTCACATGGAAAGTAAAAAAGTTGATTTGACTGTTCCTTTAACAGTGTGATGCGGCACGATTTTTAACATCTCAACAGCACCATTCTCCAAAGTCCTACTCATTGAGACATAGGAGGGCGCAGCCTCATGGAGGACGATCCTGTCAAAACTCTGCATTGTTTTCTTGGAACTAAAATGAAACACAGGAATATTGCCAAGTGGATGGCATATGGATGCTGCTGAATCTCATTCTAGCAATTGCTTGCAGATATGGGTGTAGATGTTGATGCTCTAATTACAAACAGCCAAAGAGAACATTTAGTGCATTTATAGACCTCAACAGTCATATTTAGGCCTAACTCAATATATAATTCAAAATATGCTCCACATTGCATTGATTAATGTAGACTGTGATATTCTAACAGCACTCAAAATGCCAGTGGCTATAGAATTCTGTGATTATTCAGTGGGTATAAGGTTTATTCCCTTTCCCCTCCTCAGTAATGTTTTTGAAAGTCGACATGTCCCCCATTGTTGTGATTTATAATACATTTTGAAGTGTGTCACTTATAATGGAAAATGTTAGAGTGGGGATCTGTACCTGCAAATTCTGGAAGATGCCGACTTTTCTTCAGAAGTGTTTCATGTTTTCTTGTTCAAGAAAACAAGTGGATGTCTTCCGCCCTCTGCTGGCAAGAATTAGAGATTCTAGAGGGTTTGAAATTAACTCCTTTACTGCAGTTTCTAACCATCAGAGTTTATGTACGCTGCTGCAGTTTTTCTTTATCCGTTTCTGGCAGCTGTGCAGTATTAGCTGATACTTTAAAGCTGTATTTTTCAGAGCTGCTTAAGAAAGTCAATGATAGCTGTTTGTAAAATACCTCATGATAAGGATGGAAAGAGAAGTCACTGTGGGCCACTCTCATGTCAGAAATGGCATGAATCCCTGGTTGTGGATGATTTCTGTATAGAAAATGTCAGATCGGTTTTGAAGGCTTTTTTCTTGGATTTTACAAATCAGTGCTGCTTCCTCACTGTTCCAGGGTCCTGGGTTCAAGTGTAACCTGTGGATGCCTGTCTTGGTGGTGTTTGCATGTTGTCACTATGTTTACATGTGTTTTCTTCAAGCCATAGCCATAGCCAGGTTTCCTCTACCATCACAGAGACATGCTGGCTAGGCTAGTTAACTACTGAAGATCATTCCTGCCTCTGTTGCGGTGCGGCGGGCATGGTACAGTATCTGGTCCTGAGGGAACAGCAGTGTGCCATCCAGCCTGTGCTTCTGAGATGAGCTGCGGCTTGTCGTGACCCGGCCCAGGATACCTGGCTGAACGATAATGAAAGGATGCAAAAGATCATTTAACAGTTTGATGGCAAGCTGATCTGAGACACTGTGTGCTAATTGGAGATGCTTCAGGAGGCATAGTCACACTGTATGATCTTATTTACCTTTAACTAGCTAGATGGGCAGAAGGCCCACCTCAAACTTGTTACCTGCCTTACGTGCTTGTGTTCTTGTGTCCTGTTATCTTGCTTATTGTTGTGTTATTTTACTAACAGGTGAAGCTGGTCAACATCAGGAATGATGACATCACTGATGGAAACCCCAAACTCACGCTGGGCTTGATATGGACCATAATTCTGCACTTTCAGGTAGGACTGGGTTTAGCCTTCAGTTTTTATAAGGCCTGCAAAGCGCACTGCTTTAAAATAAAGTGTAGGTGATGAGGACATGCAGTATATAATAGTTACATATAATAACAGAAGTATGTGGGCATGGAATGTTTTCCTTAAAATCCATACAGCTGTACTGTATGTGTTCGAGCACTGATGATGCCAGCGGTTCTATATTCTGGAAGTATGCTCATGCTGACAGACCCAATGACTACAATGGCAGTATTTCTTTAAATGTCACCTTGCCTATAGTTATATATATTGAAATAGTATTTTATGATGTTTTGAAAACTGTTCATTGTTTTGTAATGTGGAGTAATGCAGAAAAGCATGGCTGTGCTGGATTTCTGTTAGTATTGTCGGGCTCTTCTTTGAGCTCCTTCTGAATTTAACAGCCTTCTCTTTTCACTCTTTTCCACGAGGACGTGTTTGGCAATGGCACTGCAAGTCAGGGCTCAGCGCTGTATGATATTTCCTGTATGGGTGCAGAAGTAGAGTCCTTAAGGAGAGCAGGGCTCGTTTTCATTCCAGCTGAGTCTGTTCATAACCACTGTTTCCCTGACAGCCTTGATCAGAGCCTGCCTCACTTACTGCTCTCGCACAGTACAGTGTCACGATGTCACGGGGGGACGGTGCAGTAAGCAGAGTGATCTAATGCTCTACATCACAACAGATAAAAATAAGTGCATGGGCGAGAATGAATAACACATCACGTGAAATGAAATATGATAGAATTAAAACCTGCAAGAAAAAAACATGCTGAGGAATTTAAAGCAACATACAAACTTTTTGAAGCTCTTGTTTTGGAGGTGTTAAGGAAGGCAGTGCTGAGGATGGGTGGAGGGGTGTAGGAGTTAACTCTGCTCTGCCTGAGTAGAGACGGTCACCTCGAAAATGAATAGAGAACCTGAATGAGTTAGTCAGGCAGCCAGACTTCAATTCTTTTCAAGTCCTAAGGTGCTGAGGAGTTGAAGAGTCCTGGAAAACAGGCTGGGCAGACAAGCACAGGTCTGCACTGTGTTAGGAAGATATTTATATCCTCCAGACAGCTTTTTGTCAGCTTTGCTCGCTTCAGATCTAAGCCTAATTTCAGAGAAATGTAGGAATCCGAAGTTTGTGTTAGACTCCATAAACAGGCATTCACGGTTTGCTCTAGAATGTCAATCATACTACAAGTCTGTATGCATAAATGTAAATCTCCCTCTGACATCCTGAAAGAGCTGTTTCTTTAATGAAATCCCATCGTGGAGAAAGAAAGAATGCAATATTTTGACTGTGGCATGCCTTGACAGTTTCTCGGAGGAAACGACGCCATTCTTGCCATCTCACTTTCAAAGAATGAATGTGCAAACTCTGGTGCCATCTGTCTCCTGGGAAAAAGGGCTGAAGGTTTCAAAATGAAAATTAAATACCTTAAAGAAAAATAAAGAGAAATGTGTTTTATTGTGCTTGGGGTAATAAAACATACTGACAGATCGCTTGGGAGATGAAGGCTGTATTCTTGCACCTGCTGTTGTCACTCTCACGCAAGGCTTCTGACAGTACTGCTGGTGGCTATAGGCTTGTTATTGCTTGATTTCAGAGTTGGAGGGCACCAAAAATGAAGCTTTCGTTATTTTGCCCAGATTCCTTCATTTGTTCAAAATAGTAATGCCTTCGGGCTACAGGGAGTTTATTTTTGCAATGAATATTTTCGTGCTTTGCTTATACAGTCACAAAAGCAAATGTCAAGGAAGATATAGATTATATATATATAAATGTCACAATGTAAGGAAAGTTGCAAATGAGGCCATTTGGCTGATCTTCCTTGTTTGACTTAAACAAGATTTACTTTATTAGCTAATTGAATGTAAACTTTCTCAGAGCATTTCTTACAAGAGCACACAGATTAGTGGATAGTGAAAGGTGCTGCCTGGATATGCAACTGCATTTCATCAACCAGTCAGAGTAATGAAGAAAGGGATGCTGGAGAGTTGTGGGTGTGTTTCAAGCCCAGTCTTTCCCAGGAGAGCTTGTTCACTATCTACTCCAGAGCACACAATAGTGAATTGTTTTACATTGTTGTAGATCCCAGGATTAGATACAAAACCTGCTCTAGTGTATGAGGATAAAAGATGGGAGTTTTAAAAGACCAATTAAAAGGCTTTTAAAGGTTGTGAACCTTTATATATATTGTTTGAACATATTTTCTGTGATTGAGAGAAGTTCAGAGATAACATTTGCATTATGTACTTGTACTTAGTTCTTATGCAGTGCTTTTGAAGACCTGGTAAAGCTTTTGCTCTTTTCAACATTAAATCAAAATAAATTTCAAACAAATTCCACCTGTTATATACTGTAAGTGGAAGCCCTGTCTTTTTGTTTGTGCAAAATGAATGCAGAATCACCGTGTCCTAGTTGTAAACCACCTGACAATGCTTTTTTTGCATTATGTATTTAAATTGAACTTTGACAGATTTGACATGAAATTGAGAATAATGCATAGAAAGCTAATTTCTCTCATGAAGACGCTCGGCTGTAATGCTAGAACCTTAACGACCACATGATGCTGATGGATTATTCCACCCTATAATACTGTTATTAATAATAATTCATTTCATTTACTGTATATACATCCTCACATCCCAAAGAACAGTGTTTTAGTGTGGAGCAGTAAAACAGAGTAGATAGGAGGATGACAGTGATTGACGGACGGAGGAGCTACCATTGTACCCTGGAGTCCTTGGCGCAGAGTATTGTAGATCATTGCCACAGCTTTATTTCATTCTCGTGTGTTTTCTGGGCACTTGCGAAGGTCTTAATAGGTACATCTGTCTGTGTTAACTCTCGTCTTTTTTGTTTGTAAGGAGGTGAGATGCATGCGGAACCTGTGCAGACCCATTACTTTTCTCCAGAAGTATGCCAGTGCTCTAAATTCCTGAGAATTTGTAGGCGCATAATCTTCTTTAAGCTGTATGAATGTTTGTGAAGAATTTGACTTTGACTTGCCATAGCAATAGGAACAGATTGATCACAGGAAAATACACCATGGCTTTCAATAATAAAGGCTAGGAAGAATGCACTGTAAGAAGAATGCTTTTGTTTCATTTTATTTAAAATAGTGCTTCCTATATATTTATTTAAAACTCCAACAAAAATGTGTTGTAAAACTTAATTGTGGTTAAAGTGAATGATTAAATTATGGATTCCTATTGTTAGACCTATATATATAACCTCTTACGTAGTGTGTACAATATTGTTTTAACCTTCATCGAAGTTTGCATGGATCAAAAGCGTGTTATAGGCCAGCAAGTCAGAAGTATTCTGCCTTTATTTTTAGTCCTGCAAGGCAATATAGCTGTTACTGCTACGCGACCCATAAGGCATCCGGTCATGCACAGAAATCAGACTATTAGCAACTCATCTGGTCTCACCCGGCAACTCCCATGTACAAATGCATTTCACATTGGGAGTTGACATTGGGATTGACATTGCTTTGCTCTTTCAGTACTGTGAGGGACAGTCCCCTCTTGTGTTCTGCAGGGTACCTTACTTAATCACATTAATTCGAGCAGTAGTACTTATGCCAAAAAACAGCAATATTGTATTTTGGCACACTGGAAAGACTAGAATTACTGGTGTAATGTATCCGTGTAATGAAAATTTGACAAACAAATTGCAGAACATTTCTGTGCGTTGGAGCTAACAAATGACAAAGGATGTAAATTGACTTAATTCGTAGAAGGAATAGGAAGCTTTGGGACTTATTGTCTTTAGTACAATACTAGCAAGTTGTCTTTCATGACATGTTTCATAGGTTGATGTTTCTGTGTTGTATGATTTATTAGGGATTTTTTTCAGTGATCACTATTTGAATGAACTGTGCTGTTTTGTGTACATTTTAGAGGCTAACTTTATGTTAGCTAATTTACAATAAAATATTCATTTTCAAGCTTTCGTTGGAGCTGTCATGAGTGTTACTGAATTGAAGCTTGTTTCCTGAAACCGAGGGCTTATAGTATTATGCAACCCCTTAGCCTTTATAATCTGTTTTGGGCGAACGTTGATAAATGGCAGTGGTGAAAGCTCTTTATTCAGAGTAGTGTGGCCTATACCACTTTTGTTGACCCCTACTGTCCTGTTATTTTTAAACCATTCCTGATAGGCTAGGATTTCCTCGGCCTGACCAGTTCTATTGGAACTGCTGAACAAAGTTTTCACGCGAGCTTCCAGCGATGAAGCACTTGAGTCCTTGCAGGAAAATGAAGGCAGTCATTTCACTAAACCACGAGTGGGAAAACTGAGGCACCTCTGAAAACAAAATGTGTCCGGAGATGGAAAGATGTTGCGTCTGGATATTTTTGAAAGAAAGCGGGAAAAATCTGGGCTGTGCCTTGCTCTGACCAGGCAGTGTTTATGGTGTTTGTTTTGGATCAGCTGGTGGTCAAATAGTTTCAAAGGTTACTGAAAATTCCTGCAGGCTGCATCGAACAGGCTGAGCAGCTCTCAGTGTGCCAGGGAAAGGGAAAGAGGATCTAGCAGGAGCTCTGCGTCTGTGATATTTCAGCAGCGTTCTTGTTGAATCTGTGGTAGAAGTACTAATGAGTTTGTTTCCGAGGATTGCTGATCTAAATGGAATGGACTGGATAATCAGACCCAGACTGCAGCTGGGCTGAATGCCACAGCTTCCTGTGTCTACATATCCCATATGCAAAATGGCTGCTAACAGAAGCGAATGTGAAAGAAGTCTGTCTGAAGTTATGTTTGGTAGGTCTCTTTGCTTTTTTTTTCGACGAAAGTATGTTGAACATATTTAAGGAAACATAGGCACGTCTGGTTGATCTCAGTGATGGGGAATGTCTGTGGATGTGTGCGAAGCCCCAAAGAGGACTCTTACATAGACCCTGCCAAGGCTCCTTTAAGTCACACAGAGAATCCCGGAGGCAGAAGATACTTTCAGAGGAAGAAAAGAAGGAAATCTGGAAAACTTCAAACAAGCAATTCTTTAAGAAGTCAAAGTGGAGAGAGCTCGCAGGGAGAAAATGTACAATCTACAAGCATTTTATGGGAAGATGGGACCCAAGAAGATTACAGAAGACCTGGTGCTGCGGATTTCACGGCTGACGATGTGGAGAATTTGGGAGAGGATTTTGATCGTGTGAGAGGAGGGATGTGTTTGCAGTTCCCCTCAGCTGATCTTCCGAAGTCCTCTTCCTCTCTTCCAGAAGAGAGCACAGCAGATCCTCAAGGCTCACCCGTGCAGACAGTTCACACTGGGCTTCGTTGTGGGGGCGATAAGTGTGAGCCTGACCCCCTGCAGAAACAGCAGTATGAGCGACAGTTCACGAGAACGAGCAGTCTGGGTGCTGGCGACCACCTTCTGCAGTCACTGGAGCTGGAAGACAGGACGGACAGTGGTTTTTCCAGATCGTTTGGGAATGTCCTTGAGCCCCATGAGCTTCGGAAAAGTGCAAGCACTGAGAATCCGTTACAGGTACCTGCCGATGGGTTTCCTAAAATTATCTGGACCACAGAAATACAGTATACCCAAAACAAAAGGCCCTATACCTACTGTGGAGGTTCCTGGTCGCAGGAATTTTCTCTTGACATTTTCCAAGCATCACCCAGGTATATACCAGAGGAAAATAAGGTAATATAATCAACAAATGTATAGCTTTGTATCGTGCCTGTTCTTACCTTAAGATGAGATATGATATATGTCTTATCCTTGCCTAGTGAAATAATAAGCAGAGGTTACAGTGTAAAACGTGTTTGTGCTGTATAGTGGGTTCTGTCCATTTACTGAATGAGTGGAAATAGGAGTTTTCATGTAACAGAGTGGAAAGGTTCTGAGGCTGTGGAAGCCTTTGTGTGGCTCTCATTTGCTGTCAGAGAATGCTGCATGGAGCTCTGAAAAGAAAAAGGAACATGTCAGAAACCACAATGTTTGTTGGAGTATGTGAAGTCATTGTTACCATTTTTAAACAAGGAGGCTTTTGACGGCAAACCACAGGCAGGAAGATTCTTTTTTAAGAGCAGCTATTTCCAAGGGAATGAGTTCCTTATTTTCACCAGCATGTTTGTTTTACCACAGTGTTAGTCTGTGGACTTGAGGAGCTTTTTTAAACTATCCAAAAGCCACATTTCAGAGGCATTTGTCTACACCATTCACATTTTTTTCTGTGCACTTTTTTCTAAATTTAACAAAACACTAAGGAGTATCACATCAGACTTTGGGCCAATAACAGTTTTAGTTTTTAATTCCTTACATGTTCTACGCTTCTATAATTGATCCACCGAATATCACTATATATGGGGAGGAGAACATTTTTTAAAATAAAATAAAAATCATTGTTAAAGTCTAAGCTCTGTATTAAAAACAAGAAGATTCAGGTTGGTATCAGAGATAAGAAACCTTAGATAATGCCAGCTGATTTTACGGATATGTAAGCTTCATTGTTTGCTGTTCCGGGTGGTTTTACATTGAGTCATTAATTGTTATGTCATCACATTCTTGTACTTATGAATAGCATGAGCGCCCCACAGCCAAATCACTGTTGTTGGCAACATCTAGATGAGATGAAAACACTGTATTAACAAAGTAAGAATAATCAAGGGTCACAGGTATTTTTAAAGCTTGAATACCTTCAAGTTCAAATGAAAGCCCTGCAGTTTAAAGGTCCGAGGGTGCTTCAGCTGTCTCTTCTCGTTCACACAGGGTTAGGGCTAGGGGTGAGTGGAGTCTTGTGGTGAAGACTAGGTTTAGAAGTAAAGCTACAGATATTGTTGAGGTTTTTCCTGTGTCAAGGTTTAGGATTAAGGTTAACATAATTTGTTTCAAAGGCATGGTCAGGGTGAAGACTATGATTATTTTAACATTAAAACATTTTATTAAGGGGATTTTGTAACCCCTTTGTCTGAGGGCAAAAGGCTTGGGTGGGGTGGAATTTCCACAATGAGAAATCCTTCTCTTTTCAATACTGCTTTGTATGACGCAGGGTCACAGTGAGCACTGTGTACTTGTATTACGCATCAGAATTTCTATTTTGGAGAACATTGCGTCTTGAGATTTATTTTTCTGTATGGATCCCTATCGTACAGTAAGTCGTGGTTTTGCCGATCCATGACTTCCAGTCCCATAAATCCTGAAGATAAACGAAGAACTAGATTTCGAGTATGAATAATATGCTTTAGAAGGGGAAAACACAAATGAAGAATATCTAAAAAAGGCTGTAGGAGTTACTTTCTTTTCTTGTTTTGTGTGAACACTAAAAGTCACACTGTGTGGACAGAGAGTACCACATGGACCTATACTAGGACCACGGCTCTTTTTAAAATTTATTTCAATAGTCTTGATTCACATATACAGTAGTTACTAAAATTGTCAAATTTGCAGATGATACTAAAATAGGATGATTAGAAAATTAATGTAGAAGCAAGCAGCAAAATGAGATTAAAAAAATAATTAGATAAAATTCATGACTGGGCTAACACCTAACAGGCGATGTATAAAATGGACAAGTGCAGAATATTACATGCGTGTAGCAAAAACTATAAACAATACAAAAGGGAAACACTAAGTTTGTAGAAGCTTCTTATGTGTTTTGGTCGCTTTTCATTCAGCCTACACCCAACAGACATTGTTGAGAAGTGTTAAACGGCAAGAAATTACAAAAATCACCATGTTGAAAACTCCTTCTCTTGAATTAGTCCAAATATGAGGGGACCAGGTATTCAGAATGCTGAAAGGCCTTAACAAAGTCACTGCTGTGACCTTCTTCAGTATTAACAATGAAACATGAACCAGATGACATACGTGGGGAAAATAAAGTGTAAATGCGTAAATTATGGCTGAAAACAGGGAGGCACTTCTTTACACAAAGATTTGTGGGAGTATGGAACAGGCCACTCTGCCGTGTTGTCAGAACCCTGACTTCTTCAAAGAAACAGCTGGATGCTGCTCATTGCCATACGACTAGATGGGCCGAACAGGCTCGTTTCGTTAGTAGTCTTTCCTCTGTTGCTATGTGCAGTTTTTATTGAGTCAGTCCACATGTCAGGTTAGCCACTGTGAAGAGCAGAAGGGTTATACACATGCAACTGAAAGCAGTGCCGTCTGGAAGGATGTAATCCTGTACCCCAGGCATTCCTGAGACAAATGGGATTTGTAAAAGCATTGTGTCCATTTTTAAAGGTTGTTGAATCTTTGAATAAATGGAAAAAAACGACCTTCCAATCAGAAAATCCAAAGTCTACAGCTAATGGCTACAAGACATCTCTGGCTCACATTCCATGATGTGTACACTGCCATCAATGTGGAATCTGGAATTCGTGACTGGCAAGAAGGGAAGAATTTGTTTTATTTGCAGTTTAAACAAAGTTTGGGTTGCTAAATGTCTACAAACCATTTCAGTATAAAACTGCTGGTGGTTCTTTCAGAGTGTTCAGGGCTTAGATGGAATAAAGATCTTTTGAAAACTTTCAACTTTTTATTGTTGGAAGCATTCCACAGTACTGCTCACAAAACACTTGAAGCTCACTGAGCAAAGTGTATCGTGCTGTGTTTAAAAGACACAGCTGTGTCTTGGCCCTTCTCCTGATTTCCTTTGCCCAATTTGGGATTTGTAAATCATAATCATTCATCTTCTTATTTTGCCAGTTATTTGACCAAACTGAGAATAGTTCAGAAAGGCTCGCAGAAGTTAAGAATGAACTAGACGAATAAAAGTAGAGCAGAAATAATCTGACCATATGTTGTTGGAATATTTTTTAGGGTAAAGATCGACTTTAATTGTCCACTACATTCTTAGGTAATCACTATCTGATTTAGTGGATCAATTCCAAATAACTGTTTTTATAAGAAAGTGTTTCCATTTACACTAGATTTCAAATTCTTTGTCACTGTGTGGCTTGAAGTGATCCCACGATATCTTCCCATGCCTTGTCTCTAGCACACTGTACAGTATTTGTCTGTATTGTACAATCACAGTCACGGAAAACCCCACTTTAAATTGGGACACATTTGGAAAAACAGATTTGTATATCTGGCCCCAGATTAGCAGGGTTCATTTTGTTATTCTACAAATTAGAAATTCCTTGATCTGTCATCGATTGATTTCCACAGACCTAGTAAGACACGATAGCAGTGGTTCCTGTTATTGTAGCTTTAGCCATAAACACTGAAGAAAATGCCTTCCCAAACCGGGAGCAGGGCAGATTCCGAACTTATTTGCTGTTAGATTGTTGTGGTTGCACAACGGTGCTGTTGGCGTGAGATGCATGTGGGTGTCCTGCGTTGCAGATCTCCGATATCCACGTCACGGGGGAGTCCGAGGACATGTCCGCCAAGGAGAAGCTGCTGCTGTGGTCCAGGCAGATGACAGAAGGCTACGTCGGCGTGCGCTGCGAGAACTTCACTACCTCCTGGAGGGATGGGAGGCTATTTAATGCAATTATTCACAAGTACAGGTATTGCTTCTTCACATTTCTATTAAAACATTGGAAGTGAATGCAGTGGCTGTCTGCTCATTTCTCCTCTTCCAGTGCAGGTATATACAGTATCACTCAGTACCATTTCTTGAAATGGGAAGTGTTTGTAGGTTACCAGCAGGTTACCCTTGTTCTGATTCCCCAGTTTTCAGTTGACTACACTGCTCTCCATTCAGAAGAGAGTGTATTTTATGAATTTTATAGCTCACACACTTTGTGCGTTTGTTACAAAATAAAGCGAGCAATCTTTAAATTGTTTGCAGATATTAAGGATTTTTCCAATTGGCAATTAACATTGTGCTCTTGTGTAAGCACACTCTTAGAATGCTATAAAACTCCGGAAATGGACCTCAATGTTATAACTCCTGGAATTTCCTCTGTTTTCTAAATAACCCTCGGCTGTGTGAATTGTAGTTCAGTGCCAAGGGAGGTCTGTTGCAGATGGAAATGACCTTTCAAATGTACGTTTCCACTTTTGTGATGTTAACCTCAAATGTGATGAGAATGCTCTCATATTTGTTTTGATTTAACACTGTCATTTAAATTAATGATTTTAATTGAAATTGAAATGTCTGCTTCATTTACAGCTACAGTATTTATCAGCACCCTGCAGTTTTATTTTTGTGAAACACTTTATAATGCGTCCAGGATGCACATTTTCATCAGTCACTGAAATCAGTGGTATTTCATTATTGTCTAAGCTAAAAGAATAAATGCTGACAAACACAGCAAACCTTGCAGACAGCAACAATCAAACTGACATTCTTTTGAGCCTAAATAAACTTTCAAGTGTTTATGTGACTAAAACATTCTGCTGAGCCTACTCTTCAGCAAGTCCCATTATGTTTCATGTTCTGAATAGAAGCTGAAAATTCCCCAATTAGATTAATCCAGTGGCCACATGAAAAGTGTCAAAAGAGTACCAAGTTTGTTCAGTGTCCTTGGCTTTATAAGAAATTGCTTTTATTTCTCAGAGATGCGTTTCACTTCTGTGTATTGTAGTGCTATAGAATACACAAGATTGCTTTATGATGCAGTACATATGGTGTCAAAATGCTCACACAGTATCTGTCTGAGTCAGCTAGAGAAACAGAAAATAAATAACTTCCTTGCTTTGAACCTAGAATATAAAGCCTGGCATGTAACTAAAGGGGTGTTCATTTAATTAAAGCTCTTACAGCCCAGTCTTGAGCCACTCGTATCGTGAAGCAGTTTTAATGTTTTTTCTTCCACCATTGTTTTCGAACATTTATGAAACCCAAACCCCTTGGCAATAAGCCATGTGACTGGAATTAAATTTGGTGTGTTGTCTAGGAGAGGTTCTCTCTCAAGATACTTCTGGTTCATTGCTACATGGGCAACACAGAGGGATAATCACAGAGGGATAGACTGTGAACATTGATTAGTCATATATAACCTTTGACCTGTCATTCTGTTCAAATCAAAAAATCTCCAGAAGGATTGCAGACAGATACAAGTTATCATGGAGCACAGATAGGAGCCCTTGTGATCACCAGCATAGAGTGTTCCTGCCTGTGGAGCACATATTGGAAACCTTATTTACTCTATAGAAAAACACGTTTGCCCGTGAAAAGGAATATATTGGTTTGGCCAATGATGAACACTGATTGCAGTATTGTATTGTTTATTTCTTTTGGGTCTTTTGAGAGGTCCTATCCACTTACTGGATTACATTTAACAACAAAAGTATGTAATAATATAATAATTATTTTGAACTGAAGGGTTCAAATGTTTCAAATGAAGGTTCTTCATTGAAAATTGAAAGGATAATTTCACCATACCCCGTTTTCCTTAAATAAACATAAAAACAAAAATAGAAGTGGTTAAACTGTGATTTTTCTGTTACCTGCAGGCCGGACCTGGTTGACATGAACAGAGTTTCTTCTCAGAACAGCCGATCAAACTTGGAGCAGGCGTTTTCTGTAGCAGAACAGTTAGGTGTCGCAAGACTTCTTGATCCGGAGGGTGAGCAGATCTTGTTGATCATAATTTTTTTTGGCAAGTGTCTTTTGGGAATAGAAAAGCTGATTGTTTTTTAACCATTATGCCAGATATCCTACTTCACTGTAAGCAAACTGCAAAAGTGTAAATGTTTGATATTTTATCCGATTTTAAAATAAACATGACGGCAAATGAAGCAAAGAAAGGGGAAAAGATAAGAAATACCAAACAAGAAATGTATCGCTTGAATAGTAGTATCTTGAAATACTAAAAACTACTTAAAAGTACTACAGTAATTGTAAAATTAATTTGGGACTATAAACCAAAAATAGTGTACGGTATATCTTTAGATTTAAACACTAAATAAAATAAAATGTGGTGATGTGTTTCTTTGCCCTTAATTAGACGTTGATGTGCAGTCTCCTGACGAGAAGTCTGTCATCACATATGTTTCAACCCTGTATGATGTTTTCCCCAAAGTGCCAGAGGGTGGAGAGGGCATCAGTGCCAATGTAAGTGAAGTACTCAGAACATCTGTGCACTTCAGGCCCACTGAGGCTGGAGATAAAGTCCCCTCAATACATTTATCAGTGTATCAGTGGTTATGAAGTTCACCTTTTTTCAATTGTTTCCTTTTTTTTTCTTTATCTTCAATGGTTGGTGGAATTTGCTTTTGGTACAGCAAGAGGTCTGTTGGTTTTTTCACAAATAACAATGGGAAAGAGAGCAACCTTAGAAACACCAAGAGGAACAGAATGCTCTTGAATTTAGCTGAAGCTAAGGGTTAGGATTTAGAGATCACGTTTATTGCATTTGCTCACTGGGGCACATTTAAGTTCTTGAAGCTCTGCCAGCACTCAGGATAAACTTGCAGAATGGTGGTCAGAACTCATCTGAGTTTGGCTTTATGAAAATCTTGCTCTGGATTAGAGTCCTGAGCTTTGAAGGTGGTTTCCAATTGGAATGTAATGCTGGTGTCATACAGGATGCTTATAAAGTAAATTTTTAAACAACAATATTTATTGCATCATAAAACATTTTTTGTGATGTTTACCTGAATAGGAAATATAAATTATTCTTTATTATGGAGTTATGGGTGTCTCGGTTTGATTATTTAGTAGAGAAAACTTTTAGAAAGAGCGGTCTTTTTAATCAGTTTCACATTTTATAAAAATGTGGCTACCTCCTTTGTATTGTTATTGTAGTTCATCAGTAGTCAGAGTGTGAAAGTATCTGTGAGAGAGTTCCATTCTCGATTTCCTTCTTAACAAAAAGTCCATTCATGGTTCAAAACAGTGAGTCAAGACTAACTGTTGATTGATGAGAAGTAAGAGATGTTTGTTTGTTTGTTAGTATACTAGTGTAAATATACTATTTCACTTCCATTCCTGTTTAAGAACCGCACCCTTTATTGATAATTTAGCTTGTTTTTCATTGTGATGTAAACTGCAAGTGTTATGTTCAGTAACTAAAAAGTTTTTGACGTGGTGGATTGAACTCATGAGACGAGTTTCAACAGGCTAAAACCTTCTAGAAATGTCTCTTTACAGAAGCAGATCATTCTGTTCTTCAGAAGTTATTATAGGCTAATATTGCTGGATAAACATTAAAGAGGAATATAGGTTTTCAATTTTTGAAAGAAATACCCAAGATTTTTATTAAAGATATTTTATTAATCTTAACAGCTCTCACTAGAATGTGAACAATTTAAAGGATAAATAAATGTATGTACTCACACTCTTAAATAAAATCTAAGAGGTTTTTTTACCTAAGCTTTTATGCCCTAGGTGTGTGTTGTGCGACCTGAATTAAAATGTGTTTTTTTCCTTGGCTTGTATTGCTATAGGACGTTGATATCAAATGGGTGGAATATCAGAACATGGTAAAATACCTCATGCAGTGGATCAAACATCATGTGACCGTAATGTCAGATAGAATGTTCCCGAACAGTCCTGTGGAGCTCAAGGTAAGGGCTTTGAAATTGCTAAAAGGCAGATGGAGGGACAGGTCCCTCAAGTGGTTGTGAGGATCTGGGGCAGAGCTGGCCAGGAATCTTCCACATGTTACAGAATGTCACAGCAGTAGTGGTGTGTTGTCTAGAGGCTACTTGAGTTTGGGCGCTGTGCCTCTGAAAACGTGTACTTGTAGCTGCTCTGTGTGCACTCCACCTCTGCTGTGGGCAAGAGAAGCAAGGGAGGCAGCTTATCGTCTTGCATGTGATGCGGCTCTCCCGGTCAGCACCGGGCGCAGCCGTGAGCCGCTCGATTCCGCCCTGGTACAAAATAAAGGGCGGAGGAAAAAAAACAACAGCTTGCATTTAGTTTTTATTTAAATCAAATGAATTGAAGTGGAGAACCGGCAGTTCCTTCCTATGTCTTTGCATTTCTCCTGATCTCTTTTCTGGAGCTTGTCCACGTTGCACTTGGTAAAGTCGCATATTTGTGAGTTTCAGAGAGAAGTGTGTGTGCCATGATCATCTTGGCGTGGTGGAAATCAATCTCTGCCATTTCTGAAATTCAGTACTTGAGAGACAGATAAGGCCTTAGGCAGGTTACCTGTGTGTTTATAAAGCCTATATGGCACAGCCTAGCGTCTCTTTTTTTATTGAATCGTTTTGCCTTCTGAAAACAGTCACTGAAGGGACGCGGCGCACAGCTGGATTTAACTGGAACAGCTGCTGACTGTTTGTCAGAGCGAGCCACTGGCGAGCTCAGAAGCTGCTACTGCAAGCAAGCCTGCAGAGGTTCGACAGGTGCAGGACATAGCCCAGCGCTGACTGCAGTACTGCTCTGTTTTGTGTGCTTGAGACACTGTCGATAAAGGCATTTCACAGACATCCTAATTTACTTTCTCCTTTTTTACAGGCACTTTATAACCAGTATTTGCAGTTTAAAGACAGTGAAATTCCACCGAAAGAGAATGAGAAATCCAAAATCAAGCAGCTCTATAAAATGCTGGAGGTATGTAAATATATAGTTCTATTTCTTCAGGTATGAATATTTTGTGTATTTTTTCCAGAGTGGCTTTTAATAGAATGGTTTGTTTTGAAAGGTGTGGATTGAGTTTGGCCGCATAAAGCTACCCCAGGGATATCACCCGAATGAGGTGGAGAAGGAGTGGGGAAAGCTGATCGTTGGCATGCTCGAGAGAGAGAAGAGCTTAAGGCCAGAAGTCGAGAGGTATGGAGTGGCTCTGTCTTACAGTTTGAATGTGAAGTATAGAAAAAGTATATAAGAAGTATATTTGCTGAGTTTCAAGTTGTTGTGCCTCGTTCACGTTGTCGATCCCTTTCATTACACAATTCCTAAAGGTTGGTTTCGGCAGGTAAACTGTTTTTATAACAAACATCCTTGAATCTTCTCTTGATTTTTTTTGTCATAAGTAAGACATCAGCTCATTTTCTTCTGAGTATTTTTCAACCTGGAAAAGCCTGGAAAGGCATGATGTCTAGTAAAGGCTCAGCTTACTTTTTCTGTACCCTTTCAGTTTTATATTTCAGAAAATCAACTACACATTTAATGCAGTGATTGGTTATACAAAGTTACTTTGATCAAGCCGTTGCTCATGCTTTTTATTGGTTCAAATGCTCCACTTTGCATTGCTGATGGTACCCAAGGAGTGATTTTAATTTGACCCAGATTCCTGCTGTTCTCTCCCAGAACTGAAATCTTAAGAACATCTCAGTTTTTGAAAGAGAGTCATCTTTCAAAGGGGTCTTTTACTGCTACAAACTCATTTTTACTTTATTTAAAAATGCCGTATTTGTTCTCTTACATTTATTTTGCATAAGCTACTTTTGCCAATGTTATTGTCGCTGGAAAATGTGAGCATTAGACATAATCGAATAAAGAACCTTTTTTATCTGATGGAAAAAAATGCAAATCTGGAATCGGTAGTAAAATTCTTGCAGCACTTAAGAAGAAACAGAAGCAAATAGAGGTGTTCAGGATCCAGAATAATACTGAATGGCATTAGTCTTTTCTCTTAACTTTTGGGGAAAAAAAGGAATTTAAAGGCTCGGAAACATACATAAATCATTTCACTGATGAAGTATCTAAAAGTCTAAAACCATTGATAGTAATCTTATTTTTCTTTGAATCCTCTGTGGATGATATTGTATATCTTAATGAATGCTTATATGAAAATGAAATTGATCTGAAGCACTTTAAAATGCTCGTTCTGACATTAGCTGATGTAACTTCCTTAGGTACAGTAAAGCATCGGTCAGTGCTTGTGTGTGAGTTTTTTTCACGGTAAAAGGAACTAGCCGTTCTTTCTCAGTCAACCCCCTTTTCGAGTAGATGAGTCTATAATTTCCTTCGATATGGTTCCTATAAATGTATGAGAAAGAGCGAAGAGTCCTGCTGTATGTTGCTCAGCGATCTACTGTATATCTGCGATGAGCTTCGGAAGTGCTTGGAAAGTTGCACCAAGGACTAAGTAGTGGTGCTGTTGGTCGTTTGTGTGTTGTAATTGAATCTACAATTTGTACAAGAAACAGAAGTGAGGAAGCTATCAGAGTAAGTGTTTGAAGTATAACAGCGACGTCACTTAAAAGTGTCTTGCATGCTGTGTGACGCTTTCTAAATCACAGCACTAAAGGTAAGAATTGTGTCAGAAACTCATTTTTAAACTATCTTTAAAATATCTTCCAAAATACATTGTTTTTCTTTAATCTGATGTTATTGTTTAACTTTGAAAAAAAATGTTTGAGGGATTTAAATAGGTTGAATCACTTCCCCTAACCCTATTTTGTCCCATAAGCTCTTAAGTTTACCAACTACAAATGTACCTCCTGCAAGGGTTTTCAGGAACATAACTGCAGGTGGCAAGGGCTTACTGTATATCTTTTTTCAGACCCTAGTATTAAAGAACACCCTTGAAAGCTCCGGCTCACTTTTGGGTTTTGATGCTTTTCTATTAGGCATGCCTTTTTACCTTCAGAATTATCTTGCAAGGTTTTGTTTAGACAGATTGAACGTCGAGAGCATGTTGGATTTTTGCTAAGATTTGTTTTGGGTTTTGAAATGAAATAACCTCATTCTTGCTGCTAAGTAGGATCCAACAGTTACGGAGATAAATACGGGGTGGTGCAATGCAGTAAAACCATTTATTGCCAAGAGAGCTAATCCCCCCTAAGTACTGTTTGATTAAAAAGTGAAAATCGGAGGTTGTCAGCAAAATGTACACCTTAAAGTGATTTGCACCACACCCACACCAAAAATGAAACTGTCTGGACCTGTGCTGGATTGCCAGTGTTGGTGCTGAAAGATTACATATCCATTTATGGCTTGAAGCACCATCCCAAAATACTTGATGCAAATTTTTGTTCCCTCTCTGCGTGTCGACTGCACACCTCAAAGCCTATAAGTAGGAGCCTCTTACACACTGTCTACCACTCAGTGTGTGTACAGGAATATCATGTGCAGGAAGGCTCTCCGAAACTCAAACCTGGCATCCTTTGTCCTTGTAGGAGGAGTGGTGTGGTTCTGAATAGGGTATTATGTTTTAAGTTGTGCACAATGCACAGCAATCTTTCATACTGCAGCAGCGTGTCGTCTGTCAGTAACAGCACACTCACCAGCATCGGCTCCATAGAGAACCTGCTGTCAGTCCCCTGTGAGCCCACACTCATTGAAACATCCCTGGTTTTCAATAACAACCCAGTGTATGGAGCCAGGTAAAACTCTGAGAAGAGAGGCTAGTTTGTCTATTCTTATTGCACTTTTCCGTTTCAGACTTTTAAAATACTAGGGATTTGAAAGGAAACGCTCATCAGGACTCTGCATACTGTTGTAGTCACTCCTGATTAATTTTGAGTAATTTTCATATACAGGTATGCAGTATTAGAAAATGTTTTTCCCTTTTTTTCAGGCTTGAAATGCTGCAGCAGATTGCAAACAGGGTGCAACGTGACTGTGTGGCCGGAGAAGACAAGTTAGTGCTGGCACGCAATGCCCTTCAGTCCGTAAGTCACTATGCCCTGCTCCTTAATCCTGGAATCAGTTTTCCCCTTCTGAATTTTCTGGATGGTTACTGAGTGTTTAGTTGTTTAGTTTATTATGCTAGTATGTTCACAGTTACAAATCATTGTAACAGAATTGCACTTTTAATCCTTGGATTTGTTGCTAATAAATCCAGCTTTCTGGAGAAAAAAAGAGTAATTAAATTGCACTGAAGCGAAATGTACGAGTCGGAACATGTTCTTTATTTTTCTAGGATGCAAAGCGACTGGAGTCCGGAATACAGTTCCAGAATGAAGCGGAGATTGCTGGATATTTGCTGGAATGTGAGAACCTTCTTCGACAGCAAGTTGTTGACATCCAAATTCTTCTGGATGGGAAATACTACCTTGCGGATCAGCTTGTTCAGCGGTATAGTGGAGCTTTTATTACCATTCCTGCTGGTACTGTTAGTAATATTGCTGCATGTGTGACTAATAGCAAGAAGAAAACAATTCTTTTAACATAGCGAGTATTACCCGAAGAAGCATCAAGTTTATACATGTTTCTGCTTAATTATGAGATTTTAATCAAATCTTGTAGTACTTTAAAAACGTCAAAGTTTCAAAATGTATATAGTTTCAGAATCTTAATGCAGAAACTGGGACTCATTTTGCAGTTCTAGCTGTTTTACACAGCCTCTCTTATTTCAGAGTGTCGAAGATTCGGGATGACCTCCTGACTCTCAAGGCAGAGTGCTCTTCGGTGTACAGTAAAGGCCGCACTCTCACGACAGAGCAGACCAAGCTGATGATTTCAGGAATAACCCAAAGCTTGAACTCGGGGTTCTCACAGAATCTCAACCCGGGCTTGACGCCGTCTTTAACGCCTGGACTGATGCCAGGGGTGTCCCCCGGACTCACCACTGCCTTCACTTCCAGCCTGAGCCCGAGTCTGACTCCCTCCTTCACGCCAGCCATGACCCCTGGACTGCAGCCCCTGGCGGTGCAGAGTTACGCGGGGGGAATGGACTCGGGAGCACTCCAGCAGCTGAAACTCATGCAAATCCGGAAACCCCTCATGAAGTCCTCGCTGGCTGACCCCAACATGACGGAGGAAGAGGTCAACATGAATTTTGTGCAGGACCTCTTGAACTGGGTCGAAGAAATGCAGGTGAGAACTGGGAGTTAGTTTCTTTTTCTTACGTATTTTCCCCCAGTCAGACTGGGCTGAAATTGGAGCTAAAACAATATACTGCATCCCTGTTTAATACTGCCGTTCAAGGACACTTCATTAGGTGTTTATCTGATTTGAATATTCACTGTTGAAGAAAATGGCCCGTTTGCATTCATTCACTGTAACGCAAGCGTTTTTCGAGCGAAAGTTAATGGCATAATTCAGTAGCATTCAGCGTCTTTGTGTTTCTTTGAAGGTTCAACTGGATCGTGCCGAGTGGGGATCAGATTTACCAAGTGTGGAATCGCACTTAGAGAATCACAGGAATGTCCACGGAGCAATTGAGGAGTTCCAAATGAGCCTTAAAGAAGCCAAAATTAGTGAGGTACTGTGCTGTTAACTTCCTCTTTTTCTGTTCTAGTTAAAGTTTGTGTGATAATGGGTAACTCTGCAAAGAGTAAAAGAACAGATAAAAACTTATCTGCTGGTGCTATAAAATTAAGTTGTTACTACAAACAAACTTCTGTTGAAAATTTGTACACATAGTTTTTCTCCTATGAAATGTTCTTCTCCCAGATTATTTTAGAATGTATCTGTTTTGATTACACAGTGTCACAGTGCCACAGAGCTGGGCGTAGATTGTAATGTAGTTTTGCTTCCAATACAGATCCAGATGACCTCTCCCCAGAAGCTCAGTTACTCTGAGAAGTTGAACAAGTTAGAAAATTACTATGGAAAATTGCTGGTAAGGGCGTCTTTTTTCCCTCCTGTCACACTAGCTATCTGTTCAGCTTGTTGTTTGTTGTCCAGATTGAAGTGCTAATGTCCCGGTGGTAAAAGAAAGCTGCAGTGGTTAGTTTTTCGTGTCGCTGCTCTTCAGAACACATCGAGGAGCCGCCAGAAGTACCTGGAGAGCCTGCAGGACTTCGTGTCGAGAGCCACGCAGGAGCTCATCTGGCTGAATGAGAAGGAGGAGGAGGAGGTGGCTTATGACTGGAGCGACAGAAACAGCAACATGGCCAAGAAAAGAGATTACCATGCTGTGAGTTCTGCGGACACCTCGCTTGCATTTGTAGTCATTTAATGTAGTTCCTGCCAGTACTGGGAGTGAAAACCCCCTGCTCATGCCATTAGCAGGCTTGTAGACTATAGTAGTTTAAGTAGGGACAAGTAATAGGTTTATTCCATGCTGAAAAAAAAGAAGAAAGAGAACACAAGGGTTTAAGTAGGGAGCTGTGTCAGCATGCGTAGGCTGCAAAGGAACAAGTAAAGGTTTATTCCCTGCTGAAAAGAGAAGAAAAGAAACATAGTTGTTCAGTATGCTCTTAATATGAAGCTGCAGATTCAGAAGAAGTAATTAATTCAAAGATAGTAATGCAAATACTATTAATTCAAAGATAGTATGAAAAAACAACTATTGATAAATGTAAATGATCTGGATGGCTCCTAGTTCTGAACTAGAAATAATCAGGATGATTGCTAATAATAAACAACCAGGTAGTGCAGGAGAATTTAGTCATCTTTAATATTTCATCTCAGTTTGATTTGAGAATGACCAATGCAGCATAACAAACAGCAGCAGTGCAGCAGCTGTATATGTGAGCCGTTTGGGAAGGCTGCACATACCAGAGAAGTCCAGCGTCTACAGCACTCTCTGATTAAATGTCAAGGACAAAGCTGCATTATATGTATCTTATTTCTTTGGCACAGGATCTCATGAGAGAACTTGATGAGAAAGAAGGAGCCATCAAGTCTGTTCAGGAGATAGCCGAACACCTCCTCCTGGAGAACCATCCAGCCAGGCTGACCATTGAAGTATGTCATCAGCTCTTCCTTACAAATTCCCCATACGTTTCTCTTGTAGGAGATGCCAGAGTGTTTGTTTTTCTCTATTTCTATTTGCAAACTGGAACTGAAAATACATGCAGTTGAAATTGCAGTTGAAAAATAATTAAATATTATTTGTTAATCTGTGTTTGTCTTAGTTTTTTTAAATGAGTATTTGTAGCACATATTCAAGAGGCTGCACATATTTTTAATTCAGGGCACACAAGTAATTTTAGACAATGTTAGTGGAATATATGACATGCTATGAGCTCACAAACCACTTGAAGTATATTGTGATGGGATTTCAGCCTGTAAAAGAGGAGCAGTTTCACATCTTCTGGTCTGCTGTGTGTGCAGGCTTACAGAGCTGCGATGCAGACGCAGTGGGGCTGGATTCTACAGCTGTGTGGCTGTGTCGAGCAGCACTTGAAAGAAAACGCTCTCTATTTTGAGGTGAGTGTTCTCATATGTATCAAAAGAGAGTTAAATGGCATTTACTCTTACTCACTTAAAGCACTGCGGATTGAGGAGTGCTGTTTGCTGTAATGGCACAAAGTGACCTGTAAATTTAGTGGGTGCAGTAATTTTATTTTTGTTTCAGTTTTTCAATGATGCCAAAGAATCCTTGGATTATCTGAAGAATTTGCAAGACGCCATCCAAAGAAAATATGGTTGTGACCGATCCAGCAGCCTACATAAATTAGAAGATCTGATTCAGGAATCCATGGTAAGTGACAGAGAGAACTAAACATAGTGGTAGACAGAGACAGGATACATGCCACGTTTAATAGCTTTAAATCAACTAGAAAATGTTAAAACAATTAGTTTACAAAAACTAGAAGTTGTTTCCCAAAGTAGTATTCTTTAATAATCTTTTCCCTTAGGGGCAAAGTTGTTTAAACTCACACGTCGCAGTTCAGTTGCATAAGTAATAAAAAGGTAGAAATGTAGAATTATTATAGTAAAGACGTACCATTAGGGAAGTAATGTATTCCTCTTAAGATGTTGCATATTGATATCTGTCTCTGTTCCTGCTTCTTTAATTGGTAATTAACAAAATAGTGCACATTGTGCGGTTAGTGAACAATCCCTGTTTACTGCCAGCAGCCCTCATATCACGTACAGTACATACGGTACCTGTTAAAGCAGTTTGTTACAGTTCAGTAATGGATAACAAGGTTATTTAAGCCCTGTACTGCTCTCATATTTACAGTGCTACTTCCAGAAATGTGCCTTTTGTGCTAATGTGGGTGTTGTCTGGTTTCAGGATGAAAAAGAACAGCTTCTTCAGTACCGCAGCACTGTGGCCAGCCTGGTAGGGAGAGCCAAAACAGTAGTCCAGCTGAAGCCTAGAAACCCAGACAGCCCCATCCGAACCTCCATCCCAGTCAAAGCCATCTGTGACTACCGGCAGATTGAGGTGAACACTGCTTCTTTGCAGCCTTCCAGGGTCTGAACAGTGTGTAGCTGCAGGGTTACGAGCTGAACAGTGAGACCTGCAGGCTTAGTGTTCCAGGACTGATGTGCTGATCTAGAAAAAACAGCAATCAAAATGTTGCACACATAAAACAGCCTGTATTTTTTTTCCCTTCCTGGCAGATAACTGTCTATAAAGAAGATGAGTGTGTCCTGGCCAGCAACACTCATCGTGCCAAGTGGAAGATTATCAGCCCCACTGGGAACGAGGCGATGGTGCCTTCTGTGTGCTTCACTGTCCCTCCACCTAACAAAGAAGCCATCGACATGGCCACCAGGTGTGAGAGACCACTGTGTTTCTCCTGTACTGCTGAACTGATCACTTTGCCTCTAGTGCAGCTGAGCGTTGATTCATGCTCACTATTCGCTCTTGTGCATGCTGTGATCACCTCCAATTGCAATACCATACGTAGATTGTGTTCTTAAACATTTGTAATTGTTATTGTACCTGCATGTGATCCATACGATGTGAGTATAAAAGTGTGACAGTTCACAGCTGAAGAACTCTTTCTCTTGCCCTTTCTGTCCAACCCCTTTCAGGATCGAGCAGCTGTATCAGAACGTGCTGACCCTGTGGCACCGGTCTCATATAAACATGAAAAGTATAGTATCCTGGCGTTACTTGATGAATGACATTGAAGCAATTCGCAATGGAAATGTTGCCTCGGTAAGCAGAACACCCTTTAGAAAACTGGTGCTTTCAAAATACATAATCCTCTTTGTCTGCAGAAAATATATTCCTTTAGGGTAGGTTGGACTAACAATTATGAGAACTGTCTCTAATGCAGCAGCTCACTGTTTTAAGCATGCTTATAAAAATGGGATTGCCTGAGGTACAACACTGTAATACTTTATTAGTCATCCAAGCCTCACCTGGCTGGTATTTATCTTGTAATTTACTGCCTCATTAAACTGCACTCTTCTCATTTAATGCCACAGTTTTAATTCTGGAAACTTTTAAAAGCACATCATTTGAACAAGTTATTATCTGCAGTAATTCTACAGTGGTTCATTTTATGGGTTATTCAGATACAGCATGAGCTGTGGAAAATAAGATTGTTTTTGCTTTTCAAACTAATCCCAGTCTCCCATGCTACATCACTCTACTGTGTTTTGTGTTCCTACTGTGAATGGCATTAATGTTGATAGAGGGGTGTTTGATTTGCCTTCCAGATAAAGACCATGTTACCAGGTGAGCACCAGCAGGTCCTGAGCAACCTGCAGTCTCACTTTGAAGACTTCCTCGAGGATAGCCAGGAGTCGGAGATTTTCACTGTGTCGGACAGGGCGCAGCTGGAGAGGGAAGTGGAGATCTGCAAAGAGTTCTACAAGGACCTCCTCAAGTCTGCAGAGAGAGGTGAAGTTGTCTTGAATGACACTCTGAAAGCGAATAGAAAAATCTCCGTATTGCCTTGCTGTCATGAAAGGAGCGGGCCTTAGATAGATTTCGGCCTGGAATAACTGCAAGCATTTACCCACCTGTCAATAGCAAATCACAGACCCAGGTTTTGAATGTGGGTTTCTGTGGAATGGACACAACAAACCTGAGAAACAAAAAGCTGTAGATGGGTTGAAATTGTGCTAATGTTTAACTGTTAAATCTGGATTCAATCAATCGAGGAAGGCCTTGCACCCATTTTGCCTTAGCCCTGAGTCATTCAGGCAAGGTGGCAACACAGTGGAAGCCCTTTGTAACTGAGAAAAGATGACAGCAATTGCTTTGTGAGGTTTAGGAGCCTAGACATGAAACATCTGTTTTTCAACAGGGATGAACACATCTGTGTCTTCCAATATTTGTTCTGTAGGTAATGGGGTTCAAGTACTAAAGCACTAAATTGTTTGTCTGCTTTGGAGTGCTTCCTGAGCACATTTTATTCTTGTTGATTCTTGCGTGACTGTTTAAATCAAATTGGACAGACTCTTAGTTAAACCAATCTAACGTTTGATGTGGCAGTCACACCCATTGCTGAAATCATTGTGCTGTCTTTCACCCAGTAATGGGTTTGTGTTTTGTGTTCTGTATTATTGCCACAATACCCTTGATTAGGCTTTGTGTGCCATGAAGCAGTTTGGTGTCTTAATACGTGTCCTAAAAATACACTACCTGAAGCTCCACACCCTTTAAAAAGTAGTTATTAAAATTAGAACATTATGGCCTGGTTCACATATGGCAAAAACATGCCTTTAGGCCATCTGAGAGAACAACAGCTTGTGTTCCAAACCCTGAAAGAGTGGAGAGGGAAAATGCTGTACAGTATTTCTGTTTACCATGTAAGGACACAGAATTATTTTTTATTCATGTCAGGTTTTAAAATAAATAATATTCTATAGTTAAAAAACTAGGGATACACCCTCTACGGGGTAAGATAAGACATCCATAAATTTGATTTCACATAAAACCTTCCCATAGGTCCCATGATACAATGATACAATTTTTAAGTTTGGGTAAGCTTACCTTAGGTCCATAACCAGTGAGTAGTGTGATGAATTCCTTCTATGGGTGAATTGTGTGGTGTCCGTAATGTCGTCTGTATGGTGTGAGTGGAATGTGGCCCAGCGTCCACCATGTGGCTCTATCTCTGCATATCATGTCACGCTGAAAATCACCTGTAACCCTTCCTGCAGTCGCATCAGGGAAGTACCAAGCGATTTCATTCTTTTTCTTAAGTACTGTGTTTTTCAATTCGTGTTGGAGAATGGGAGATTGTCCTTAGATTGTCTCCAAAATGGATCACTTGCCGAGTTTCCCCAGGTATGCAGTGCTTTTTGACCCTGTCCCTCCTGTGGTTATATGTGGAACAGAGGAGCAGGAGGAGTCTGTGTACAACCTGTTCATCTCGGAGGTGCGAAACTTTCGCATGCGTCTGGAGGGCTGTGAGGAGCGGCTGATCCGACAGATCAGGACCCCCCTGGAGCGGGACGACCTACAGGAGAGCATCCTGCGCATCTCCGAGCAGGAGGTCGGTCTGACCGGCTCCAGAAGTCTTTTTTCCTGATAAAGATATCAGTGTTTGGGAGCCAAAAGTCAAATGAGAAATAGTTGATTTAACGTTTATAACATTTTGTATTATTTCTGTGACATCATCATTGTCTTTTCCCTAGCACTGTTTTTTTTGTAGCGATAATTGATTTGGAAGAGAAGCTATATAGAAATCCCTTGCCAATTAATAGGCTAAAACTCTGTGTTTCATTTTTAACATCCTGAAAATTCGAAACCAAACTTTGTCCAGTTAGCTTTGCTCCACAGTTTTGTGATGTGTTTGTCGCCGCTCTCGTGTAGAGCAGAAGTGAAGGCCGTCTTCCTGTCATTGCCAGAAATATAAGAAAGAACTGGACAAGCTGAAGGAGGACTTGGAGACCATGAAGGAGAAATGTGAGGTGTTTGTCAGCCAGGCCTCGTCTTCTCCCTCGGTGCCAACGCTGTCCTCGGAGCTCAATGTGCTCATCCAGAACATGAACCAGGTCTACTCCATGTCCAGCATCTACCTGGAGAAGTGCGTTTGCCATTTTGAGTGCACCTCAGAGTTTTCTGAAATATTTTGAATATACCTGAATATGCCATTAGAAATTTGAGAAAACCTCAAATTTGAGTATTTGTGGGATAGTTCTCGAAGTGGAAATGTTGTTAACCATATATTTTCAAAAAGTAGGGACCTTAACAAGAGGAATGGGAGAAATCTGGCTTTCTTTTAGGAGCAATTGAGTCTGACTTCATTTGTGCTGACACAATATTTTAGAGAGATGTTTTTCAATTGGTTTTCACAGTTTAAAGTGTTTAAAAAAGTATGAAGAAATGGCATCTGCAGTGATTTGTTAATGAGTAAATGATTAACTGCAAGAAGGGACTTTGCCAGTGTAAAGTGTCAGTTTCTTTACTCTCTGAACCCTGAGATTTAGCCTCTTCACTTGTTACTCTCTTTAGGTTGTTTTGTGCATTCTGTGTGACATGCCCTTGGTTTTGCAGGCTGAAAACTGTGAGCCTGGTGTTGAAACACAGCCAGGGGGCTGAGGCCGTGGTGAAACTGTATGAGACCAAGCTCTGTGAGGAAGATGCTGTGAACGCTGATACAAAAGCCATTGAAATTGTCATGAGCACACTAAAGGTAATAAACAGATTGTATGGCATGCTGCCTCTCGCAAGTTTTGCCTGTTCGGTACCATTTTCATTAAGAATTGTGTGGTCCACCTCCTCATTTCATACAGATAAATTGTGGTGCCTTTCTGAAGCAGAGACAATGATAATCACAAAAATTGAAGTGCTTTACTCTGTGCTAATTTCCTACTCGATTTTAAGCAAAGTTGTATTAAAGACATCCTGTTGCCTCCATTTTCCTTAGTCTTGTATCTGTTTTACTGTGCTTGTGCTCTTTAGGGTTTTCAATGTAATTTCCGTTGTTTTACCTTCTTTGTTGTGCTCATACTTTTACTGGATGTCTTTCATATTGAACTCATGACATCTTTGAAAACTGTATTTTAGCAATGGCGTACAGAAATCGATGAAAAGAGGGAAGTCTTCCACGACCTGGAGGACGAACTGCAGAAGGCCAGGTCTGTCAGCGATCGCATGTTTAAAACACACAACGAGCGGGACTTCGATCTGGACTGGCACAAGGAGAAGGCCGATCAGCTGGCAGAGCGCTGGCAGAATATTCACTCCCAGATCGAAAGCAGGTCGGCACTCCCGGGTTTTAATCCGACGGCCACAAGTCATTGCTCAGTGCTGTATATGTGGGCAGCACACAGATAGACCTTCTTTTTCAGTCTTTGTAAATCTTCTTTGACAGTTCTTTTTTCTTCGTTAATGTATACAGTACCTTGATTATTTGGTAATATTATTTCTCTCTGCGTGATAACTATGCATTACCGATTTGCAAATTTTTATACCATTGTCATGTCTGCGTGCTGTTCAGGCTTCGGGACCTAGAGGGCATATCCAAATCCCTGAAGTACTACAGAGACACGTACAGTGGCCTGGACAGGTGGATCAAGGAGATGGAAGCCACTCAGCTGAAAATGCAGGAGAACCAACCAGAAGACAGCAAATCCCTTGCTGAGCTGCTCAACCAGCAGAAGGTAAGAAGAGATGCATGTAAAAGAACAGACACTCGTGCGCTTCTTATGAGCGTAAAAACGTTGCAAACAAGAGAAGGGCTTTTAGCCTCAATGCTTGTTGGTTACTAGTAAGTAGTTGATCTGGGGGAGTCCACTTCACCAGCATGGTTGGGAAGTGTGTTCCACACATCCTCATCTCTTAGTGTAAGGTAGTGCCTCTTGGTTTCAGTCACCTCTTAACTTCTAGTGCTTATGTTTTATGTCTTTTTTTACTGTGTTTGACTTGTAAATTAAATGCAAACAGGGTTTCTCAGTTCTAGTTTAACTCTTTAAAAAAACAAAGGTTTTGAGTGAGACCACCAGTTTAACAGACATTCAGATCTGGATTCATAGAAAATCCATTGAGCTTGAGAGCTTGTTTTGTTTTCCCTCAGAGTTTTCTTATTTTGAATTTTATAAGATGACAAGTACAAAGCGCAAACAATGACATAAAACTATCTATAAGATTACATTTTACAACCTTTTCATTATACCATTAACATGATATATGTTGCATACTTATATTGAGGTGAATTTATTCCTTAAGCCTAGTGGACAACATTGTGTAATATACAGTATACGTTTTGTTTCTTCATATCGTTTGATTTTGCCATCAATTCTCACTCTCGCCTCGACCTTGACGAGAGTTGTTGATGTGTTATATTCTCAGACACCTGAATCATAGTGTCAGGTTCATGAATGTGGAATAGCAGCACGGGCGGATTTAGGGCCAGTGAAATTCAGAGTATTTTTAATGTAAGTGTTTCCTTGGCAGGTCCTCGTCTCGGAAATCGAACTCAAACAAAGCACGATCGATGAATGTCAGAAATACGCTGAGCACTACTCTGCAGCCGTCAAGGTGAGATTTGCAGCGCCTTGGCAATCTGGATATTTTTTGTTATTTTTCCTTCCACTTTCCTGCTTTGTAACTTATGTTAGGTCCTGTGTGAAGACCTGCTGCCTGTGTTTGCTGTGAGAGAACCTCAATCTGGAATTTCTGATTGAATGACACAGATGAGATACATAGTGCAAAAAACAGTGAATCAGCGTGGAAAGGTCCTTTTCCAGTTAGCTGCAGATAGGGGCCTTTATGTTGCAAAATATGTATTGAAGATATTGCTCTACCTCTTTTCCCCCAAAATTAATTAATGGGACCCCCAAAGATTGATACAGAAGCATACTTCAGTTATGCCCGAAGGGAATTTGTGCAAACTGTTTTCTCCAGATGGCCCGCAACACTGGGAATCCTAATTGGGAACCAAGAGAAGATCGGAAATAAGAAAGGAAAAAAGGGAATTTTTAGTTTTATAATTATTTGATTCACAACATGTTATTGTCCTTATTTTACAAGAATATAACAATGAGAGAGGGAAGCCCACTTTCCATTGCTCCAGACTATTGGTCCTTGAATTCTTCACTAAACTCTTTCACAGGATTATGAGCTCCAGTTAATGACCTACAGAGCCATGGTGGACTCGCAGCAGAAATCTCCCGTCAAGCGCCGCCGCATGCAGAGCTCATCAGATGTAATTATACAGGAGGTAAAGTGAAAAGGACTCTGCTCTCACTGCTGTTGTTAAACGAGTAATCAGGAAGGGTCATTTGCTGGAACACAATCCCTATTGATCATTGCAGTTTATGGACCTGCGAACCCGGTACACTGCCCTGGTGACCCTGATGACGCAGTACGTGAAGTTTGCTAGCGAGACCTTGAAGAGGACAGAGGAGGATGAGGTAGGACACTGGTGTGGCCTCAGCACAGGCGCAAACAGCAGGACGACCTTCCTGGGAAGCTCCCTCAATCAGCTGTATGATTGTGCATGGCAATATTTACTGTATAAACAGCTTTGTTTAAAAGGATCATCTGTCTATGTTGATTTAATTTAGTAAATCTGGTCAAATGTATAATTTATGAATGGGAATTAATTCCTTGAGGTGGAGTTTTTTATGGTTTTGCAAATACAGTACAAACTGGCACAGTGTTATTTTGGGATGCACTCACAGATTTCCTGAGAATTAAGATAGATGTAGAGAGAGAGAGCTGCATATCATTCATCTGCTTGTGTGAATCTGTTAGCTCTGTCTTGAAATACATTGTACACAAATGCATGGATGTCAAAGGATTTTGTAATGCATGAGCAGCTAAATTTCTACACATCTCTAATGATGGACCAGTTAAGAAACACTTTAAAACCTTTTTTTATCAAGACCATACAGCACATGTCAAACACATCTGAGGAATGTTCATCAATTAACTGGCTTTCTCTATAGTTTGCTGCATAGCAACATTACTTTCTTGAAGACATCTAAATGACGTAAAATGGAAAAGCTAATAACAGATTATATCAACTGAGATTCAGTGTTTTCATGTATATCTCATTTGGGCTGCAGTATACATTTTTCATCACATTTGGGGAAATTTAGTTTTAAGAGCTTTTTTGCATGTTTAAAATTAAACCTCAAAGAATTAATCAGGAAATGTGTATTCATTCTAATATCATATGATAGATGCTTTGTAAAATACAGAAAAATATTAGAAATGTTAACTGCATTTTAAAGTTTTTATGATGCCTGCTAAAAGCTTTAGAGCTGAACATTTGCTTCTTTCTTCAGCACATAGCTCTGAACAGACTAACAACATGGTTGCATGGTTGCTAAAATCTAACAGCATGGCAGCTCTAATACCTTGTATTAGTTATTGCTTTCTACCAGGATGAAAACTTCTGAAATAGTTATACACTGCTTCTTTGTTTTTCATGATTATTACATTTAACTAACTGTGAAAAACTTTACGATACAAATGTGTTTAGGTACATAACAGAGTGGATCCTTTTTTATAATCTCAGGTAAATTCAAGAATAATATCTCCAAGAAGTACACAATATCTCATACAAATGTTTGTCTGTTCAGATTTCCTTCACTTTCCTTAATACATCAAAATAGAGGTTGTCATGATTAGAAATACATAATGCAACTTTTTATCTGATTATTCAGATTTACTATACTGTATATATACAGTACTGTATATACAGCGATTTAAAGATTTTCAATATACAATATATTCAAACTTTCCTGTCAATCCAGCTTGGACATCCCATTTGTCCAATTTTCCTTCTTTCATTTCTGGCAGTAAGATGTTGCAGTTTTAAAAAAGGAAAACAAAATGCCTCACTCAATAACTTGTACTGTTGTGCCCAGTATTCTTCTGATGAAGGTGAATTCTGCCCTTCAGTGGAGATGGAAAATGTTCCAAATGAAGCTGGGAACAGTGGGTCTGCGGTGACAGAGTCTTCACAAAGTGTTTTGCGTAGTAGAACTTACATAAGCAAAAGAGACTGCTTATTGCTTTCTGAAGACACAGAGCAATCCCCATTTCCGGCCTCAGACCAGTTACTGCATGCCTTGGATTTACCTTTAATAAACAAAACCACAAGCAAATCAGTATGTTCAAATAATAATCTTCCTCCAAGGGATAACGTCAAGACCAATTCAGATCAATTGCACTTGACCACCGTTTTTCCAAAAGCAGACATAGAACATTCAGGAAATTTTAAGAAATTAATTCAAGGTACAGCAACAGGACAAGAAAAAAGCTGTTTGTACAGTTCTTCTCCAAGTGAACAAGAAAGACAGCCTTTCATTACAGGATGTTTTCACACTGAGCCCATAGTATGTTCTAGGGCAGAGCTAAAGACTGAGCCTAGGGCATCTCAACTGTCATTTGATGCAGATCAGCGCAGGAACTTCTTTCCCCATATTCTCACCCAAAACCTTTCCGATGCCTTTGAGAGCAGGTTTGAAGAGTCTCCTGCTTTCAGCACGAAAGAGCACCCTGATAGCTACGTGTGCAGACAGAAACTAGAGAGTGAGGAGGTCATAGGGTCAGCCAGGAGCAAAATATTGTCTTCAGAAATACAAGAATGCAGCCCTGCATTTAGCTATGACAGCATTTTGCAAATTATTGAGGAAGGAGATGAGTTGAGTCCTTATCAGAAAAGTCTAATCGGCAGAGAAAGTAAGGAGTCTAGAAGATGGGAAGGTGATTTAGTTTCTGGTGAATGGCAGGGCAGTTTTTCCTTCTCCACATTAACTGCAAGCCCTAAAGATCAAAATGATCCCCCCGACAGAGTGATGGCTGCTGAGCAGGGAGGAGCTGGCTGTGAGGGAGCAGGTTGTGGCTCTGAACGTTTACATAGAGCTGCTACACAGCAAGGTGCGGGATATGGAAATGAAGGGCAGCATATCATATTCACTGAATGCACTAGTGAGGTTCGATTCATGCAGTGTATGACTGAGCTTCAGACGATCGTCGAGGAGCAGTGTGACTCTGATGAAGCTACCCTTCAAGACGGGGAGCCCAGCGCCCATCCCCTTACAAGGTCATATTCCTCAGTGGAAGATGACATGTGCCCCAATGAGCAAGCCTGTACTCTAAAAGATACTATAGGAAATACTGTGACAGGGGATAATTTTAGTGATAATTATCTGTCAGTGGAAGGTGATGGCAAACAGCAGACCAGGGAATTGCATTGGTGTCACAGGTTTCATGAAAATGCTGAAAAACATGCAAGCCTATGGATGAATGATCCCTTGATCAAGGGAAGGAAAGGAAAACACGAGCAGCTCCAATGTACAGCGGGTAGCTTGGTGGTTTGGGAGTCGAATGAAGATGATGGACTGGAAGTATTTCTGACTGATCCAACTATAAGCAAAGCTGCTGAAATCAATTGGCTTCAGAATAAATTAACAGCTCTTGAACATAATCAAGAAATCACTAAATGCACAGAACAATTAACAGAACAGCAAAGACTGGAAAATGATGCGCAGCTAAACAAAAATAAAGAGGTACTGATTTCAAATTCAACAACTAACAATCATTCTTTCAATAAATGGTATTTAATCACCTGCTGAAATTTTGGATCATTGGTGGTGGTAATGGTTCTTCATGCAGTATATAACAAATACATGCGTGTTGGTGAAATTAATAATCACAAAATAATTGAATTTCTTTCTTCACAGTTTGTTGTTTAAGGGAACCTCCCAGCCATGAATTATGTAAGATAGGAGTTAAAAACCTGCAGAAAACCATGAAACCCATAAATCTACTTCAAACTATGTTGTTATCTTACTCATTTTTCTTTACAACACCTTCTTCCTTTCATGAACTTTGTTTTTTTATAAGTCTCCTTAAGGAAAATGGGTAAAACTGTTATTTTAAAATGGACTTTTGAAACAGGAGTGAATATGAATTTGTGCTTATAAGTGTTAAAGCAGAGTTAAGGCAGACGTCTTGTTTTTTTAACAAACCCGAATAATTGTGTTTTTGTTTGTTTGGTGTTTGTGTATCAGTGAGTGTCTTTTTAATTTTATTTTTTTCTATCTGAAAGACCACGAATTTAAGAATGACCCAAATCTTTCCTGGATCCTACGCTTGCCTTTTCAGTTTCTTTCTAGCTTTATTTATGACCCCTGTATTGTGCGTGCGAGTCACTCGAATGCTGATACAAAAGCCACAATCTTTTGTATTGCTGGTGGTGAGGAACTTTTTCTGACGCAATAGTGTTGCTTTTCTTATAAGAATAGAAAATCTTTGAAGCTTTGATGGGGCAAAAGGTGGCTGGGGATGCTTCTGGTGCAAAACCTCCATATCCTAGTAAGTATGTTGACATTTCTCTTCTCGGCTTTTGGAACTGATTCTTATTTGTTTTAAAGACTCCGCAAGTCCTGGAAGCTGGATTATTTTATTTTTCGTTGTAGAGAAAAAAGGCATTGGACAAAGCCGACCACACAACCTGGTCAGAAAACCTGGAGCTGCAAAAAGCCATGAGTAACGAAGAAACGTTAAGGCTGAGACAGCAGGTGCGGGATCTAGAGGGTGCTTTAGCCGAGACCTCGCATCAGAAAGAAAGTCTGGAAAGCGAGATCCAGAAACAGAAGAAGGTGACCGAGGAGTTGAAGCTGCAGAAAACGGCTGCGGAGTACAAAGCAGAGCAGTGTCGGCTGGAGCTGGAAGCCTCTGTGAAAGGCAAGGCGGCCCTGGAGCAGGAGCTGGCTTATGTGCGCCAGCTCGTCCTGCAGTCCGAGGCAAAGCGCTCAGCGGTGGAGGAGCACCTGAGGATGCTGAAGAGTAAGATTGAGGAGAGCACGCTGGCCAGGAGGCGGCTGGAAGACCATCTCAGGAGGAAAGACACCGATGTCCAAGATCTGGAGCAGCACAGGAGAGCTTTGGAAGGAGAATTAAAATCCAAAGAAGCTGCAGAAGCAGAGCTCTTGAGTCAGTTGAGGCAGCTGGAGCAAGACGTTGCTCAGCAATCAGAAGCCAGAATGCTTCAGGGTGAGATGCGTTTTTCCATTGCGCGGGAGACGGTCCAGCAGTCTTCCTTTTCCAGCAGCAGCCAGTATCTGAACGTTGACAGGGAAGCTGTAATGGCTCACCAGGAAACCGAGGCAAGGAAGGCAGAAGCTCTGCAGCACAAAGTTGAGGAGCTCACACTGGGAAAGAAGAGAGCTGAAAATGAAATTAAGAACTTGAAAACTGAACTGAACTCCCTCACGCTGCAAAAACACGCATCGGAAGAAAAGGCGCAGCGTTTTAAAGAGCTCATGGAAGCCGCAAACACAAAGCTGAAACAGCTCCAGCTGGAAGCAGAGTCACTTAGGAATAACTCTAAACAGAAATCTGAAGAGGCGAGGCAGGAGGCGAGTGAGCTCAAGAAATCTGTTTTCCGCTTCCAGGAAGAAATCAAAACTCTTCAGCGGGACAAAACTTCCTTGGAACAAGAAGCCCTTTTCTACAAGACAGAGGTAGAGGGACTGAAGGACCAACTAACAATAAAGCGAGAAAAGTTGCTTCAGATAAACTCTATTGAACAGGAGAGTAACCAGAAAACAAGATATTTAGAAGATGAGCTCTTAAGCAAACAGGCTGAAGGTGATAAACTCAAACTTAAGATTAATGAAATCACAAGAATAAACGTCAAATTAGACAGTGATATCAGAAACCTGAAGATTAATATTGAATCCCTTAAACAGGAAAAAGCTTTTAGTGAGCAAAAACTGAAGTCCCACAAAAGTGAAATGGATAGTATGAGAGAGCTGCTTGAAAAGGCCAAAGAAGAAAATACTTGGAAGTCAAAGGCTGAACAAGAGAATCAGTTAAAACTCCGAAACCTTGAAAGTGAGCTGACCAAGAGCAATCAGATGGTGATTCAACTGAAAGAAAAGGTGGAAGAGCTGAAAAACATGAACCTCGAAACCGAGCAGTCCATGAGGAGTGTGAAATGTGAGTTAGAAAAGGTCTATATGGAAAAAAGTAGCATGGAACAACATAATAACATCTATAAATCCCAGGTGGAGAGCTTAAAATCTCAGTTAAAAATTATTGAAGATGAGCTTCAGAAGAAAAGCCAGACTTCACACGAACTTCAGCTTAAATTAAGGGACTACAATGATGAAATGAAGAAAACAGCTGAACTACAGCAGAAGATCCAGTCTCTTAATGTGAGCAATGCCAGCTATGAGAAGGACCTCAGAAACCTAAGGTCTGAGCTCACTACAGTAAACATGGAGAAGAAGCAGGCTGACCAGAAAGTCCAGACTCAGAAGGCCGAAATCGACGAGCTGAATATGAAACTGAAAAGACTGAAAGAGGAACTCCAGAGGGAGAGCCAAGAGGGTAGGAAAAACAGCTCTAAAATTAAAGAGCTTGAAAATGAACTACAAAAATGTAGAATGAAAATGAAAGAAATGAACACAAGCTCTGAAAAATCTATATCAAATTTTAAAATGGAAATTTTAGCCCTTCAGAAGGAGAAGACCGCTGCTATAGACAAAGCCCAGTCACTGGCAATTGAAGTGACTTTGTTAAAGGAGAGATTGGAGAGAGCTCAGGAAGACATCAAACAAAGGCAGAAAGAAGGCATAGCCGATCAGCAGAAATCCCAAAAACAGGAAGAACAACTGGAGAACTGCAAGAAGATGCTGGAGGAATTGAAAAGCAAACTTGAGTCGCAGAAAAAGGCTCATGAACGGCAGCTGCAGTTGTTTCAAAGTGAAATGGAGCAGAAGCTGAAATTAAAAGAGTCTGCTGCAAAACTGGAGTTTGATAAGAAGTCAAGAGAACATTTACAGAGCGCAGAAACTGCTGGAAGGGAAGTCAAGTACTTCCGGCAAGAGATCGAACAGCTGAAAGCCTTCAATCAGAACACGGCGAAGAAGAAGCAGGAGGCCGAGCAGGAATTGCATACGTTGCGTGTGAAGGTCGGACAAGCAGAGAAAGACCGGACCATGACAAACCGCGAGCTCATGAATGCAAAAACCTACATCGCCGAATTAGAGAATGAGCAAGTCAAATTGAAAGCTAACGTCACTCAGACGGACAGTATCCGAAAAGAAACCACTCTGGAGAATTCGAGGCTTAAACACACATTAGCCGAGATGGAAAGAAAGCAAGTGATGGGAGAAAAAGACGTTCACTCTCTCAAAGAGCAGATTGCTAGCTATAAGAAGGAGATAGGCAGCCTGCAGGAAAAGGTATCCAAGCTTGAGGCAGCAGTAAGTGCAGAAAATAAGAAGGCTAAAGAACTGGAGATGAGTCTGAATCAAAGAAATCTTCAGAGCTCCAAGGAAACAATGATTTTGCAGAAAGCTGATGAGGAAGTTGCGACCCTGAGAAATGAACTGCAAATAACAAAGCAAATTGTGATATCTCATGAAGAGTTGAAGCTAAAACAGGAAGAGGAATTAAGGAAAATTAAACTATCCTTGGAGGTATATACACAAACATACTTTTGAATATTTCATACCATTATGTTGTAAGCTACAAGTACAGTTTTTTGCAAGTATGTCTTAATTTTGCTAAGTTTTAATAAGTGTTACCACGATCAACTGTATATGACTCCATTGAGATGTATCTTTATTTAAAATACAGTCATCCGTCATTATCTAGAGAAAGAGTAAAATACTGGTGTATGTATGAGACAGCAATTTCCTTTATCAAATGATGCACTTCCTAAGATATATATACAAATCCAACATTTTTTGTACATACTGTGTAAGTTATTGATCTTGAAAGGTCTGTTTTTTAGTTCAGTATATGCATATAGCCAGAATGAACCTGTTTAGTGTTTTAATAGTTCTTAAAATTTCATATCTGCAGATTGCTAAACTGGAGAAGAATAAGCTGATGGAAGAATTGAGAATGTCACAGCAAGGAAAGGAGAATGTTTGCAATGAACAGGATCTTCTGAAAGTCCGACGCACAGAGCCAGAGCCTGTGCTTAACATCCTTGCAAATTCGTACAGTTTTCAGACATCGCAGGTTATAGAAAACAAGAACCTGCATGGAGACTCCAACTCTGTGAACACACAAATGGAATATATGCTCACAAACAAAAGCTCTACATCTGACATGGCGCACTCGTTGGTGATCATAAAGAATGCCAGCATCCAGAACACTACAGACACTTTCTCATCTCACTATCAAGACCTGAGAACCCCCCAGATAGCAGAATCTTCTCAGGGTCAGAGAGATTTGGTGAAAAGGGATGACTGGGACCTGACTAGGGGAGAAGACAAATTCAAATTCCAAGGGCTCAGGTATGGCGTTAGTGCCAGACAGCTGATTGAAGCCAAACTCTTAGACAACGAAATAATCCAAAAACTAGAATTAGGCCTGAAGACAGTTGAAGAGGTACAGATGTCTCTTGAAGATTTTATGAGCAAAAAGTCGGCCATAGCTGGGCTATACTTAGAATCGAATAAGAAAAAGGTTTCATTTCTGGAGGCAGCCACTCAAGGCTTCATAGCCAAAGCTTATGCTACTGAGTTCCTTGAAGCACAAGCAGCAGCAGGGTTCATAATCGATCCAATTTCAGGCAAGAAGTATTCAGTTGAGGAAGCACTTAAGTATGGCGTCATCGAGGAAGATTTAAGAGACAAGCTGCTAGAAGCTGAGAAGGCAGTCACTGGGTATTTGCATGCTGGTAAAACGCTGTCAGTGTTTCAAGCAATAGAACACAGGCTTCTCGAAAGGCACAGGGGCAAGAAAATCATCGAAGTGCAAATAGCGACAGGGGGAGTGATTGACCCACAGAGGAGCATTCGGCTGCCTCCAAATCTCGCGGTCGATCTGGGCATTTTAAACAGGGCCACTCTGCAGCACCTGTACGAGCCAATAAGCAATCCTAAAGGGTTTCACAATCCAGACACGGGGCAGACGATGTACTACCTTGAACTGATCAAGATGTGTGTATTTGATGTTGATAGCGGAGTTTTCCTCTTGCCCTGTGGCAACAGGCATATCACACGTGTCTCTCCAGACAAGGGTCCTAGAACTTCTGTCATCAGCAGCAGGGCAGGCACAGAGATGACAACATACGAGGCCTATCAAAACAAACACATTGACAAAAAGACATACCTGGACCTCTCAGGAGAGGAGAGTGATTGGAAAGAAAGTTCCACTTCAGATGCAAGCGGAGCGCCGTTACACTTTTTGACCGACAGCAAAAGTGGGCGGCAGTTTTGTATCAAAGATGCTATTGGAAAGGGGATCATTGGGAACACAGAATGGAACAGCTATAAAGACGGTAGAATAACAATCAATGAGCTCGCTGACACACTGATCACACGGCACACTGTGCCTCGGGATCCAAACAGTCCTATTGCTGGAGTGTGGGACTCCACTGCCAACAAACGCATTTCAATTCTGAAAGCTCTGCAGCAAAATCTCCTTGACAGGCTCACCGCTGTGAGGCTCCTGGAGGCTCAAGCCTGCACTGGGGGCATTATTGATCCATCCACGGGACACACGTTTGCCATCCCTGAGGCTCTCCGGCGTGGCCTCCTGGATGAGACTTTGGCTCGTCAAATCCAGCAAGCCGAGCAAGCCTACACTGGCATTGCCCACCCCCAAACCAAGAAGGCCCTGTCCTTGGCAGAAGCGATGCAAATGAATCTGTTCAGCAAAGACGCTGGTTTCAGGTACCTGGAATTTCAGTCTTTGAGTGGTGGACTGATACACCCAGAAACGCATGCCAGAGTCACGATGGAAGATGCGGTCAGGAACGGCCTCATCGATGCAGCCACTGCCATGCAGCTGAATGATGAGAAGTCTCGCACAAGAAACCTAACGTGTCCAAAAACAAAAAGGAAAATATCTTTCAAGGATGCTTTGGACAAAGGAATTTTTGACTCTCACACTGGGCTGAGATTATTGGAAGCGTCTAAACCTCACAGTGTTGGCAGTTTGACTCCTCGGTACTTTATTTGGGCGTACTGATCTACATCTTTTGGGTCTTGTTGCTCCAGCAAATAAACTCGAAATGTAGATCCCATCAGAGACTTTAGAGTAAAGGAGAAACGGTGAAGTGTGTAATACATTAGTTTGTTTCTGAAAAAAATGTGTATTTGATCTATTCTATACACGCATGTAAAACCTGAAAATAATTATCTTCTTACTGAATAGTTTTAGTTCTTTTGCAGTCATTTAAAACTGCTGAGTATCAATTGCAACATACTTCTAAAGTGAAACATTGTCTCAATGAAAAGGTGTTTTGTGTATTGCTAAATGTATTGTGACACAGGATGCCTGCTTTATGTAAATAAAAAGAAATGTTATGTTTATTGTTGGTTTTATGCATGGTATTTCAAAAATTGCTTAAGGACAAACTGAAAGCACTCACGAATAAGGACATAAGCAGTAACCTTTTGTTTCTACTCATCTGTCTGATGTGTATGATACTGTATATAGCTATATGTTTCTCATCTCCTGTCTCTCTCTCATCAATTGAAACTTTCATCAAGTAAAAAAAAATGTTTTATGCCAAAAAAAAACATTTTAAACAGTACTGGCTGGGAGGTTTGCCTTTTAAACATTCTTTTCGTTTTATAGGTTGGTGGCGGGCGTCCACGTTCGTTTCCTGTTGATTTTATAAACCTGCTTGCATCGAGTAAAACAGTATTCCCTGCCTAATTGGTGCTTTGATTTTCTTCCTGAATCTCAGAAATCAGTAGAGGAGGAGAAGAAAGAGCACAATGAGAAAGTTAGCAAACTGTTAAACTGGGTATCCGGTGCGAAAACATGCCAGGGTAAAGAAGACAAGGCTTTTCAAGATGGCAAAACTGGCACAAGAGAGACTTCTAGTAAGCCCCAGGTAATAAAACACTCAATTCCTTAGACAAACACTGACCCTCTGCTCCCTGCTCCTATCAGGTTTCTAAACAGAGTGAAGCATGTGCTTTTACTGGCTGCTCTTTGAAGGAACAAATTGGATACTTAACAGTGTTCAGAGAAACAGATTATATCAATTTTATCAATTCTTTCACTTAAAGCTCTGTGTATATTCCATTAATTACTTCAATAATATAAAACACGGAACTCAGTATATGAAGTCCCATCCTACACACAGTGTTTATATCTTCGTCTGTGGTCTTTTCATATAATTATGCATTTTGTGTGTCATGTTTCTGTTCAGATTCTCTGGTCTGCTATCTAGCCATGTTAACAGACACATCCCTTAATAAGATTTCTCCACTGGATTGCCAAGAAGTGTGAAGGTGGAAGAAACTATCACAAAAAAAAATGAAGATATTGTTGAGTGTAACGCTCCTAAGTATCCCTTCTGCATTTTCCATCACTCACCCCTGAGACCTCAAATATGATGTCTGGTCATGAACTACCTTAGGGAAACACATGCAATATATATGTAGTACCAGATAAAATATTGAGTTTCTAATGAAAGTTAAAGAGACTCCGAATTCTCACTCCTTAAAATTGTGTATTTTATTCCTTATTCCATATTCACTTTTACATTACACAAAACTGAAACATGGTATTGATCATCTTAATGATGTTCTTACTATTGGAAGACGTTGTGTTGGAGCATCAGTAGGGTGACTAGAGGAAACAATTCCTGTGTCAGTGTTATATAATCCCCACATGGGCTTTGGTAGTATTCAGGTCACTGAAGAGGAGACGAGTCTCTGCCTGCTGAGCACTGGAGCGCTCATTTCATATTGTTACAAACTGTCAATAAGAAATAGTTACCTTAATTAAGAAGGAGCATTTAAATAAACATTTTGGATAGTTATAATACAACTATAGTTGGTTAAATGCATCTTTTTGACCATAAATGTGGTCAGAAAGTCACTAATATCAGCATTTTGATAATTTGGATAGTTTATAGCGATGAAACCTGTCTTTATGATGAAAGAAACAGTATTCACTGGGAGATGCTATTAACAGAAATAAACCTCTTACATGATTTTTTCATATAGAGGAAGCAAATGTTTGCCATAGGATGAAAAGGTTTCCTTTATGTGATTGTATTTTTCCATCATTTAACATTTGACTGTACCATACTTCATGGGGGAAAAATGCAATTATACTTCAGAATTGCAAAACAAAAACTATAGCAAAAAATAAAATGATTCATTAAATATAATAAAATAATTCAAAATTATAGAAATAATAACAGCAACATAATAATAATAATAATCATCATCATCATCATAATCATCATCATCATCCCTCTAATAATAATGGCAATAACAACCATAATAATTATATGGACTAGGGAACCGTCTGTGGAGATCCCAGGCGAAGGCTCACAGATAAAGAGTATCTTGAGGTGAAAAGAACCTGCTCCGAAGATGATGTCATGAAATTCTTCCGGGCAGTGTTTGCTGTGTTGTGGATGTAAATGACAAGTCATGTAAAAGATTTGTAAAAGTATTTTGCATTTGACAGACACTAATAAGTGGTTTCAAGTTTAAAAAAAACTGAGATGACGTAGCATGATCAGAGGGAAAAGAGAATCGTGCCTATATACCATGTATGACAAGCAGCACATCTAGTGGTGAGCTAGGTCCCTGAAAGTTGTAACCCTGGCTTTTACTCAACCTGAAAAGTTTCTGAAACTGAACATCATGCAGTAGAGGCACGGAAACCCCTTCAAGTGCAAAGGCTGAAACACAGAACGGCAATAGAACAGCTGTGTCATTAGCACTTAATATTGACATATTGTTTCATTTTGAGGTTCCATCTATGTTTCTGCATTCATACTTAATAGCAAGGAATCTCAAATTTGAATCTTATTTTACATTCTAGATTTTTGCATTCAGAAACCAAGCAGATGTTCATATGTATTGTTTTAATTTATAAACCTGTCAAATTCATCCAATAAGAGTTTTTCCAGAGTCCGTCTGTGTGTTACCAGCTGTGTGGTGGTCTAGTTGAAGTGATTAGGTTGTATGTGGGCTGTATATGGGCTGCAGATCCAGTTCTGATTTGCTTCTGTTCCCTCTGTTATTGCAGATCTCAGCAGAAGAAATAGCAGCCAAGAAGGAACAAATTGCTGAGGCTTTGAACAGCACTCAGGTGCTTCTGGCTAAACACAGTGACAAGTGAGTTTTCTCCCCTGTGCTTTGCGGATATCACTCAATGCAACATCCACTGCTTCCTTCAACAGAAAAGTGCTATAAAACATGAGATAAAGATCGAGGTGTCATTGTTCCAGTTCTGAGTCTGAAACCTCTCCAATCCTGCCTCATGGCCTGTTGGTATTTTATTATTATTAATAAGAATAATAAAAAGAACAACAATGGCATGGTGGTTGGCATTACTAACTAGAGGTGCTGTCTGTGTGGAGTTTGTATGGTGTCCCCATGTTCATGTGGGTTTCCTCTGGGTGCTCCTAATTCCTCCCACAGTCAAAAGCATGCTGGTAGGTCAAGTATCTTTCGAAAGAAATATCCTTGCTCTGGATAAAGTGGTTAGAAAATGGATAATAAGAATAATAAAATTGTATTATTGTAGTTATTATTATTGTAGTAGTATTGTAGTCCACATCAACAGCAAGGAGAATAATTTTTCCCTGGCCATCACAAAGACAGGTTAAGAGTAAATGTGCTTTGTCCTCTGTTTTTCATTTTATTTTATCACAGAATGTCAGAGGAAGAAAGGCAAGAAACCAAAGAGCAACTGAGGTCTTTACAGCAGGCGTACAGTGACCTGTCTCAGCAGGGCCTTGGCCAGCTTCAAGCACAGCAGAGTCTGCCAGCTGAACAGGTAAGCTGTCAGAGTGTCAGTCAGGCCTTCCATGACATGTGGCCTGTCCTGGAAACACTTGGATTAAGAAGAAACAACCAGAGAGACAGTGTCTCACTGCATGGTAAATGACTAACAGTTTTTCTTGTCAGTGTGGTCTACTGCATGAGATGGCAGGTTTTTGTCACGTTCACCCTAATGGTTAAGTCACACCAATGCTGTTACAAAAGATGATAGAATATGGGGGAAGGATACTATATTTTTGTTTTTTTTTTCTGAATCTGTGTGTTCCTTGAAAAATGTTGAAGTTTTTTTGATAAGATGTATTTGAAAAACAGAGTGTGCTGTAAACATGCATAGCATGGGCGTCTAATTCCACCCACATTCTAACTTTTCATAGCAGAACCACTCAATCACAGCCTGAGGATTCTACCTTCACAGGTGTACATTTGACTAAAACAAGGCTTTTAATATGTTCTGTCTCTGACTAACTGTGTTTTTGCAAGATGTGGAAAATTCTGTTCACAGATGCATGCCAGCTTTTTTGTGTCCCTTCTTCTTGCTGTTGAAACACTGACACAGACTTTCACTTTTGTGTATGAACTGCTAACTTTCGTATGCTTTTGCTGTTGGTAAGTACTTGTTTCTACTGTTCATATCCATCAATATCAACATTTAATTATTCACATTTCTCTGAATACTATCAACAATAAGTACATTATTATGGAGCATCCATTGTGTTTTTTGCAGGACTTTCAAACCATTGAAGGCATCATAGATCTGGAGAGCGGAGCTGTATATTCTGTATGTCGATCTGTGCAGAAAGGCTTAATTGACTATACAACTGGAATCCGACTTCTTGAGGCCCAACTGATTACCTCTGGACTGATTCTTCCTGAATTCAGGATGTGTTTGGATTTGGAAGATGCTTTTAAGCACAGTCTGGTGGATGAACAGGTTTATCTGCAATTGCAAAAGCTAAATGAAGCTAACAAGTGGATTATGAATGCACAGTATTCATCAGAGCCACTTCCAGTAGTAGCTGCCTTTAAAGGAGGTGCTTTATCAGAACAGCTCGCTATTAAGGTGATCGAGATTAAGCTGGCATCGGGGGGACTAAGAGTGACTTATACAGGGGACGTCCTGAGTCTGGAGAAGGCTTTTCAGAAAGGGATGATTCCACCACCTCTCTTCATCAAGATTCTTGAAAGACAAAACACATGGAAGGATCTGATAGATCCCAACACTGCGGAAAAGGTTTCGCTTGTGCAGCTCATTCAGAGAAGCGTCACTTATGAAGAGACTGGTCTGCGTTTGTTGCCGGTGAAGAAAGGTAGAGATGGTAAAATAGCTCTGAAATCGGGCAGAGAGATCAGCGTTTTAAGGGCTGTCCACGAAGGCCTCATAGATCGAGAGACAATGTTCAGGCTGCTGGGAGCTCAGCTATTTGCGGGAGGATTAGTCGACCCCAAAACAGGACACAAGCTCAGTTTAGAAGAAGCCTTGAACGAAGGCCTGATAGATCAAGATACTGCCTCTGGAATTCTGAGCTATCAGGCACAAAATGGAGGAATTGTCAACCCTCACACAGGGGATAGATTAACTGTTGATGAAGCTGTTCAATGCAATTTAATCAGCTCTAGCAGTGCTCTCCTAGTGCTGGAAAAGCAGAAGGGATTTATGGGATTTATCTGGCCTCATTCTGGTGAAATATTAACAGTGTCAACCTCACTGCAGCATGAGGTGATTCCAAACCAGCTCACTTATAAACTGCTAAATAACAGGCAAAAAATAGCAGCCTTTTATATTCCCGAGAGCTCAGAGGTAGTTGGTATTGAAGATGCAGCAAAGGAAGGTTTAATAGACAGGACTACTGCTAATGTGTTAATGTCTATAGAAATACCCGATGTTTTTCCTGATATAGAAGATTTAAACAATAAAATTTCATCATGGTTGTCTCTGCGTGAGGTCCAGATTGAAGGACCACAACAGTCGTCACAAGATATTGAAATTTCAGAACTGGAAAAAAACTGTCCATCACCCACAGAAGCCAAGGAATTATTTATTTCATACATCATGATGAACAGTTACATGGATCCCAAATCAGGACAGAGGCTACTGATATATGATGGGCAATTGACAAAAATGACCCATCTTTTTGCAGAAAATATTGAAGAGCCAAACAGAGAACAGGAGCATGATATTCTGTGCAATGTCGTTTCGTCCCCTGTGAATTACAGTGATGTTCAACAGTCTACTGAAACTATCCTAGATAATATGCACATCAAACATAATTTGCCACGTAACGAAGATAGTTTAAGAATTGAACAGAAGCAGCACACTTCAGGATGGCATTCTTTTCTTCGGACTGAAGAAAATGTTTGTGACACAGAGGCCACAATGTGTAGTGTAGGGGAGAAGAAAGGAGTGAATTACAGTGATGTTGGTTTGGAAATAGATCTTAATTCTGGTGGCAATGATAAAATGACTTTATCAGGGCTGACAAGGCCTGATTCAGATTCTGATCTGCCTAGAACTACGCTTTACATTGAGGAGGGTGATAATGAGCAAATAACACCTGAAAATAAATCTGTGGATATAACCGTTCTAGATGAACCCGATATGCGACACAGTGAGCCATCAAACACACGTGACATCATAGAAACAGACGTGAGAAGTGAGGGAATCACGGAACCTGAGACAAGGGGCGCAGACATTCCTGAGGAAACTGTTGATATTTTGTTTTCAAGGGAAATTGTTTCTGGAGAAACAGATCTGCAGCAACCCCAAGCCCTGGCTGGCTTAGAGCATTCAGACCAAGCAAAAGACATGTCTCAGAGTTTGACATTGCCTGGGACATCGGGCATAAATGTGAAAAACAAAGAGGTGCACATCCTTTTGGAGAGATCCAGACAGCAGCAGTCGGAGCGACACTTTGCAGCTCAGCTTTTGAAAGTTCAGGTGGAAGAAGGTGGAATTTTGGATGTTACATCTGGAAAGCGGTATTGTCTTAGTGGAGCCCTTGAAAAGGGGCTTATTGATGAGGAGACGGCAAGAGATATTTTAACTCTGCAGGTACAGGAAGGAGGAATCTTTAATCGGCAGATGGGCACAAGCGTGTCCCTTAGGGAAGCTGTGGCTAGTGGTTTCATACCACCTCACATTGTTCCTCAGGTTATAGAGCAGTTGGGTGGTCCCTGTGACTCAAATGATGGAAAAACTGTTACAGTTAGTGAGGCATTGCCACAAGGTTTAATAAATAAAAATGTCACTGAGAATCTTTTAAAATATGAAAAGGCTACTGGTCTTGAAATTGACCCAGGTAGGAGTGTTGCTCAAGCAATAGGTCACGGTCATCTTGATGATGTCAGTGCTAATATGCTGTTCAAAGGACAGGTGATTTCTGATGGGTGTGTGGATCCTAAACAGGAAAATGGGAAACCAGAGATTACAACAGCTCACCTTGAAGAGAAAGACAAGCAACATGCTGACTTTTTTGCAAAAACTGAAGGAAAAAGTCAAAGCATAAATGAACCAGAAGAGATGAAACAGATACATTTTCAGATGGAAATATCTGGTGCTGCCAATACTCAGCACAGTGAAGATATGTTTTTTCCGGAAGCTATGAGCAAAGGAATTCTTGATAAGGAAACAGTTCGGTCCGTTTGTTCCAAACAGTTAGAGACGGGTGATATTACACAGTGTGCTTCAGGTCAGTGCTTCTCTGTAGAATATGCTCTACAGCATGGCTTAATAAATGAAGACTTGACTGATGAACAGTTTAAAACAGAAATTTCAAACTTGAACAAGGAAGTAGTCTGCAATACTTTACATTCTTCTGATTTAAGTCTTAATCAAAAAGACTTACAGAAGAATGCAACATCAGAGCAACAAAGTGCTGGTGAAAAGTCAGTCAATGAAAGCAGTGTCCCATATACCAGTCAAGTAGGTGTTAGTCAATCTGATGAAGTGTCTGGAAAGAGGTGTAGTGCATCTATTACAGAACAGTCTAGAGTCCCGATTCAGAGGACATCAGGTGTGTCCTGTGTCTCACATGAAGATGCCTTGTCTGAAGGGAATCAAATGGACAACTTCGGGGACAATTCCAGTCCATTCAGAAATGCTGCAGTGGAGTCAGAACAGAAAAACATTTCCCCCTTTGAAAGGAATTCGCCCCCTCTTTCAGCTGACCCTGAAGCAGGTGTGAGGAGTGGTGAACTCTGCACTGACACATCCCACTTGCAAACTAGTAATCTGTTTTCATGGGCTCAAGGTACAAAGTGTGACCGAGGGAGCATTCAGGAAAGGGTCAAGGATGGTGTTGACTGCCCCTCGGATGAAATGATGTCTGCTCCAGCAAAGTGTGCTCAGACAGAGACAGCGGGTCATGTCATAAAAGTCTGTGACAACATTCCTGTTGCCTCTGAGTTCAGTCTATCAGAAAGTACAAGGCAAGAGAATGATAGTCTTTTACGGCACCATGGACATTTCTTGGAGGCATGCTCTCAACAATACGAAGAAAGTTCTCCTGAGAGTGAAACGTTAAACAGTGTGAGAGATAACAGTTTGAAGGATGTCTTTAAAGAAACTCTTGATTCTGAGAAAAACGTCTCAGTATGCACCACTGAATTTCTGCCCGGCTCCAAAGCAGCACACACAGCAGATGCAGGCACCTTAAAAAATGACTGTAATAAAATGGGCTTTGAGTTAGACAGCTCTACGCTCAAAGCATCCACAGTGAGCTGTATTTTTGGTGAAAATAGCACTTCATCTGTGAATCCTGTTCCGGATCATGGTGTGGATGGAGATGACTTTGCTGCACCACAAACGTCAGATTTTTCCAGTGCATTAAGGTCAAGGCTGCAGGAACTGGTGAAAATGAAAGCGGAAAATGCAGATGTTCATGTTTTACACAAAGCAGAAACCCAAGTCATTGAGGACATAATCAGCATGATAAAAAATGCCCAGGATTCCAGTGGAAGAATCGGTGACAGTTCAGCTTCAGGTATTGAGGAGAAAGAGATGCCTTTCAGTCACATCAACAGCAGGAGTCCTGACCTGCTGGTTGACTTGCTAAAACAAGAGGCCCTCCGGTCAAAGTCCCGTGAGCAGCTGGGAGATAAGGAAAGCCTGTCTTCTGAAGTGAAAGTCCTGGATGCAAAGTGCACTAGTGTGGTAGAACAAATCCAGTCACAGCTGCTGCAGATGTTTCAGGCTGCATCCCCTGCTGAAGACCCTGCGATGATCAGAGAAGTAGCTGATGAACTCAGCAATATGGTGGGGAATGGAATTTGTGAAGATGGAAGCCCAAACCTTCCTGAAGCTAAAAGAGAGAGAGCGGTCTCCACTGCAGAAGACAGAAGACATTGCCCGCAAGAGCAGTGCTGCTCCAGTCCACCGAACGACAGCATTCATATCGTCTTGCCTGAGGATGACCTCACTGCAGACAACAGCAATGAGTCTGACAGCACACCGCAGGTAAGTGTCCCGCTGAAACTAGCTTGTGCAGATGAATGCAGTGGGAACTCAATTGTAGCATATATAAAACAAGATTTCAAAGGTGACAATGTTAAAAAAAATATTTTTACAGGCACCCAGTACTACACAAATGTTTCTGGAAAGTGTTGGGAGACTTCAGGATCATTCAGATGTTCTGGAAGACATGAAAAATGACTTGGAAAGCCAAGGCCTTGTGAGCAACAGCTTGGAGGCTCTCAAAATACAACTTAAAGAATCTCAGGTTGGTTTGTTACGAGTTGATTAGTGCCAGAATTTTACTAACCGCTTTTAAAAAGCCAGCTTTGTATGAGGGGGTGGCTTAAATATTAATAGAAAAAAACACCACTGTTTACATTCTTATTTGTGATGAAAATCACCCAGTTTGCATGTGCGACCCACAAGCTGTCTTTAGTGAAACTCTCTTCTTCAATAATAAGTTGGCTTTAAACATGCTATTGAAGCTTGCATTCTCTGTTTTTAGTGGCTAGAATCTCAGCTTTCTGCACTGGCTGGCACGCTAACTACCGATTTGAAGGCAGCGGAACAATTATTAAGGTCTGCTAATGAGCACATTCCCACACAAATACGTAGAGATCTGGAAACGGTCTCTACAGATTTGCAGCAGGCTTTCTCTGAAGTTTGCAAAACGTCATCAGAAAGGAGAATTTCTGTAATAGAAGCCATTGACTCAGAAAAGGTCAGTATTTTAGTATTTATATAGTACTTGTATATCAGTATATACTATACTGACACACTGTATACTGATATACTAATATATCAGTACTGTACATACTATTTTTAGATAGTGTATCAGTATTTAATTGTATTGCCATATATTTAGGTTGCAATGAAAAACAAATCCAAGTATTTTATGATTTATGATTTTATTTATATATGTATTTTATTTTCCCTATTCATTGTGAGCATGAACCCCATACATTGCTTACTCTTCTCTATATTTTAATATCAAGGGAGATATTCTGTCTCGGTGAACTTCAGTAAGCATAACAACAGCAAGCACCACAACATTGACAAGTACTGCAATATTAAGCAGAACAACTGTAATATGTCAGGGTAATGTTATTGGGTTTCCATTGATCATTTTAGTCAACATAGTTGCAATCACTCGATTTGATGTTAGATCAGTTCTTGGATTACAGTACTTCCCCATTGTAATCAGTTGACTTTAATTGGAGCATTTGAAAACGTTATAAACTATAATTGTATTTTTTCTTATTTTAGTTAAAATTAGAAGCTTCAAGTCAAGACCTCCTCAATGTCCTTGAAAAGCTCTCCGTTTGCATTCATGAGACCTCTGAAACCGTTTCCAATCTTGATATTATGAACACTGATGACTTGGATACAGTGAAGTATAGAATTCAGCAAAATAAGGTACTGTTCTGGTTCTCTGACATAAACCTGTGAAAGTATTTTTTAGAACAAGTATTGCTACAATACTGCATTAAAGTAACGATGAAATATATCAACAAAGACAAATCCCTCTCCCCTTTGTACATACGTATATAAAATCTTCATTAAAATATGCCACATTGTTACTTCGGTAATTTAATAAATAAGATATAATAAATATTTTACAGTCTTTTATATTAGTCATCCCTAACTTCAGCTCTGTATAAGCAATCAATATATATACTGTGTATACAGTGTTCACTGGTCATCATCTCATCTCAGTTGATTTACCTGGTAAATGAAGGATTTAAAAAGTCCTATTAGAGTCATTTCTAGACGCTCAAAAGCAATATGAATAATCACATGTTATTTGCAAGATTTTAAAAGATGGTTTAATTTATTTGATAATTGCAGGACTTGGAAAACAACCTGTCTGTAACACAACAACAAATTGAGGCCACGGGATTTGATGTTCAGTTCTTCATATCTGAACATGCGCAAGACCTCTCTCCCCTCCAGAGCAGGCAGCTGTTGAAGTCTCTGAGTGCCACTCAGAGGGCGTTTAAAGACCTCATGGAGAAAGTGTCTACCCAGAGACACACTCTGGACCTGCATCTAGAAATTAGACAAGACCAGAGTAATATGAAGGTTTGGTCTTTGATGATGGAATGGTTTCTGAATGAGAATAATGTGAACAAATGCCAACTACTGTGTAATTCAATTTGTATGTGGAACTTATTCTCTAACTCCTTCTTTATGTGCATTGTGTGCTTGTGCATCCAAACTACTGTATGTGTCTCCTTTTTACTTATTATCAGTCAAGAGTACTGCATCTTCTGACATCTGTAAAACTGAAATAAAAAGCATTCTTTAGGATTTTCTCTAATAAATATGTAATTTGCTAAGATAGTGATATGCAAGTAAGGATACTGGAACAACATTTCTGTGATCATATTACTTTTTCTATCTGCTCTTTTTGTACCTTAGTGTCTGTGCACTACTTAGTCATACTCATCTCTCACGATTTCACTATTTGCTCTGGGTTAAAACAAATTTAGATGAGAAAAATATTTGGATTTCAAAAGTAAGTTCAATGAATGATGATATACAAGTACATGAATTCTGTTGTACTGTAAACATTGTGGCATAATCAATATACTTCTAAATATTTCTTGTAAAATACTAATTTTATTCTAGTTGCATTTACCTTTTGCAGGAATCAGGAACACCAAAATGCCTTTAACTCCAGGGATCGAAAAGCATATCTTTCTCGTGCGTGGATGTCTGACTGCATCGACATCATTTGAGTGCTAACACAAACTCTCTCTTTCTTTGTCTTGTTCAATAATTGAATTGTTGTTGGGTGTCTAGCATGTTTACAGCACACTCTTGTGAAATTAAGGTTGTGACAGCATGTGTTGAAAGTACTAGAGATGCCTGCTTCTTCATGTCTTGGTTTTTGTTTCAGAGCATTACAGAGAAGCAGAAGGAATACACCGAAAAACTGCAGGAGCTGTGTGATCACATGACGCAGACAGAAAATCGCCTGATCGGCCATCAGCAGTCTGCTGTCACTGGTGATAATCTGGGGGATCTTCAGCAGTATCAGAAGGAGCATCAGGTGTGTCAAAACCCCTTGGTAAAATCTTCCCTCTTTGGAAGGTGTTTGTCACCATTTAGATTTTATTTCTCCTCTATGAATATGGACAACTTTGGCAAACAATGTACATTCAAGTTTTACCTGTTATCTTCTATTGAAGTTTGATAAAAAAACAATTGCCAAGGACTTGTGGCTTTCCCTTTTCATGAGATCCTAATGAAGGGCAACATGAGATGAGACATACAGTAATTCCAAAAATAACCTTTTATCTCTTCTTTAACTCAGGCCTTGCAGAAAGATGTGAAAGATGGAGAGAGTGCTTTAGCAGAAGTGGTGAGGAGTACCAAGCAGTTCCTGGACGAGAACAGAGATAAACTACAGCCAGAGCAAATTGCAGTGATTGAGAGCAAGTTGGAGGAGGCCAAGAGCAAGTCCAGACTGGTCAGTCAGCGGGCAGAGGAGTCCAGGAAGGATCTAGACAAGGTTGTGACAACAGCAATAAAACAGGAAACAGAAAAGGTGAGATCACAGCTCTTTGTGCACATCATTTTTAGTTTAAGAAGAAAAGAAAAGATGTTGCATCAACCATCCATCAATATAAAAAAAATCAGACAGAGTCTGGAGTTGATTGTGATTGTATTTTCAAAACTTTTATTAAGGTAGATGACACACCTGTTTTATTGTTGTTCCATCATACTCATTTAATCAATTGTGACAGCTAACACCTTCTCCAGTGTAAATCCTGTATAATTAGTTTACATATACTGTACAGTAAAAAAAAGAACAATATTTTTAACATTGTAGAAATTGTTAATAGGCACAAATGAGACAGGATTCAGCGAGATACTTCAGTGTTTGCAGATGGTAGCATCTACAGTATAGTATTAGACAAACTTTTTTCCTCCAGTTGGCAGCGGGGGAACAGCTTGAAGAGAGCAAGAACAAAATTGAAGGTCTTCTGGTCTGGCTGTCTAACATTGGGAAAGACAAGGAAAAACAGGAGAACCTTAAAGACCAGGTGGCAAAACAGAATGGAAACCTTCCCCTGGAACCTTCAGACGAGCTGGTCATGGGAGAGGAGGACGAGGCCAATGGGAACCTTCTCCAGACACAGGGGGACGAGCTCAGCGTTGTGGATGGCAGAGAGAAAGACACCACCGGGCTGGACTTAGACAGGCAGTACGACAGGGTCAAGGTAGAAACCTTTTCCTGTCATTCCCTTGTTTTCCTGTCGTGCAGCTGCAACATTAAAACAAGTCCGCACACATTGAAGTCAATTTAAGCTGCATTGTCCTTGCCTAATGAATTCCTCAGGATGTTTTTTCCCCTTGAATTTTACGATCAATTACATCAGTGGTTCCAAACCTTGGGGTTTGTTGCAGGGCTCTACTCAACCCTTTTCACCTCAAGCCTACTTAGGAGTCCCAGTGGCTAGAGCTCATGAGAAAAAATACAAGAGCGATGTGAGTGAAGATAAACTGTGATCAGGCAGGCTGTCTTTAAAGTAATACATACAGTAGCTGTCTACTCATACATACAGTGCTTACCCTCAGCCGGACACCCTTGGGCCTGATCCTTACAAACAGTCTGACCAAGCGCGTGTGGAAATGGAGAAAGCACTTAAAGTTTTTTGTGTCTTCTTACGTTTAGATATACTGTACATTCCCCTAAACCCTTTGTTTTTGATTCAGTCATGACTAAAATACCAGATTCACTCAGGTTGGAGGTAGTGAAAGGCATAAGAAACCTGAGTGATCATGGTGACACCTGCCTGCCATCATTCTGGTCAGGATCTAATTCTCTGTATCTCTAGTAAATCTTTCAAAGTACAGTACCATCGCTGCTATCAGAAATACTTTCACCACTCAGGCGAGATGGGCCCAATGTTTCACAGTATTCTTACAAAAAAGCCACTATGTATGGTTTTTTCAAGACTTTGTTTTTAAAGTTTTTAAAAAAGTATTGCTGATTTTGAGCCCTCAAATCTTTAGATTTCACTTTAATGTGAAATAATCTTTCACTAGTTGTATAGTTGTACAGTTGTATAGTATATGTATATATAGGCTGTAAAATGTGAAATGGATGAAAGGCAACTTTAAAGGGAAAGGGTTTCTAAAATGAGATTGTTCTAGGCCACAGTACTTTGCTTCGGCTGTTTTGCTTTAGCTCTCAGAAATGTCCAACATTCATTTCCCTTATAACTCCGCAGGCACATCATCAGGAGGTCTTGTCCCAGCAGCAGGGCCTCATTGTTGCCACTCAGTCTGCCCAAGCTCTCCTCGACAAGCAGGCCCACATGCTGTCGCCTGAGGAGAAGGAGAAGCTCCAGAGAGACATCCAGGAGCTGAAGGACCGCTACGAAACCACGCTGACTGCTGCTGAGCACAAGCTGAAGCTCATCCAGACGGTCCAGGAGGAACTCCGCAAGTTTGAGAGCGACTGCGGTGAATTTGACACCTGGCTGCTTCAGTCAGAAGGGGAGATGCAGGAGCTCAAGACGGCCACTTCGCAGCTCGAGGTTCTCGGAGAGAAGCTGAAGCGGCAGAAGAGTTTCTCAGAGGACGTCATCTCTCACAAAGGAGACCTGAGGTTCATCACCATCTCAGGGCAGAGGGTGCTGGATGCAGCCAAGTCCTGCAGCAAAACAGACTCCAGCAAAGACTCAGAGCTGGTTGTTGACACGTCTGGAGCGTGTGCTGCAGTCCAGGACAAGCTAGACTCTGCCGCAAGTCGCTACAAAGCTCTTCATTCCCAGGTAATTTTACACCTGTAAACTAAAGACCTCTGATATGGTATAGACACAAACTGTGTTTTCTAGATTTTTAAACATTTAATTGAATGTTTAGTCTAGGGTGCACTTCCTCCAAAAACACCCCCTAATTACTGCAAGCTCTGCCAGGAATAAGTAGCTTTCTGGAGATGGAGGGATAAATTCATTTTCACAATAAAATGATTTGTGTATTTGAATTCAGCCGCATCATTGGTGTAACCTGTTTTGTGCATGTTTTGAACACAAGGTGGCGCCATTCCTTTAAACATGCCTGACATTCCTCCTGAACAAAGTTATCTGAATGCCTGTTACATCAAGTTGCCTTGTCTTATACAAAAAGTGCAAATAATGAAGGAAAGAAACCTCTTCAGTCTGTTTTTTTGTGTTGTGCCTTGAATTGTGGAGGATGAATTTCAGAGTAATATCTTATTTTGCACTAGAAAAACACTAAAAGTCCTTCAAAAGCAGCATTTTGTAATTTGCTAATGAATTTGTTTTACTTTCCTAAATCATTGTGAATACTGTTTCAGTGTAACCAGCTTGGAACCAGCCTCAGAGATGTGGTTGAGAAGTACAAGAGGTATGAAGACGCTTCGTCTGGACTTTTGAAGTGGCTGAAAGATTCGGAAGAGGTGGCGATGAAACAGCTGGCAGAGACAATAGCTGTGGATCTCCAGCACCTTCAGAAGCAGTTGGAGGATACCAAGGCAAGACCCAACACTGATATCTCAATGCACTAATGTTGGTAGCGAAACTGGCGGCAATCAGGTATTGGATACAGTAGGCCCAAAGGTTCATGCACAAACGTACTTAGAAATAAGTAGTGGTTAATTCCATACTGAAAAGTAGAAAGAAAAAAACACAAACTGGTTCGGCCGTTTAAGCGTTTTTCAGGTGTCGTAGTGAGAGAAATGAGATGTGGAACTAGAAAGCAAAGGAGAATATAGGACACAGCATGTGAGAATGGACACAGCAGGTGAAGCAGCGATACCAGTTCAGGAAGAATTTTGGCTTCTGATAACGTTCTGGTGGGCAGCACAGTGCCGCAGTGGGCAGCATTGCTGCCTCGCAGAGCTGGGGCTCTGGGTTCAATTCCAGACCTGGGGGTGCTCTGTGCTTGGGGTTTGTGTGGGTTCCTTTGGGTGCTCCCGTCTCCTCCCGCAGGCCAACGACAGACTGGTAGGTTCGTTGCCTGTGTGGGTGTGTCCAGGGTGTAACCTGCCGTGTGCCCGTTGCTTGCCAGGACAGGCTCTGGCTCTCCTGCGACCCTGAAATGGAATAAGCGGTTGGAAAATAGAGGAATGGATATCTTTCTGGAATAGGAATCCTGGAAATCCTCTCAAAAGATGCAGACTGACGGGTCAGTGTGAGGCTGGTCCTTTTACAGACCTCATGGCTTTACCTAGCAAAGGCAAAAAAAGAACAAAACTTCAAGGTTTTACATAAAACAGTATAAACAATGAATAGCTAAGTGCTGATTTAATTATCTTGGCAACTTATTTTTGGCAGTGTAAGGAATTTTACAGTTTTATAAGTTATGTGGATGAAGGCGTATAAAACAGTTATTATCTGAAAATAAATTATTTCCCAACAATGCATACAGTCAGATTTTTTGGCTTGTTAACATTTACGAGGCTGGGCTAGGAAAACATATTAATATTAAGTTGCGTGTTTCGCTCAGTGAGAGGTGGTGTGACTGAGCTGTTGAAGGATAAGTGTAATAAAAGGACCAAGAAAGGGTCACGCAAGTCATTAAAAACTAATTTCACTTAGAACCTTTTGCCAGAGAATCAGCAATACAGTCCAACATTTAATGTAGTCCAGAATAATCTAGGCATGGTTAGGGATGGATTCATATGGTTTGAGAAATAAAAGATCTGTAACTAACCAAACCTTTATCTAAGAGATACAGTACAGACAACATCCTACAGTGTCATGTATTTACTGTATGTGGGTATTTGAAAATGGGGCTACAGTATGAGTGGCATGAACCCACGAGGCTGAATGCCAGGAAGCAGATGATGGTGAGGAAGTCAGGACCTGCCTTGTGCAGGGAGCTCGGGGGCTGCTGGGATGGTGGAAGGGCACCCTGCAGTGAATGCTGGGAAGGAAGGATCTGAAGGCATGACCTGGCGGTGGGCGTCTCTTCCCAACTGTCATTTCTAAACTCCATTAAGCACTAAATCTACTCCTTTGAGGCATGTTTCACACGCAGCGACCAAGTGAAAGGTTTGTGTTCAGGTCAGCCATGGGCTCTTCACTATATCAAAAGTGTCCTACGTCTGGCTGCCTGGGGCTGAGGGTAACCCTAGTGATGGGTCTAACAAGGCTTTTATTGACAGGCTTTGCAGGGACAAGTATCTGGACGCCAAGCTTCTGTGGAGATGCTAAGAACGGCAGCGGAAGCTCTAATTGTGGCCGAGGGAGACTTGTTGACCAACCAGGACGCGATCCAGGGGACAGTGGGTGAGTGCTGTATGATGTGCTAATTCTAATGTAGTTGTTCCTTTCTTCTTCGACTAGTCAGATTATTGTGCCTATTGTTCTTTACATGACCTCGTGGGAATGTTGATAGAGTGTGATGTTTTATGCTAAGAGGCACAGCTTTAAAAAATGCAGAGGAGTAATTCTGAAACTTGTGCCACACACAATGCATCATTACATCCTCTTTTTTAATTTAATCTCAAAAAGAAGATAACTGGTGGGGCGGGTCTTCTCAGTCCAGTTTTCTCCCACGGTGAGTGAGAAGACGTGGCGAAACTGTTTTGATCTTGCAGACGACATTGTAGAGCGGTATGACAACCTGTCCAAGTCGGTGAGTGACAGAAACGAGAAGCTGCAGATCACCCTGACCCGCTCCCTGAGTGTCCAGGATGGGCTGGATGAGATGATGGACTGGATGGGAGGGGTGGAGAGAAGCTTGGAGGAGCAAGATCAAGTGCCTTTGACTTCAGCTGCTATTCAAGACGTCCTCAGTAAAAACGCAGTATGTACAGAGCTCTCTCCTTCCACCAGCGGTGTGGTCTGACTGCATTAACCACAGCGCTCTTCCCTAATAAAGTTAGTTGTTCAGTTGGATCAGTCGCACATAGTACAGGGTATTGTGGAACTTTCTATTTTTTGGAATAAACTGACCAGATTAAAAGAATCTGACCTGAGAAATTTAAATTACACCCGGAAATAGATGAAAAATCCCCAGATGCATCACAGAATGCGTGCATGATATTTATAAATGCCTCTGGCACAACTCTTTAACTGATTTCTTTTTTTTCTTCTCCATTCAGGCTGTAGAGCAGGACCTCTTGAGCCGCCAGAGCAGCATCTCCGCGATGCGGGAGAAGGTGAACGCGTTCGCCGAGACGGCAGCCCCGCCCACGGCGGCTTCGCTCCGGGCCAAAATGGACGCCCTATCCCAGCGGTTCACTGACGCCTGTGACAAGCACAGGGAGAAGACCACCAGGCTGGAAGAGCTGAAGAAGAAAGTGGAGCTGTTCGAGAAGACCTCTGAGAGGGTGCAGCAGTTCGTGGACACGCGATCCCAGGCACTTTCCGAGACAGATGGGCCTGGAAAAAATGTTAATGAGCTTTCTCAGCTAATGCAGGTATTAAATTTCTGTCTGCTCTTAATAGAATACAGGTACACCTCTACAAAACGTGTTTTGCTTATGAATATGTAATATAAAAAGCCAAGTAATAAAACATTTAAGAGTTGGTGGCATTATAATTGAAGTTTTTACAGTGCATTATGAAATATTCTATACAGTATGATAAGGATTATGGACAAGAAGGAATGAATTGCTGAAACATGACCAAAACATGCCTAAGATTCAGTCACACCGTTGCTCATTCTGTTCCAAAAAAGGCTGACACACTGCTTGTGTTGTTCATTTTTTGCAGAAAACCAATGCTGAGTTATCTCAACATGCAAAGGATGTGGAAATGCTGCAAAAGCTGTCGAAAGAGCTTTCAGAGATGAGCCCTGAGGGGAGCAAAGCTCAGATTCAGGGCAAAATGGAAACCCTCTCCAAGAACTTCAAAGCTTTCACAGACACCGTGAAAGAGAAGTAAGTGGGTGCATCAGGGTGTTTGTCAGTGTCAGTGATAATTTGGTGATATCTCCTTGGGTAACACAAAAGAATAATGAATTTATTTTTGTAGAATCTAAAGTTGATCTTTTTCCTGAAACTGCAGAGAAGAAGAGGTTTCTTCCTGCCAGGGGCAACTAGACGCTTTTAAGTCAGCAGTTGAGACACTGAGAAAATGGATAGAAGAATCGTCAGCTAAGGTCCCTGTGACCCAGCTACCATGCAGTGTCCCGACCCTGGAGACGAACCTGCAGGCTGTGAATGTGAGTTAAAAAAGTCTTCCCTGTGCATTTCCCTCCTTCTGGAAACAACGTTTGCTGAGAACGTGCCATGTGCCATATCTGGCCAATAAAGGATAGTAACACATTTAGAATCGGCTTAAAAACAAATCCTGTGTGCTAAAAAAATAACAAGTACAAAATAGCATACCTCAGATCTAGTGTTCAAGATCGTTTTGTAAGAACTCTGATGATGCCAGTTTTTTTTAATCAAATGGATGTGGAGCCGCTGTGCCAATTTTCCCAGGGTGTGTCAGAGCCAAATTATTAACTATTAACCCTAACTGCCCAGCCCCCCCCCAGCAAAAACTGAAAATATAACAAAGCATAACAGACACTAGTGCAGGAGCACATGCACTGTGTATGTGTATGCTTAAATGTACATGCTGGTCTGCTGTATTAGCATTATTCTGTGAGGAAAGATGAGCTTAACGGTGAGATTTTGCAACTCAACTGTTGAACATATTGTGTCTTCTGGGTTCTGAGTGTTTTCTTTTCTCTTGTGCCCTGTCGTACTGTAAAGCAATATTGAACCCTCATCAGTTCCTGTGTCTTCTTGTGAGCTGTTTGCCTGCTTGTGTGTGTGTTGCAGGTCTTGTTGGAGGAGTGGTCTTCCCGAGCTCCTCTGGTTCAGGACATTAACAGCAAAGGATCTGAGCTCTGCAGTTTGATCAGTGTCCTGACATCTCCTGCCAAAACAAAGACAGCACCGAAGACAGGTGGGCCTGGTTTAGTGATTTCTGAGCACTTTTGTAAAAGGGCGCTTTCTAAATCTTTTATTGTGGCAAGTGAGAAAAATGGAAATGGGCATTTTGATCGTACTGATCTAGTACTGGCTGCTCCGTGTTTGCAATCTGGGGCTGAAGCCCTGCCAGTAGTGGTGTAGTGAGTGTCCTGAGAACAGAACTCTGAGCACATTCAGATCTGCTCTGTGATAAAATGGGAGAGGTACATTCTAAAACACTCCTTTGTTTTTTCAGGATCAGCACTAATAAACGTTGCGGGGCCAAGGACACAAGCCTACCTAACCAATAAAGGTACAGAACACAAACCATTCATTTTTTGTTATAAAATGTCCATATAAAAGCTAGTAATTTCAATAAAAACAGTATTCTTGTAACACATGGTACTAAGACAGAAGCATATAAAACTAAGGCTTTTAGTTTCTCTCTTCCAATTCTGCTGATAAGTACAGGCATGAATTGTAAGAATAAACTTTGTGCAAAGATAATATACATTTGTTCTTTGTTTCTAATATCTTATTGAAATGTTTTTTTATTTCTAAAATCTTAAAGGCTAAAGACTGGTGTAATAACTTCGCAATGATTTCTAATTTTCAAAGTATTAACTGTGCTTTTCCTGTGCCTTCTTAAGAGTCACCAGACTGCAGCTTAGTAAACTATCATAAAACCCTGATTTACCTCAGGAGCAATCATGAAAATGGCACAGTGTTGTAATAGCCTGTGGAGAAAACTAGAGGAAGGTAGTTTCAAAGAAACCAATGATGATAAATTGGAAATTTACAAATTACAAACTGGAGATTTATGAAAAACTTGTTCAACTTATTAACCCAGGGATTTCATAAAACTTGACTCACAAAAGAGCAAGGAGTGAGGACTCCTATATATAGTGATATAGTGTAGCTTATAGGCAGCTGTAACAGTGAGTCTTGACAGTGAGTCAGGAGCTCAGTTTGGTAGAGGGTTCCTATCTGAAATCTGCTCTTCACTTAAGATGTCCACTGTAATAGACAGCCTGAACAAAACTGAGACGTCATCCTGATTGATGTGCCCTGGTTGAACTATGTTAACTGCAGAACGCTGTTTCTTATACATGAAGGAAATGCTTCTTATTTCTTTTGCACGGTTGACAGAGCTGACAGTTGTTCAGCACAACGTGTCCTACATGAATGAGGGCTACAATGGTTTGGGAGCCCTTCTGCAGGGGAGGGCCCGTGAGCTGGAGGACTCGCTCCAGAAGGTCCGTGAGGCCCGTGAGGAGGGAGCTGTCCTGACGCAGTGGCTGGAGGACATGAAGAAGACCGCGGCGTCCTGGGCTGCCATCTCCACTGAAGCCGAGTCCATGAAAGCACAGATGCAGGACCAGAAGGTACTGTACTTTGTGTGGGATCTGTCAGGTTCTGCGTGTTGTATGCTGCTTCAGTAGAGGGATTGGATTTCATATTTTTTCAAATTCCTGCCGAACCCCGGTGAGTTGGTCCTTCTGATGTTGTCAAAAATTAAAAAAAACAGTGTGTACTTTGAGCAATTCAATGTCCTTGTCTGAATCTACTTCACCTTATATTTTTTATTGAAAATTTAAATGCAAAAATGCTGCATTAAAAGAAGACATTTTGTGTGGTGCTTTTAAGTTCTTGGTGGAATCTGGTAAGACAGTTTCGGGCAACATCTCAGTGATTGAGAAAAAACCCAGCAGCACTGGTCAGAAAGCTGAAGCAAATCGATGGTTTTAATTACAGTTGTTTGAAGAAGAGCTGAATCAAAGGCAAGGCAAACTGCAGCAGCTGAGAGAGAGGCTGCTGGACCTGATTGAGAAATACCCCGACTCCCCTGAAGCTGCAGAGTGGAAGCAGATGCTGGATCAGATAGGTACTGCTCGGGTGGCTTCTTTTAAGATCATGACAACGCCCAGGAGGAAATTAGCATGTGCTTCTGTACGGGTTTCCTCTTAGAATAGCCAGAAGGATTCATTGTTTATGCGGCATCATGTTATATGACTTAATTATCTGCAAATCTAGATGCATTAGGTCGTTTATGTCCCAGGCTCTCTCACATTTCCAAAATTGTATGGTCAAAAATGGCAAGAATTGCATGGTGCCAGTCAGAGGTCTAGTGTCTTTGTTGTTGTGCTTCAATGCAGATTCCACATGGAAAGATCTCAGTGGCCAGGTGGAGGACAGAAAGCAGAAGCTGGAGGAGTCCTCCAAACACCTCACCCAGTTCCAGACGGCAGAGGCCCAGCTGAGGCAGTGGCTTTTGGAGAAGGAGCTGATGATGAGCGTCCTGGGGCCACTCTCAGTGGACCCCAACATGCTGAACACGCAGAAGCAGCAGGTCCAGGTAAGAGTCCCCCCACTTGAAGAGCAAACTTCACCCTGATCATTTCCTGAATGAAAAACTAAGCAAAGTAACACTGTAGTAATTCATCAGCCTTCCAAAAATATTAACTTCCTTCAGCAGTTTTATATAAGTTTTTTTTATTGGTTCTGCATCCAGTCTTTGGTGTTACACAAAACAGGCTGTCAATAAAGAAACAGGATGCTCATGACGTTAGCTGGCCTTTTCAGACAACTGGATTGTGGAAAATCTACTGTGGAGAAATGGAACTACATATTCATATATACAGATTGAAGGACGGTGACATATACCTGCCTGACACTGTTGCTTTTTCAACAAAACATTTATTTTTTAGTTGCCTTTGGTTCTGTTTATACTGTATCTGTACAGATTTTCGTTATTTCACAGTGGACTCTCCTTACTCCTCACAGCAGTTTGTCTGAGTCAATATTTCTATTTCTGTGTTGTATCTTTGTCCCAAAGATTCTTCTGAATGAGTTTGAAACCCGCAAGTCCCAGTATGACCAGCTGAACGAGGCAGCACAAGGCATGTTGAGCACTCCTGGGGCTCCCCCTCCGGCGAGCGCAGTGGTGAGGGAGCAGCTGGCCGCGGTGGCTGACAAATGGCACCACCTAACGGGCCAGCTGAGCCAGAGGTCAGAGAAGATCGGCCAGGCCATCGCCAAAACCACCGCCTTCCAGAGCCTGCTCAAGAGCATTTCGGACAAAGTGGGCAGCCTGGACAGTGAGCTGCGGGGCCAGCCGTCACTGAGCACGCAGCCCGACGCTGTTAAAAAGCAGCTGGAGGTTGCCCATGGCATCTGCTCCCAGCTGAGAGAAGAAAAGAAGCGCGTTAAAGAGGCAGAGACCCTCTGCTCGGATCTCTCTGCGCTGGTGGGCGAAGACTACTTGAAGGCAGACCTTGCCCGGCAGCTGGAAAGTGTCATGAAGCCGTTTAAAGAACTTGAAGAAAAAGCAGGTTGGTGTTTTTGCCATTTGAGTTTGTGCCATGGCAACATTTCTGGAGACTTTTGTATTGTACACAGGTTACAATTTTTCACCATCATTTGTTTTTGATTAAATTTGTCAGAGTTTACAATATGTGAAGATAACCACTTTGCCATTAGCCAGGAACATAGTTGTTAGACTCTCTATGATGTAATTATATATTCTCACAGATTATGTTTCTTGGCTTTAGTGGCCGAGTTACAAAATCTTTAGTATATCTGTAATGTTACAGTGGAACTTCAGTAACTGAGACTCCATTTTCTTCACTGACAGCAGTGACCTTCAGTTATTGCTTATTTTTACAATTCTAAGACACATCAGTTTTCCTGAAGAGCAGTGGTATGATTTCCAAAGTTTTGCTAAGAAAAATTATTCTACTATATTTAGATAGGATGACTATTGGTATATGTCATTCCTCTCTCTTAATTTTATTTCTATCATGTAATATAAGGATTCTGATTCAGCAGTAATGATCACTCTGCTGACCTAACACTGTTAATTAATTGAATTGCAATGTCTTTCAAAATTACATTGAACAGAACATCAATGTCCTTTTGTAAGGAAGATGTGAGTAGATGAATACTCCTGCCATATCTAATAAGGTTGAATGGCACAAACGATGATGAGGAAGCTGAACTTTTTTGAATCTCATTATTGAACTTAATTGTGCATGAGGTCTGCAGACTTGTGTGTGTGTATTTCTGTAATGTCCCCAGCAAGCTTATAATCCTAGCAGGTGAAACACATACAGGAAACCCAGAGGTCCCTGCTATCAGCAATAAAAGCTATTGCTACATTTGTGATACCAGTCCATTGCAAGACACACACACAGACACACACACTCACACCAGAGCCAGTGTTTTACAGAAACCGATTAACCTAATATTAAAGTATTTTTTGTGGGAGGAAACCAGAGAACCCATCAAAAACCCACATGAACAAGACAGAACTTGGAGAACTTACAAACTCCCGCCAGATAGCACCTCAGGTCCAGAATTGAATATACAGTAAGACCCATATATGTGCCTCCATATATTCTTACATTACGATCTTATTTCTTGAATGCAGTAAACCGGATACAACAGCTCAACTCTGCGTTCGCCAGCTCACAACAGTTCCACCAGATGTCTAAAGATCTCCAAAACTGGTTAGATGAAAAAATGCATGAGCAGTCTCAGTCTCCCCTGATTTCAGCTAAAGTTGAAACCCTGCAGCAGAACCTTAAGGAGCATACTGAGTTCCAGAAGGCTGTGAGGGAGCAGGAAGCCCCATTTGAAACACTAGTCAAGGAGGGAGAAGCCCTTTTACAAAGCACTCAAGGTGCTGAGAAAATGGCTTTAATGAGCCAGCTCTCGGCTTTGAAGTCAAACTGGGACGAGCTGAAGAAAAGCTCTGCAGAGCGGTTGGGCAAGCTGCAGGTCTGCCTTCAGAGGGCCCAGAAGTACAAAGAGCATGTAGAAAAACTGAGCCCCTGGATAGAGGAGTGTGAAACCAAGATTGGTGAAGTAAACATTTGCATTGACCCTGCCAAAGTTGAGGACTCCATCTCCCAGGTCAGAACCCTTCAGAAAGATGTGGATAAACACCGTGGCTTGCTGGAGCTGTTGAACAACGCTGCTGACAGCTTGCTGGAAGTCTCGCAGGCTGACGAAGATGTCATCAGAGATGAGAAAGCTTCCATTAACAAGAAAGTTGACAACATGACTGAACAACTGCAGCTGAAGAAGGATTCTTTGGAAGAGACTGTGCAGCGTCTGAAGGAGTTCAATGAGTCCCATAAAGAGGCTAAAGGCCAGTTGGATGGCGCCAGAAAACAGCTAGAAGCCCATGTCTCCCTTGGAGCCCAGGCTCACAGCAATAAACATTTCACCAACATGAAGGCCCAGCAAAAAACACTTACTGCATTAAAGACCCAGGTGGATTACCTTAAGAACCTTGCTCAGGGGTTGGTGGTTGACATTCCAGATGCAACAGGGGTGAGCGATCTACTGCTGCAGGTAGACTCTCTGGAAAAGGACTACAAATTTGTCAACAAGGAGATGGAAGAGGCTTGCTTGTCACTGGAAGCCAGGCTGCAGGGAATCGGACAGTTCCAGAACAGCATCAGAGAAATGTTCTCTCAGTTTGCTGACTTTGACGATGAGCTTGACAGCATGGCTCCAGTGGGCAGGGACCTGGACACATTGCAGTCCCAGAAAGATGACATCCAGGGCTTCATCGGCAAGCTTCAGGAGCTGATGACCAACACCGTCAATGCCAACATGAGCTGCAAGAAGATGCTGGAGACTGAGGCTTCTCCTGACCTCATAGGCTTGAAACGGGACCTGGAAGCTTTAAACAAGCAATGCACGAAGTTAATGGACAGAGCCAGAGGGAGAGAAGAACAGGTTGAAAGCACCCTCACCCGTGTGGATGAACTGTATAAGAAACTAAAAAAGTTCCTAGAAAAACTAGGGTTTGCTGAAGAACATGAGGAATCCCAAGGGCCTGTTGGATTGGAGACTGAGACCATCAATCAACAGCTGGACACCTTCAAGGTAAGACACCCCTCAGGTTATATTTATGGCCTCATTTAAAGTCTATACTTGCTTCTTCAGTTTGCAGAAAATCAACAAAATAAATAGCACATCCATAATGTACGAGTTGATAATCTGTAATATTAAATTCCCAGCTCTGGTTTGGTTGTCTTACTCTGTTGATGGTCTTTTTGTTTACGGTAATTCCTAAGTTTGTTTAAAGAATATGATAAGAATTTGCATTCTGAGTTTAATTCAGAGTACTCTTTCTCACATTGTGATGAGAAACAACAACACCAAAGAGTCTGCACTGTAGGGCTATCATTTTCACGACAAAAATATTAATCCTTTCTCATAAGGTTGTTAGCCTGCAATGCATGCACTGCCTGATGCCTTATTTGTGAAGACATCTGAGCATGTTTGTAATTAGTGATTGTCACAAGTAGCTAAGCACAATGTTAAGGATGGCTTTATGCACTTCCAGGTCATAGGGGAGCCGGAGCCTGTACCGGCAAGCAGTGGGCTCAAGCCAGGATACACCCTGTGCCTGTTGCTTGCCGAGATACTGTAGGCTTTGACCCTGAACCAGATGAAGTGGTCAGAGAGCAGGGATGGATAAACTAAAGCAATTTGTTGTCCTGAAAAAAATAATAATATTTGCACAGCTAAAGCAATTATAGCTTTGTGAAATAAATAATGATTAAATAAGTTGCAGCAATAGGACGTTGTTTCTGTTCTATAAAATCAGTAACTGTATTGTGCTTCATGTTTGTTGTACGTCTGCTTTCCCGGGTTTGCAGTGTTTTCTTTGCTTGTTAAGACCGTGTATGTCTGTCCTCTAGGGATCACTACTTCACTTTGTTCGGGAGCATCTGGCAGTAACAAAAGAGAGCCACACTGGAGGCTATTGTTGAAAGTGACAGGCCCAAAGACAGCTGGGAGTCAGCAGGGCTGTGTGTGTTTAAACGTTCCTGTTGCAGTCATAGGAGCTGACTCTTGCTGTTTTTTTTCAGCAGTGGAACAGAGCAACATCTAGGTTTACCTACTTTTCTTGAAACTGCCTGAGTTCGTAGCTTAACTGTGATAAAAGGAACATGGTTACAGAATGGCAGGCACTCTTATTTTCCAATAAGTATTTATTCAGGATGTTTTGGTTGCTACAGACACAATGGCAAATAGCTGTGGTATGTTAAAGCTGCTGGTTTTCGGGTTGTGATAACTTCTCTCGATTTTGTGGCTTCATGTTCCAAACTATGAAACCTGTCTTCCCTGGTGGATGGCATGTTTAGTTTTCACAATGCGTATTGATGAAAATTGATTTTCTCTTCTGTTTTCTTGATACCGTATGTTGATATGTTTTCTTGATAATCCCTCTTTAGCTTTCCATAGATTTGTGCTTTATCTTAACAGTTTCTAGAAACAACAGAATATGTAGCTAAATTTAAGTGGATTACAGACAGTTTTTTCATGGAATAAATCCTTTCAAGAAAAATTAAATTTATTATTTAAAGACAACTGAGAAAAATAGCAAACTATTTTATATTATCATGAGTACCATGCAGATTTTCCTTGGAAACTTCTACAGTACGTATATAACTGTGCATAAAGAATATTAAAGTTTTAAGGTATTTAAAATGTGAAAAATACCTATCTACCAGCCACTGCACTTTGTGTTTGTATGTTCCTGACATAATGTACTGTAGGTTTCACAAATGTGAAATAAGAATGTTAAAAACTTTAACCTCATGATTAGAAGATCCTTATCTGTTTCTGAAAACATCATGAATAAAATGCTATTTTATATGTTTTACTAACCCTCAGAGTTTTATTAAGTAATCAGCATGTTTTTGCTGTCTGTGTGAACTGATAGGTCTTCATTCCTGCACTGAATGACAACAGCTGAAGCTACTGTATACAACCTGTTCTGTTTTATTCACTGTCTCTGTGGCAATGCTGCCTAAGGGACTTTGGTAATAATGTAACTGAAGAGAAATCAGCATTGCATTGATTTACTCTTTTATTCTGCCCCTGGTTCCCACAGATAAACCCTTGTCCTAAGAACACAACATAATAGGCTCTTCTTGTGTTTGAAGATTAGGGCTGTGCTGTTTTTTCATGTGGTAGAAACATGTTTTTCAACTAGAGAAACAACAAAACCAAAGAAAACAAAAGGGCATTTAACTTTGAACTTTTTCTCCCATATTTGTTTTGCTTTCTGCCCAATTACTGATGAAATTAATAATTCATTTAGAGTTCCTCAACAAAGCAGTATATACTAGAAAGACATCTAGGATTTACTGTACTCAGCTGTTTCTTTCACAAGCAGGCCTACCTATGTGATGTGCTGTTCTAGGCCAAGATTGTGCTCAATATTAATAAATGATTAGTTTACATTTTTTCTTCTGTATTTTTTTCAACTCCTCAGAGTATGTATTTAGTGCCATCATTTTTTCACATGTGTTTATAGCTAATATCTGTATATGCTCCTGTGAAAAGCTTATGGTGACACTCTTTTTTGTGCCCAGACGTTACATCAGTGTCTTTGTGGAAACAAACATTTCTGCTACCTGAATCATTTTTACCCCTTAGGTGGGGGAAAATATGTCTTTGTGCTAAGTAAAGCTTAATCATCGCCACTGCTGTGTTTTAGTGGCTTTTCAGAAACCTGAGATCTGTGTCCTAAAATGTGGGTGCTGTCAGACATGCATTGTGGTTCTGTGATGGAGTTAACTTTCCACAGGGATCATATTACATGTTTTTATAGTTGCATTAGATAAAAAGGCATAAACTTAGCAGATCTTTTTGCAGTTGAGTTTTGCTTTTTATGTTTATGGAGTAGTGTCCTGTAGCACATGATCAGACCATTTTTTTTGTTTCATTGAAAGCTTTGTCAGCTCTTTGACAACAATTACAGATGTCAGTGGGCCTCATGGTAGTGGAGCAGGGAAGAGCAGCTATTTTCCAAAGTGGAGGATCTTTGTAAGCCTGATCTATACGATACAAAGACTAAATAAGCTCCTTTCTTCTCCTAGTTTGAGCAAATAGTTCATGCTGAAAGCAGCAATCAATTTCTTGTTCATGAAGGCTGTAATGCCTTGAACTGAAGTTATCGAGTAATCTTCCGAAAGGGTGTTTCAATTACACCTACAGCGTTATCTTTATTGCATTTGTACAACTTTCTTGTTTCCAGCGAGGATGAAGGGATTACTGCAGATCAGCCTTGTGTTTAGACCTTGCTAAAAAAAATATTAATTCACACACTTCAAGTTTTTTAGGCTCTTTTTTGACATTTTATAAGATTTAACAGCTTGCTTTAATCGTTTAGATAATGTTTCTTCATTCACATGACATTTTTACAAATGCTGATTGAAATGTTTTCTAGCTTGGACAATAATGATCCAACAGACACTTTAAAGGAGGTTGTACACCAAAGCAGACATGGCTTTCACTGTGTGAGGAGAGCAAGTTAGATCGGCTGATTTCTTTCAATTTACAGCTTGGATTGCATCCAGAAACCTGTCTGAGATTCCCCCTGCTGAATATCTTTTGACTAAATCCTCCTTATCACTTTAACCACTTACAAGCCTTTGCCAGATTTTCCCTTTGAAAGTCGCATTGCTCCTACATCGAGCAACTCCAACACCACTCAGTTATTTTTCCATTGTTCCGCTGGTGAAAGCAAAATAAATAGCGGTGATTTCTACTCCTCTGCTCCTGGATTTGAAAAACACTTTATTGCCTTGGCAATGATCCTGGTGTTAAATTACCTGAGACCAGAGCTGCTTTCCACATTCCGGAGTAACTCGCAGGACATCAACGCACGCCTAAGTAACCAATAACCAGTCTGTAAAAAACAAGAGAGAAAAAGAGGAGAAAGATCTGTTTCTGCCCTGCATGATGTCACTGGATTGGTGCAGCATTCAGTGAGTCTTTTGCAAGCCTCTGGATTCCTCCCACTGCATCAGCTCTGTCCTCTGGAACAAGACAAATGGTGTTTAGTGAAAAGATGACTACGAAGTTAAGTCATGTGGACCATGGAGACAGAAGGAGAGAATTAAAGAGGTCAGGCATCTACCAATCAACATGTGATAGAGCACCCCTAGTAGGAATGGAGTTGTGGCAGATGTTGCCTGAGTAATGAAGAGGGGCGTGCCTTTGAGCTCACTGCTAGGAGGGTGTCTGTCATTGCAGGAAAGCCAGGAGAGAGCAGAAGAGCTTTTTATCTGGAGCTGTTTGCTGGAAGTGGATTGTCTTTTGTTTTGCTGAGCCGTGGATATTTACTGGGATCTGGCAACGGGAGCAAAAGATGTCTTGCAGCATTTGGGATGCTTATGGGTTCTGTTTTTAAGTGAGTATGCGACAGACAGAGACTTAGAAATTTGGCTCTGAGTCGAGCTTTCCGTTGTTGCAGTGTGAAAATATGTTTAAAGTTTTCACAATGGAAAGGGAAGAATCAACCAGCAAATTCTTTGAAGCAAGGTAACTGACAGAAGGATTTAAATGGGTTGGAGCAGTGACAAAGCAAAGTGCTCAAGTTGTGGAAACCAGAGCCATGAACTGAAAGGAAACTAAGGAGAAGATTGTACTGTTTCTGAGCCATTACGTCTTCAGCTTCTTTCAGAAGAAAAGCTTTTTTCTTGTACTTTTCAGTATCAAAAGGATATTTTTGTTACTAGTTTTTATAGTATTTGCATACACACTGTAAATAATCAGATGTTTTTGTTTCTATTAATGCTAAAAGCCATCTTTATTTATGATAGTTTATTGTTTGCCTACAAATAATATTTTTATAAATATTAACCTAGCTTTGTATGAAGTAATATATAAGAGCAATATCTGAAATTTGCTTGAAAGCAGGAACTTTAATTTTAATACAGTAATTTTTTAATATGTATTTTAATTTTAATACAAGCCATTAAGCATCTTTGTTCTCTTGTTGTAGTCTTGATCTAGGTTTGCACAAGTGGTAGGTTTTGTTTGCACTGAAAGTAACATGTAAACCTCATGAAATATATATAGTATTTAAAAATTGCATATTTTCCCTAGCCATTTTTATTTTAATTACTTCCAATTGTGTTGATTTATAAAGAAGCCAAAGCTGTAAAATATGGGGAAGCCGTTAAGCAGACCTGACTGTTTACGCCAGAACACTGCCTGTGTGGGTAAAGGCGAAGAGGAGGATTTCAACATTGATGACTGCTACGTGCCTCAGAGATCAATCTACGACACCGTTAGGCTCAATGAGCAGATTGACTCTGGTTCAAAAGGAAGTCTTGCATCTCGGCACTTTACTGACCGCACTCTTCCATACTGCCACAGGACTCTGGATATGGGTACGCTGTGCAGCAATGGGGTTTTGGCCTCTTCCAGCGTCTTTGAGCTGAGAAGCCGTGAGACAAACAAGCTAGATGAGAAAATGATTTTTGATGCTCTGAAGCTCAACAGTGACATTATCAGGACTTCAGGTATGGTGGTGCCCAAGGCCAAGTCTCATGGGGACAAGAAGGAAAACAGACGATCGTGGAGAATGTTTACGCCTGCCAGCTTTGCGGAATATGCCAACCGAAGTGAGAGCTCGTTTGCAGAGGGTGTTGATGTGTCTGATCTGTCGAGAAGTGGCAGAGGCAGGAGCACTGCCAACTCTCTCACCTCAGAAGAGGACTCGGGCCTATGCAGCCCGACAGCTGAGCGAGAGCTGAGGAATCGCTCCGTACATAAGACTGACACAGGTGGGAGAAGCCTGTCTTTCATGGAAGCCGTTCATGCTAAAGGGGACCTAAAGGCAATATGTTCTGTAAGTTCAGACAGAGAGGAGCATCTTTTCAGCCCAGCCCATGACTTGATTCCTGTTTCTCTATATTACAACGATGTTACAGAACAGGAAATGCGTCTGGATACAGACATGTGTGTAACAGAGCAAAGCAGAACTGATCAGATGGAAAACAAAGGAGAGAATGAGAACCTGTTCCAATGGACAACAACACAATTGCCAAATGGGATCAACTTCAGAGGCCACAATCGCTATTCCAAAACGTATTCAGATTACAATGAGCTGCCCACGGTGGAACTGCTGGAAGAGCTTCCTGTCCCTCAGGAATGTGTTGGGGTCACTGAAGAAAGAGCGAGACACGAGCTGGGAGACACGGGCGCTATTGACAGTGCAGCTCCCGGTGACTTCCACCCAGAAAGTTCAGGGTGCGGTGCTGCGGAAACAGAGGTAAAAGACTTAGCCAGCTCAAAAGAAAATGAAGACTATCCATTGAATGGCCTGGTGATGGATGAGGGGAGTGACAGCATGGTGGAGACAACAGCCACATGCCCTGTAAAGGACAAAAGCAGTCCTTTCTCCTTCAAGGTATCCAATAAGCAGTGCATTTAACATGTGGTCTATAAACACCAAGTCAGGACAGCTTGCTGAGTGGTCAGCACAGTTAACACCCATTGTGATAAGTCAACCACTTTTGATTAGGTTTCCTTGGTAACCTGCCTCATTGCAGTCCTGCCTATCAGGTTACAAAACAGACAGATTTAGTGTAGTGTGCTGGCTAACCTTTGACATGTACCTATGATCCTACACAACTTGGAGGTGAATGATGAGTTTCTTTCTCCTTGTTGTCTTTCACCACGTGTTTTGAGTGTTTTCGCAAGAAGAAATATGTAAACTTTTCAGCTTTTGCATTTACAACAGTGTGTTTTAATGGGCCTCTATCTTTGCAATCATTCTTTTTAAACAATCCCAAACATGCCTGTTATGTTTTCATTAATGAGATTTCTGAAGCAGCTTGACTAAAAGACATGTGAAACTTTTAAATAGCTTGTAACTAGCACAGAAATACTTGCGTTTACCATAAATCTAAAATGTTTGGCCCAGGATGTTGTAAAATATTTGGCTATAATCCACTCCTAGTATAATATTGGATGTTTAAAGCTGTAATGGCCTCTTTGCTTATTTTAATTTGAAATTGAGTAATATGCATAAAATTCTGATTTGGTTAGATATGTTTGCAAGACTAACATTCTCAACAAAAAGCCAGGTGAATAAACAATGATTATGTTAAGTCCTTATTTGTTTAGCATGGTCAGTTGCGCCCTCCTACATGCTATAAGTCAGCAGAAAATATTTTCTTTTACAGTTAAAGAAGGAAAACTACATCTGATTTCCAGGCTGGCATTGCATTTGAATTTTAAATTGTCTGATATAAATGTAGATGAGCATAAAAGTAGAGGCACTGAATTTCAAACATGTTTTTAAATGACCTTTTCTGAGGAAACCCTCCTTTGAAAAGGGTAACATAAGCTCTGAATTAATATTTAATATTCCCTATGACAAAAAATTATCCATGTTAAAAAAAATTACCAAACTCTTCAAACCTCCTTCAAAGGGTTCCTGTTTGTGCTGCAGTTGCTTTTAAGGATATACAGTAGTGAGCTGTTGAAAATCTGAGGTAATGTCCCTCACCATGAAAAAACAAAGAGTGTTTCCTGCTCTTTCAACAGTACTTTGTGCCTGTTTGTCTACTGCATTCATTAACTCTTCAGACACAATCTTACTCTTAAGATATGCATGTTTTACCACAGCATAGCTGTTTGCAGTTTACTACATTATTTGTTTGAACTGTAGGTATTTCAGAAAGAAGAAATTGAGCCCCTGCAACTGCAACTGCAAGACCTGAACTGGTTGGGTCAAGGCCTCATACAAAGTGCTGCTAAGAGCAGCAGAACCCAAAGCCTTGAACAGGACCTGGAAGATGTTAACACTAGGTGGAACACACTTAATAAAAAGGTTTGTTCCGTTTTCATTATTTCACATTCCCTTTTCTTCTGTGCTTTCTTCTCTAATGTACTGCTGAAGTACAGTAGTTCAATAAATGCTGGTTCTTTGCTAGGCAGCTGGGTTTCAGAAATGTGAAAGGTATGACTTCAGAAAATACTGTAATTATAAAAGAATGTACATGATTTCAATTGTTCTGTCAGTTTTCCATTTATTTTCTTCATTTTATGTTTATGAAAAGTATGTTTCTGAAAAATAGGTCATACTCAACACAAATATATGTGAAACATTTCTTAAGCAGTAATTACAATTTGTGAGTGTTCATTTGCTCCATTCATTAACTCTGAAGGTACACACTGATGCATATATCACGTCACTGTAGCTGAAGCCATTTGCAGTGATAAAAACCATATCAATTTTTGTCTGTCAGTGTTTGCAGAACTACAAGACATTTATACTTTGCTTTATGGTTACTAAGTGTCTCAATGGGACTGGCAGAAGATGAAATATGCCCCGAAGGGGGAAAAAAGAGCTAATATGTTTAAGGGGGTGTATCCACACAATATGTCCACAGGTTGCTGAGCGAGCCACCCAGCTTCATGAGGCCCTGCTGCACTGTGGGAGGTTTCAGGATGCACTGGAGTCGCTGCTCAGCTGGCTGACAGATACAGAGGACCTGGTGGCCAACCAAAAACCCCCTTCTGCCGAGTTCAAGGTGGTCAAGGCTCAGATTCAGGAACAGAAAGTAAGTCACTTTATTGCAGAGGCCCAAGTCTTTGGCAGTGAATTGAGAAGTTCATATTTAGCACGGTGGAGCTGGGGGCCAGCAGGGATGAAAGGTGGCGTCCTGCAATCATGCACATCTCTGTACTTTAAAGCTCAGGACTGAGAGCCGTACTATGTGCACTCCTGCATTACGTCTGCTGAGAGTGTGAGTTAATTAAAATAAGAGTGCAGCACTTCTGTACCCAAAAGGTTGCAGGAGTAGGGAACAAGTAGTCCATCCATTGTTGTATAAGCCGGTTCCCTGGACTCTATCTTGAAACAGCAGGATGAGACCCTGGGATCGTTCAGCGACGCCACTTCCTCCTCATGCAGTCTCTCCACGCACGGCTTTGAATACTTGCAGTATAAGTCTTGCCCAAGTAGATGCGTTGGACATCTCATCCCTCCCCTTCATCACATCCTTCTGAAGATTAGTGCATTCAGGAACTGGGCTGTGATCGTTTCTATAATATTCCCTTTTATAATAGAAAACTGTGTGGTACTTTGTTTGTCTCCTGTCAAGATGTTTAGTTATTTGCCAGATTTTGGTTGATTTTCATGGTGTATTAAGTAAACTTATGGTATCTATATGGCATGGGCTGGTTAGCAGGTCTTAGAAGTACGTCCCTACTTGTGCTTATTTCCTAGTAAAAGGAGGACATATGAGGTGTCTGTCACATATACAGTACACAGTAGCTTCTTTATTAATGTCTGTTTTATAAGAGATCTGTATTTCAGAGATGCAAATACCTCTGAGAAGATGCAAAGATATTATATTTCTGTTCTGCTGTGCCCTAGCCTTTCCAAACAAGTGTGTATTTTCCAGGATCATTGCACATGAATTTGAAGGCAAGCACAAAGAGCAAGTGAAGTTGAATGATAAAATCATTTTAGAAGAATTCTAATAAATATAAAAATTATTTTTCTTTCAAATACCCAGTATTTGGTAGTTTTTACTGCACTTGTCTTGGGTGAGCCCAGGTGACCTACAGTCCTGTAACCCGAGCAGTCAGGCGCCCAGACCGGACACTCTCATTTAAGGAGTCCGTACAACACAAGCTCGGCTTCACTTGCTTTCACTGCATACTTTTCTTTTTATTTTTCTTGTAACAGCTCCTGCAGAGGCTGCTGGATGACCGGAAACCCACGGTCGAGTTAATTAAAAATGAGGAAGGGAAAATGTCTGAGCTGGCAGAGCCAGCGGACAAGGAGAAGCTTCTGAAAGAGATCGTCAGCCTTGGGCAGCGCTGGGACACGCTGCTGAAGAAGGCAGAAAGCAGGTCTGTGAAACGGCCTGAAGTCCACCTGCTGATGAGAAGGCCTGCCGGTGACATCCACATTCAAGCTGTAGCAAGCTTCTTATCAGATATCGCCTGTTTCTGGGGCTTAAATACCTCAAAGCTCTTAGGTGTAGGAACTATTCTGAAAGCATTACCAGTCATGCCAAAAGAAAGTCATCTCTCTCTTCAAACAGCTGCTGCAGGGTTAGATTGTAGAGTGATGCTCTCATTCTTTTCCACTGAATTGTTAGTTTAATTTTATTTGGGTTCTAATCATACATTGTGTTAAAGTTGCATAAATACAGGGTTCTTGCCCCTTTTTAAATTTGGAGTAACTACAACCTACAACTTTTATACAGCATTATGGCCAACACTTGGACATAAACATCTGATTGATTAACGTCTCATGATACTGATAGCATGTTTTCATTGCTGTTTCTGCTTTGATTTAGCAAAAGTGTTCATGATGATGACTTTAAAGGATGAAATACCCAAAATCCATTGTTTTTGTCTAGAATTCCAGACAGAAAATTGTCTCATAATTTTTTTTGTTCATTAATCAGCCTACAATTGTGTTTCCTGTTGGCACTGATCTAGGCACCGACAGCTGGAAAGTATCCTAGTGGTAGCACAGCAGTTCCATGAGACCCTGGAGCCTGTTGCAGAGTGGCTAACAGCCACTGAGAAGCGACTGGCAAACTCGGAGCCCATTGGGACTCAGACTAAAAAGCTGGAACAGCAGATTTCACAGCACAAGGTAAAACCCGTAGGCCTCTTTCATCATAAACACACCCTTTCGTTTTTATGATTTCTCCGCTTCATGATTTGTTTAAGTACAATCATCGTGCTTATTCTTCTCTTTTGTTTATTATAATTTTTCATTTGTTTGCATGCTCCTTTTCTGTTATTTTATTTCCATTTTCATCACTTAGGCGTTAGAAGAAGAGATTATGGGTCATAGTAAAAACCTGCACCAAGCTCTAAGCCTTGGGCAGACTCTTAAGACTCTGAGTTGCCCTGATGACAAGCAGCTGGTGCAGGCCAGGCTGGATGCCACTCAGGCTCACTTCATTGAGCTTCAGGAGAGGTGCAGGAGGAAAGCAGCCATGCTCCAGCAGGCCTTCTCCAATGCCCAGCATTTCGGCGAGGATGAAGTGGCTCTTATGAACTGGCTAAATGAGGTGCATGAAAAGCTGAGTGACCTGTGTGTCCAGGACTACAACACGGAGGTGCTTCAGAAGCAGCATACTGAGCAGCTGGTATTTTGTTTTTGTTGTTTTATTTTATCTCATTTATAGCATGTCTCAGATTTGTTTTGGGTTTTTTTGCATTTGGTTGACTTCACTCACAGATTGTACACATTCTGTCACTTTCAAATGCTTTGTTAGTCGTTGCTGAAGTTCTGTCTTTCGTGTAGGCTCTTCACGAGGACATCTTCCTCAGGAAACAGAATGTTGATTTAGCCATTCAGAATGGATTGGAACTTCTGAAGCAGACTACAGGTGAGAAGACACCAGAGAAATTACTCAAATATAATAACTTAAGGTTTAGAAAGGAGAGGAGGCCAGAGTGCAACTACCGAGCATATGTGAAACATAAGAACTTCATTGTAAAAAAGTGTTTTTCAAGATCAGGTTTGAGCCAGATACTTAGAGACTTCTATTCATGCTGCTCATGGCAACAAAGTTGGTTTCTCAAGAGGTTGTGTTACATTATAAAATGACTGCAGTGCTTAGGTGTATCATGAAGAATTATTTGCTTTTTTTAATTGCAGGTGATGAAGTTGTTGTTATTCAAGGGAAACTGGATGGAATTAAAGCCAGATATACAGAAATCAATGTGATGAGCAGCAGTGTTTCAAAGACCTTGGACCAGGCTCTGTCACTTGCAACTAAAGTGCAGCAGACTCACGAAGAGCTGTGTGTCTGGTTGGACAGTGTTGAAGCAGAGCTAGTGGCTTTTGAAGCCCAGGTTCCTGTGGGAGAACAATTATCTCAAGTACAGGAGAGGCAAAAGGTAAGACTGTCCAGGTCAGCTTGATTGCTATTATGAATGGTAAGGATGTCATTCTGGTTATATTGTGCTTCTGCCACAAAAATGCTTTAAACCTGAGGTCTTCCACTGACATACAGTATATTTAATTGTTCTCTCCTCAAATTAATTTTCATAAAAAGGACCCTAAATGAATATTGTTTTTTTCTTTATTTAATTTCCTGGCATGTAAAAATGGAAGCCATTACACTAAATTTGTTATGTTCCTGACAGCACATTGACCATTGAAATGGCTTTGGGCTGAGCTAATTATTTGAGTATTCGTCATGACTGTATAACACAATTACCCAGACCGGCAGGACTGCAGGCACACACTCAGTGCGCAGAGTCACTAATGGAGTGGAATTCCTGTTCAGGAGCTCCTGAAGGAAGCCAGAGAGCACAAGGCGCTGGTGGACAGTTTAAATGAGGTGAGCAGTGCCCTCCTGGAGCTGGTGCCCTGGAGAGCGAGGGAGGGGCTTGACAAGCTGGTGTCCGAAGACAACGACAGGTACAAGTCAGCCACCGACGCCATCTCTCAACATGTGGAGGCGATTGATGCGGCCATACTGAAGTCACAGCAGGTAAACTGCACCACTGTATGTACAGCCAGGGGCCATAAAAAATTCTGCAAAAGCTAATGGCCTTTAACTGCCTGCTATAAAGAGGGCTTCTTACCAGAATGCAAATTGAAAACCTGGAAGATTGTTATTTAAGAGTGTGAAAGACATCTGCCTGCCAAACCAAAGCTAATTGTTCCATTGTTTGAACCATCTGCCTGATTGTGTTTTACTGTCCATTGTTCAGCAAATATGTAAAAGAACTGTGACGGTGTTTTAAAGGCTGGTAACTTGTTCTGAGGACATTTTCATACTTATCTATATAAAATCCAACAATGATGTGTTTGGATCTAGGACATTTTAAACATGATAAAGAAAGTATTTGTCTTCAATGTAAATCTGTAGAAGTTTCATAATATGTACTGTATGGCAAAATCCCTGTGAAATCTCTGCCTTATTAAAAAAGCAATTATGAGAAAATGTCATCCAGAACAAATAATCTGTAATCAGATGTCAAAACATAATTTTAGGTTTACATTTATAAAAGGGAATGTCTCCATGCAAGGTTTTGTAGTGCCTTTTAATAAACAGTGGTTCTGTCCTGGATACAGTACTTGTAGGTGGATGTAGACACTGTGCTTCCCTGTCTGACTGTGTGTAAATGTGATCTAGTTTGAACAAGCAGCTGATGCTGAGGTTGCCTGGCTGACAGAAGCTGAGAGGAAGCTGACTTCAATGGGGGAAATCAGGCTGGAGCCAGATCAGACTACAGCTCAGCTTCAGACACAGAAGGTAGAACTCAGAACTCTTGCATTCACTGTATTTAACTGAAAACAGGACTGCCTTCGATAGCCTCACTCAGCAGCATGCAGTAAAACCTTCTTTGTTATCACCACTAGGCCTTCTCCATGGACATCATGAGGCACAAGGACACCATTGATGGAATTGTGAAAACCGGAGAAGCGTTGATGAAGAGCCGAGACGAGGAGGAGAAGCAGTGCTTACAGGTGCACTGAACTTAAGATCAGTTTCTCTCCAGTGAGAGTTGTTACACAGACAAAAACAATAGTCTCTACAACAGTTAATGCTAGTGTTTCGTTGAAGGGCTAGCGAATGTGTTGAAAGAACAGCTCAGATTAGACAATGAAAGTGATATGTACACAACACCACAAACCCACTTTCCAGTGATTTATAATCAAGTGGCGAGCTCACTCAGAGGATGTGTGCATGTTGTTTGATTCGGTGGGCTTGTTCTCATTTGTCATCGCTGTTGCTGTGTCCATCCGGCAGGAGAAGATTAAGACCCTCCTGGATAAGTACAACGCCGTCAGCCAGATGAGCTCCGAGAGGAGCCTCCAGCTGGAGCGAGCGCAGTCTCTGGCCAGCCAGTTCTGGGAGACGTATGAAGAGCTGTGGCCCTGGCTTCAAGAAACCCGCAGCCTGATCGACCAGCTCCCTCCGCCAGCCATCGAGTACGACACCCTGAAGCACCAGCAGGAGGAGCTGAGGGTAAGGCTGCCGAGACTTCCAGCTGCTTTCCGCACTGAGCTCAAACTGAGGAATACACGCTAGCCTCAGTTTTCATTCTGCCCCACTGCTATAAGAGGTGTGTTTTTTTTCTGAAAGATTCCACTTTCGAATGGATACTTATTTTTATTTCACACACGCCGAGCACAAGGACAGGGAGCGTGACCATGTGTGTGTTCTCCTGAAACATGCACTTGTCATATGCTTCAGTTAGCCTCTGCGCTGAAGACAGGGAGTTTGTGATCCCTTGGTCCCTGCTGGCTCTCGTCCATATCATTCATCACCACTAGAGTCACAGTTCGACTGTGTTTGGCTAGCAGTGGTGTTGGCCAGACCTGAGCTGGTGGTGTCTGTTCTGTTCAGGGGTCATGTTGAGCTCAGAATGGGTGCTTTCACTGGTTAAGCCACTCCTGAGTCCCCTTTGTACCTTTTTAAAAATGAGTCATTATACTGCTGGAGTATATCCTATGGTTGTAGACTCCAGGGTGATTTGAGGTGGATGTCCATCCAGTTTTGTTTATCACAGTAGCCCATAATTTTTCCTCTTAATGCTTGGATGGGTTCTCTTGATGCAGTAATGAACGATTCTTTTCCTGCTTACAGGGCATCTGATATTGATATGACCTCATGACAGCCCGTTGTCAGCATTCTGCTATTTGCCTAAAGCAGGTTTATGGTCCCTACATTACTATGAAGGAATGAGGCAGAGCTTAAAAGAGGCAGAGTGGGATGGTCAGTGAGTCAGTGAGAGTCAGTGGACCAAATGACTTCATAAACCAATTAATAAAATAGAAGGAGAAAGAAAGCGCCTCATTAAATTATTACAAGAGTGTGTCCATTTACAGAATTGAGTACAATACATTGCAAGGACAGGAAAAAATGATATTAGAATAGTGGAGAGAGAAAAAATTGCATGGCAACACATGCAACATTGCATTTCTCCAGTACCGGATGAAGCTAAGGTTTCTCGGAGACAAAACATGCGAAACTTTCAGACAGTTAGAGGGGAAAGGCTACTAGATCACTGAGGTGCTCATCAAAGAAGAAACAGAGATGGGTCTCAGGATAGATCAACACAAAAGATAAATATAGTGCTAACTTAATGGCACTATTATAGGACTTATGATTATGTGATTGAATTCAGAAAAGACATTTAGGTGTTCTTGATTTAGAATGCCAGCACCCGTCCACGGATGGAGTGATGGAGAATCGGTCTGCGGGAAGAACAGAAGTTACAGCTCCTGACCGGCTACGATAAAAACATTAACGGATTATCGGTGTCCTGCTTTTTACAGCAACTGCGGGAGCTGATTGCAGAGCACAAGCCGCACATTGACAAGATGAACAAGACAGGCCCGCAGCTGCTGGGGCTGAGTCCCGTGGAGGGCGTCTCTGTCCGGGAGAAGTACACGGCCACGGACCGGCTCTACGCCCAGCTGAAGGAGGATGTCAAAGAGCGGGCCGCAGCCTTGGACGAAGCCATCTCCAAATCCACCCAGGTACCGGCTGAGGGTTTGTCCTTCAGATGCCTTTTTCCTTTTGAATGAGTTAAATTAGCTTCATCATTTTGACGTCTCTTACGCTCAATACATCGCTGACCGTCAAGCATGTCATGTTCTGTCCATTAAGCTGTCCAGACTTTTTGGTCTATAGTCTTCCCATGTTTCATGCTTTGTCAATGTCTTTGCCTTTCATTCTTCTTTTTCTTTCCCTGTGTTTTCCACACCATCCTCGATAACATTGTTTGGTTAACAACTTTTAATATATCATCCAGCTTAATGAGGTGAGGCATAAGGTTTTGCAGTGTGACTTCTGCATTCACTTCAAGTCTTCCCAAGATGAGCTAACTTCTTGCATGTTCTGTACAATTTGTTTTTTATGTGTGAGTTCTGTATATACAATTACCAGTGTTACTAAAGAGCTCCTTATATGAAGCGCCTATAAAATTTCAATTTTAACAGATACAGTTAAATAACTTCTGCAGTAATGTGTGTCCCAAAAGCTGCATGGCAATTCTTCTGAAAGATAAAAAAAGTGAAGCAAAAAACTAATGACAGAGCTTCCTCATCTAGGACCATTCATCTCTATGGTCATCTCTGCCAGCTAAAAGGAAAACTTGTATCTTAATGTTGACCAATACCCATCATGCTGTATTCAAATTTTCTAAAGCTAAAATGAGATGTGTGTTGTTTTTTACTGTAGAATGATGGGTAGATTAGATTCCAAGAATGTATAAGAAGGCTTGTAGTTGTGACGTTTTCATGGCTTGAAAAGTTTGGAACTCTCTATAAGACCAATACAGTATATTGTATAAATAGTGTTCTGATTGTCTCTTTATCTCTGTTTGAATGGTTGTCATTGCCTTGCTTGCTGCCTCTTTCCCTTTTAAACAAGTAAAAGCTACAGTATACAGCGAGCTTAAACTTGACAACATGCTGTATCCAGAATCTGTGATACATTAGCTAAGCCTTGGGAAATGCTTAAGAGAAATGTAGTTGTCTGGAGATGATCTTTTTTTATGATGGAAAATTAACATTTCAACCAACCTTCTAGTGGTTCAAAGCATTGTATTACTTTTGGAATTGGCAGTGGTATTTCTATTCAAATATTTCTGTGTTTGTAGCTTAACAGAAACCTTTTAGAAAGACAGCCTTTGTTTTGTCTTTGTCTCATATTTATTTTACTTTTATCTTGCTTTAAGTGTTTCCAAAGACTTACCAGTATAGTGGTACTGCACATCTAGCTGGTTTGGGCAGAGCTCTGATAACATTACATGACTGGGCTTCAAAGTGCACGATACTTGCCTTTATCAAAGCATGAAATGTCGGAGCTTTCGCAAGTAGAAAATGGGTGGGATTCACAATATATTTTGTTTAATTGAAAAAGAAACTTCTTAAATGATCTTTTCCTTCTCTTATTGTACAGTTCCATGACAAAATTGACCCAATGCTCGAGTCTCTGGAGCGCATTGTGGATCGCCTGAGACAGCCTCCCTCTATATCAGTGGAGGTAGAGAAGATCAAAGAGCAGATTGCAGAAAACAAGTCCGTGTCTGTAGACCTGGAGAAGCTCCAGCCAGCCTATGACACTCTGAAACAGCGTGGAGAGGAGATGATTGCACGATCAGAGGGCGCAGACAAGGATATATCAGCTAAAGGTAGCTTCACTCTTGCATTTTGTGGAAAAAATTGGTGTGTTTTTTTGCTGCACTGACTGAACTGAGGTTTTTTTTCTGTTTTTCAGCTGTGCAAGACAAGTTGGACCAAATGGTGTTCATCTGGGAAGATATCCAAGCTCTTCTGGAAGAGAGAGAGGCTAAACTCCTGGATGTGATGGACCTGGCAGAGAAGTTCTGGTGTGATCACTGTGCTCTCATCGTCACTATAAAGGACACACATGACCTCCTTCGAGAGCTGGAGGAGCCCGGGGTCGATCCCTCTGTGGTCAAACAGCAGCAGGAGTTTGTAGAGGTCAGTGGGCACCCTGCTGTGTCCGTTGGGTAAATTCAATGGTCTGTTGGGCAAGGTCAAGCATGAAATTCTTAACTCACCAGTCAAATCATCAATCATCAAATGCCCAGCAGTGCAGATGTACTTACATGCTGTTTCCATTTGCGTTTTCCCTCAACATTTTTAATTGGAATGCTGTGCTTTCAGATGTTTCTGATTGCAGTTGCTTGCTTTCTTCTAAAGTCGCAAAAGCATTAAATGAAAAGCCTGTACTGGCTAGTTTAGTCTTGCATTTCCAGGTTACACCTTCACACATCGTCATTGAAATAGCATGAATCAGAGAGACCAAAATAAAACACAATATGTTATGGTGATCTTAGCGTAACTCTTTATGAATTAGAATTCATGTGTGTTTTTTCTAATTAATATACAATGCTGTGCCTTATATAGTGCCCCTGTCACATTATAATAGCTATTGTAACAAAGTAGTGTTTCAAACAATACGGTAACTGTGTTTGCAATACCCACTTGAATATTTTTCAAGGGAGAAATAACCTGTACTCGTTCCTTTACAGCCAGTGCACTTTGACCCAACTCCCCACTCAAACCAAGAGTTTAATGTTGAAAATAAAAAGGAATAAAATAGAAAGGTGCTGTCCTTAGTGCCACTTCTTTCTTGCAGAGTTTCAAGGAAGAAATAGATGGGCTGCAGGAAGAGCTGGATGTGGTTCGTAACCTGGGAGCTGAACTGCTGTCTGCCTGTGGGGAGCCTGACAAACCTGTCATCAAGAAGAGTATCGATGAGGTAGCCACACCAGGAGTGAAGAGCTAATAAACAGCTACCTGTTTGAAACGATAGTGACATTACTGTAGCACGTTCACACTGCTTGAACTTGTTTTACCACAGCACAAATAGCAACAATGCTAAAAATATAAAAGATATTGAGAAACACATAAAGTCAAATTCACGTATAATCATATTTTACCCTACAACCCTTATAAAAAAAACCACTAACCTCTTATGGTAATTCAAGATATTAAATATAAGTCTAAAAACAGAAAATAAAAGTTAATAAAATGACTGTATAGGCTCACTAACTTGCTTTTGTAGGTGTGCTTGACTAATTATTCAGAAAATAAAACATTTTTCAATATTTATTATTTTCTGGAGTGTAAGTTGAGAGCATGTGAATTGCGAATTGACTGTATTTGAGGTTCTTCATCAGTTATGTTAATTAAGGCTTAGGATAGCAGTATCTATAATTTATGACGTTTAATTTACTTTAGAAATCTGGAAAAGTCCTGTTGCATATTTGTCTTTATTATTGTTCAGCATTGTAAGACACACATTACTTGATCTTCTTGCTGAACCTGCCTGAGTTATTCTTCATGCACAGCTGAACCC